TAGATCATATTTTAGCTATCTCTCGTACGATGGGGAAAATTCCATAGATATTATATTTTAACTAGGGACTCAAACTCGCTTCGCTTGGATTCTTCCCTAGGTTATTCTTTAAATTGGCATAACTTTATTATTTTTGGACCAATTGAAATAAAACAAATACTAAATGTTAAGTGAAGCTTACCACAATGCATTAGTGAAAACCGCACCCAAATCGGTTAAGCCGTTTCGTAGATTAGTGCGCACAAACGCACAGACAAACATTTTAAAAATCATTGTTTCTGGTTCTGTTGTGTTAATAATAGTTTTTCTCAAATATTTTCGATATAAAGACAGCGATTATTTATACTTTTATTATATGTATAGATAATTATTAAACTAATTATTTTTTTATGAGAAATATACACTGATCAAAATCCTTTACGAAGTAATTAATTTACTCTGAGGGGTTAAATCATTGGTAGCCCAGTGGTTTGGGAGTCGTTTGGGAAGTAAAGTGAAGCGGGTTCAAATCTCGGGTTTGCACCTCTGATACTCTCATGTGCGAATCATTTCCAACATGATGACCACTTGTCTTACGGTGAAGGAGAACATCGTGAGGAAACCTGCATGTCTGAGAGAACCTAGCAAGTTTTTGAAAGATGTCTGAAACCCACTTGGCCATGTTCTTGCCCCAATTGTTTGCCACAATGTCTGAAAAAGTTGAAACGTTGGCACTTGGCTAACGTGAAATGTATTATTTCAAGTAACCCTTTTTAACATTCGCACATTAAAAAAAACTTATGAATATTAAATAGTCGTTTAATTTCTAACTTGTTTTGGTCGAAAAAATTTTATAATTTACTTTCGTCTCTTTTACTCTTGGTAGTTGTCAATAGCCATATAATATCATACTTTTGACTCTACATATTTTACACCTGTATGATGTATCTATTAGCTACCATCTATCCATACTAATATTATAAATGCGAAAGTAACTCTGTCTGTCTGTCTGTTGCCTTTCACGCTAATTCGCTGAACCGAGTTAGAGGAAATTTGGCATAGAGATAGTTTGAAATCCTGGGAATTATCCCTAAAGGGGGTGAAAAGGGGGGTGGAAGTTTGTATAGGGAATCGATCATTTCTCAAATAAGAGATATAAAACTCATCATACCTAAGTATATACATATGATCTAAGTCTATCTATTCCATACTAACCCTTAAAACGTACCTAGGGACGAACCCGAGCGAAGCGAGAGTGAGTCGCTAGTATATTTATAAAACAAAGTTGTTTGTTGTTCAAACTGGTTAATTACACCATTTATAACTCAAGGACGGCTGGACCGTTTTTTGTGATCTTTGATTTGTAAAGAATCGGCAAAATTCACGAAAAAAATTACATTGCATGTTTGCTTAGTAACTATTTATATCTATATAAAACATGCCTATGAACGCACCCGAGTGTAGCGAGGTAAGTCGCTAGTCCATACTAATATTATAAAAACTTAAAAAAAGTTTTTATTTTTCCATTTTCAGTGTAATTTGTAAGAAGAAAGCTTTTTAATAACATATTCGATTAAAAAAAACCACCTGAAAAGTATACCCTTTGAAACAAAAAATAATTTCAAATCGGTTCAGGCGTATTCGAGTAATCGGTGAACATACATAAAAAAAAGATTCCGACGAATTGAGAACCTCCTCCTTTTACCGCCTAAAATTATGTCATTCCCACGGGAAAATACGTTATAATACAACCCAAAAAATATTTATGATCAGAATTACTTGAAACTTGTTATTAATGCTCTTCAATACAATTAAAATTTTCCGACATTCATCCCATAATGGAGTAAAATATGGGGAAAGTTGCGCGAGCGAAGCCGCGGGTTCTGCTAGTTATCCATAATTTTTATAGAGGAAAATATTAGATAGACGTCTTGTCAAACTCACGAGACGAATTATTTAAAAAAAATGGCTTTAGGATTTCTGATTATTATTGGAGTTGCTATGTATATTTAAAAAAAATACTTTATTCATTTATAACTTTTATTATGATTTAGACAGTAACATAAAAAAAACTATTGCTTGTATTTAGTTGACTACCTCGGTAGTCTAGTGGCTAGCATGTGCGGCTGCAGATTCGGAGATCCTGGGTTCGAGCCCTGCGTTAGACAATGGCCCACGTTACTGAGATTTCTGCCATGAAATTCTTAATAACAGCCCAGAGTTGGGAAGTAGGCAGTGTTTCATCCCCGTGCCTCGGAGAACACGTAAAGTCCTCTTCATCAAAATTTGAGATTGACATAAATAGATAGTGCATTCGGACTAAACAATTACATTTTATCTCAGACTAAACAATAACATTATACAAAAACCTTTTAGTTTTCGTATTTTTTCTCAGAAATGAGACATTTTCCCGCGGTAAAAAGTATCCTATATGTTGACCCGGATAAACAGCTTTCATCATCAAAATCCCTCCAGTGGGTTTTCCGTGATGCGGTAACAGATAGACAGACAGACAAAAATTCTAAAAACTATAGATTCGGCCTCTGTATCAATAATAATGTCTTTTTCAATAAGATTTTCCAAAAATATTCAAGGTACAGATTCGGCTTAGTTACGATTTCATTATATGTAGGTATAGAAGCCCGCCAAAAAAGTTTAAAATCGAAAATAGTAGCGGGTTTTGCTGTCTGTTACTATTCTCGATTTTGCCATACAGATCGTTTACTTTCTTCAAAGAATACGGAAAATTTTATACTATAGATATTAGTCGCTAATTTACAATTTTGTAAAAGAAAATATGAGTAATAAATATAAACATTATTTTGTATTTTAAAGCATTAGTTCTCTTCCCCTTGAAAGAGAAATAGCCTTATTTTTTTCTTTATAATAAAAAACTTAGGTATTTTTATTTGTTAACATTTATTTATACATTCAACTAGCGATTCACCTCGCTTGCTCGGGTTCGTCCCTAGCTTGCTTCCCAATACAAACTTTCATCCCCATTCTCACCACCTTTAGGGGTGATTTCCGAGGTAAAAACTATTTCACTCACTAACATTCAACCAAATAACTTATTTTAGTAAAAAAAAAATCTTTTAATTTTCTTTTATCTGACAATACCAAACACCAAAAAAAAACAACTATCCAACTTGGTGCAGTCGATCGGAAGTTACGCGCGTACATACATTTCGGTGACTCATTTTTATTTATATAGATTAATTTTTGTATCCTGTTTTAAAACATTGTATGTTATTTTAAATCGTTATTGCCTATTTATAATATTAGTATAACTTTATTTTTAACCCCCGACGCAAAAAGAGGGGTGTTATAAGTTTGACGTCAGTGTCTGTCTGTGTGTGTGTATCTTTCTGTGGCATCGTAGCTCTCAAACGGATGGACCAATTTCGATGCGGTTTTTTTTATTTGAAAGCCAGTTTCCTTGCGGTGGTTCTTAGATATGTTTGGTTAATATCGGTCCAGCAGTGTAAGAGTATCAGCTTTCCAGTATCTATCTTTCTCGTATGATTACTCGATTAAGTGCTTCACGCATGCCAGTGTAATCGTTAAATGACAATAAATTTGCGTAAGGGGTATTTTAAATTTGACATTTATTTTATTATTTTTATTAGATTTATTTAAGATTTAAAATATAAATAAATAAATATGTTGGGATACACAGCACCATCTACTTTTGGTTTCAGAGCTTTTCGAAAATTACTCATACTAACGTAAAATTAAATTTTGAAAAAAAATAAAACCAAAGGCATGTACATTGTACATGTAGGCGATTTGAGGCTCCTTTAATCTCTAAGAGTCTAAATGATTAAATACACTCTCGGCCGGCGGATGCCGGGTGGGCCGACCAGACGCTGATTTTGCGTCTCTCTTATTCTATGTAAATCTTAATCTAGAGCGGATGGACGAGGTGTAAAGTTATAACTATCCAGTTCCATGGTAAGCTACGAGGCTTAATATGTTATGGATACCAGATAGTTGATACACTACACATATATAATTTGAAATAGGTACATACATATTATACCCATGACTGGAGTACAAACATTCGTGCGCATCACACAAGTGAATGCCTCCAGCGGGATTCGAACCCGCGACCATTGACACAGCAAGTAGGGTTACTACAAACTGAGCCAAACATGTCGTCAATATCTACTATTAGTGAAATTTACCGCCGCGATAGAATTTCAATCCGGAAGACATTATCCACACATATTAAATTACGTTGTGCTAAATAAAGTAACGAATGCCGCCATTTTTTAAACCGCAAAAACCGTTACTGAAACCCTTTGAAACCCAATCTTATTGGTTTTGCTTCTGTTTTTTTTTCTTGAAAAAAATATCGTACACGTAGCGACTCACGCTCGATTTGGTCGTATACATTTCGAATATTATATACAAGCATTACATTTTTTTTATATACATATATAATTACTTTTTTCAGTTAACACGTTTGGCTCAGTTGATGGCAGAGCATGATGATATATATATATATATATATATATATATATATATATATATATATATATAGCCTATAGCCTTCCTCAATAAAACAAACGAACAAACTCTGTTTCTTTATAGTATTAGTATAGTTGTTATGCATTATTATGTTAACAATGTATAATATAAAAGGTAAATTAATTGTGTCAGATAAATTAAGTTAAAACTTAGATTCATAGATTCGATATAGTTTTTTTTAGATTCTAGTCATTTTAGTTAAACCCCCACACTCTTTCTCCACTTCTCCCTGTTAATAGACCTAAGTCTAATAGGTATAAGGTATAAATGCGAATATTTGTATGTGTATATATATGTTTGTTACTCTGTCACGCTGAAATGGCTAAACCGATTTGGATGAAAACTAAACAGAGACAGCACTAAATCTCGTCAATAGCTATTAAACAAAAAAAAAGAAAGTCGTTTGACAAACAGAGGGCAAAAATATACGGAACTGTTTTACCTTTTCCTATTTTTATTATATAATTATAGAAAATATTTGTTCACAGGGAATGAATATACGATTGGCTTTCGCCATCGTGTCTTCGGCGTGTTGGTCTGCCTTCCAACATGGATACAACACTGGTGTCCTAAATGCACCACAGGCTGTAAGTGAATATTCATTTTTATTTTCTACTAGCGACTCAGCCCAGGGTTCGTCCCTACTTACTTTTAAACGTTTAGTATAGATTTCTCAAAGATGAGATATGTTCCCGTAGTAAAATAAAGTATGCTGACCCGGACAACCAGCTATCACTATACCAAATTTCATCAAAATCTGTCTAGTGGTTTTCTCGTGATGCGTTCCCAGACAGATAGACAAAAATTGATTGATCGATTGATTGATCGAAACAGTTATACACAAACAGACTAGTCGAGCAGATTCGCCTCAGTGGTCTAGTTGCTAGCATATACGGCCGCAGACCTAGAGTGTCCTGGGTTCCAGTCCCGGGTAGGGCCAAGTTTATTTATTGTTTGTATCAAAAAAAAATAGTAATAGCCCGGAGGTAATAGTTGGCGGTATTGTATCCCGGTGTCTCAGAGAGTACGTGTCGCGTAGGTCCTGCGCCTTAACTCTTACCACGAGTGTCGAAGTATCGTCCCACCGGAGTATGAGAGTGACAGGAATAGAGTGCACTTGTGTCTGCGCGTACACACACTGCACTATAATATCTACTACAGTAAGTTAGTCTCAGTGAGATTGGCCGCCGTGGTCGACATCGGTTAGAAAGACATTATTATTAAGCGAGCAGATTCATGGGAAAAGCCAGTTTCAAATAAGTAATAAGTATATATATTTTTTAAACAGATAATGTTAGAATGGCTGCATAAAGAGGCTCTCACAGGAACGAACACCACACTATTGGCCAAGGACGATCCCAAAGTAACGACGATGTGGTCGATTGCAGTTGCGATATATTGTGTGGGAGGCATGATAGGGGGTGTCATTACTGGTGTGGTGGCTGACAGGTGAGTGGACATTATTTTTTTTAATTAACATTTTTTGTGGTAAGGCAAAGGTACAACAGATACTGCATCGTAGATAACAAAACGTGATGTTTCTTTTTAATAAATATAATACGAGTAGATATGATAGGTTTGTAGCATATTTGGTTTACATGTTAAATAGCTTAGTTTCTAAGAAACATTAAGACATGTGGTTTACTTATTATTATATAAATTATAAAGCCTAAAACAATAACTAATAAAAATAATAAATTTTAGTGAAACCCGTCGGTCTGTCAAGTTTTATTCACTATTCATTCTGTAATGCAGGGGGTTATACCGGCTGTTGGCGTGGCGACGCGTCGCCACACGCACGTATCTCTCAGACTCTTCCCACTCGAGTCGGCGATTTCCATCTCCCTTTGTCCTAATTTTAGTTTTAAATTAATAAAATGTATTTTTAAACAAAGATTTTTTTGTATTGTGTATAGATTTTTTATTATAATCTGTACATAACCCGACTCGCACTTGACCGATTTTAGTTCCAATAAATATATTAAAAATATAATTTTCAGGTTTGGCAGAAAAGGAGGCTTGTTACTAAACAATGTGTTAGTATTTATAGCTGCCGCGCTACAAGGGAGTGCTAATGCGGCGCAATCAGCAAACATGTTGATTGTGGGAAGGTAGGTCATAGGTTTAAAAACAAAAAAAAAACAATTTAATAAGCACGCCATTTGGATTGCTATTAGATATGCATAAGTTTGGATGTTTATTCCCTTTCTGATTCGGCTGGACTGATTTGTATGAAATTTAGTGAACAGATAAACTATGAGTTGGAGTAACACAGATTACTGTTAGGAATTTAGAAAAGCACGCACCGTAAAGCGTGTGTAAGTCGCTTGTTATTAAATAACACTAGCGACTCACCCTCGCTCCGCTCGGGTTCGTCCCTGGAATTACGTTTTAACGTTTAGTATAGATTTCTCAGAGATGAGATATTTTCCCGCAGTAAAATGTTGACCCGGATAACCCGGATAGCTATCATCATGCCAAATTTCATCAAAATCCCTCCAGTGGTTTTCCGTGATGTGGTAACAGACAGACAATATAGATAAAGAATATAGATTCGGCCTCTGTATCGAAAATAATGTCTATTTCAATAAGATTTTCCAAAAAATATTTAATGTAACTTTTTAAATTATCGCGTTTCATAATTATATAAATATTTAATGTACAGATTCGGCTCAGTTACAATTTAATATATGTATAGATAAATATTTACTTTAATAAAAGATCTAACATGTTACCAAGAAATGATAAACAGGGTGTTCTTTTTCAGGCTAATAATCGGTATAAACAACGGTTTGAACGCCGGCTTAGCTCCTATGTACTTGGCTGAAATATCTCCGGTTTCTTTACGAGGATCGGTGAGTTGACTAGTGATGTGACGCGGGTTTGATTGTAATTTTTTTTTATATTTAATGTTTACTTTTTTTTAAATTAAAAGTTGGTTTTTCAATATGTAATTTATTTAAATAATTTATTTATACTTTTCTTATATTTATATGATTGTTTGACATTCGTAGTTTTATTTTATTTTTTTTAGTTAACGTTCCGGAAAAGACTGAGGTCGTTATGAAACGTTTGAAAAAAGATGTGTAAAATGTCATGTTATTAGGTGTTAACATTTTTATTAAACGTATTTTTTTTATTTGAAATTAAGAACAAAATATATACTTTTTTCTCGACTTTTTAAATGTTTTACAGCAAACATGGCCGCAAAAGACTGGAAAAATAATAATAAAACCACGAAAAAGTCGATTTATTTATTGTCAAATATTCGCGTAAATCTAGTATTCATTAGAAATAGGATAAAATAGATTTTCAATATTTACAAAGCAAAATATTATATAATTAGCAAAATTGCTACAAGTGAAAAAATGAAATTAAATAAAAAAATACCTTATTATTAAAAAAAATTAAAAGTGTGTTTGTATGCAATTCTCTCACGGTAGAAGTGAAACTTCTTTGGCTAATATCGCAATTAAGTTAAAACAAATCAATAATTAAATAAGCCATTTTACAGTCATATATTTATAGAATATCATACACGGGTAGAATATAATATAATATATTTGTCAGACAATAACAACGGTTACCATGGCGATATGGCAATGTATTCTATCTCATTCTCTCGCCGGCTTAATCCTATATTTTTATTTACAATGCCTATATATTTATGTGTTTGTCTCCTTTTAGTGTCGCATTTCCGTTTCATCGTGTTTCAAATTGCAACGATTCTAAACAAATTTCACTTCGAAATTATCTAGTTAATTAAACGTTCTTTTTTTTCAGATCGGCACAGTGTATCAACTCGTAATAACAATGTCCATCCTTCTATCACAAGTGTTAGGTTTGGAATCGGTTTTAGGAACCAGCGGTGGTTGGCAATGGTTGTTGGCAATAACCGCGATACCCGCCATCATTCAATGTTGCACTTTGCCGCTATGTCCGGAATCGCCTAAATATTTGCTTTTGAATCGTGGAGCTGAGTTACACGCGCAACGAGGTCAGTTTTTTATTCTTTAACAAAGAGGCTTAGTTTTTAACACATTATATATAGACATTTATGTACTATATTATATTAAAAATAACATTTATTTTATTTATTTATGATAACGGTTTTTTTTAATCTCTTATTGTTTTTTTTTATTTATTCCAGCTTTAAATTGGTTAAGAGGTGACGTAGCAGTGCACGGCGAAATGGAGGAAATGCACCAAGTAAGTACATTTAATTTTTTTTATTTTTTTTTAATTATCACTTTTACTTATCAGCAAAATTAATAAATATTTTAAATCCATTTTCATTTAATGAAATATATTTAAAGTTTTTATTTAAAACTAGCATTTCCCAACAGTTACACCAGCGAATTCTTTTATGTATCTAATACCTACTAGCGACTTTTTTGAGCGTAACCCTAATTTTTTTTCTAAAATAAAGGTGGTCTAAGTTACTCCTTATAACATTAACTATCTGCTAGAAAAAGTCCGATTAAAATCAATCAAGCCGTTTCAGAGATTAGCCGGAACAAACAAACAGACAGACAAACATTTTAAAAGAATATGTTTTATTCACAGAAATCTTAATAATATTGTTAAGATTTCTGTGGTTTTATTAGTACCGTATATACTTTTAAATCAATTTAGTAAAAAGCTGTTATTTTGACATTACAAACAGGCACTTCAATTTTATTTATCTATTTATGATATTGCTATTACAAATTAAGTATATTATTTTCTTGTGGTTTCAGGAAGCGGAAAAAAACAAGATAAGCAAGAAAGTAACTCTGCGCGAGTTATTCGCCAACCGAAACTTAAGACAACCAATGTTTATAGCAATGGTTGTGATGGTTGCTCAACAGTTGTCCGGAATAAATGCGGTTATTTACTTCTCAACCGGCATATTTAACTCTGCTAATTTGAGCGAGAGTCAAAGTCAATACGCTACTTTGGGTGAGTTCTTGTTGATGTTTGAATAAGGAATTAGGTGTTTTGTGAAATGAATGAAAATTGTTTATTCTATACTGAGACGTTTATAGAAAAAAGTAAATATTTAAAAAATGTCTTACTGACCGATATCGGTCAATACTAAACAATTGTAGATATGACAATGCAAATGTGAGGGAGAGAGACACACTAGCACTCTGTCTCTCTCACTCTCACACTCCATGCAACTTGCCAACTCCGGGCTGTTACTGAAGTGGTCTTGACGGGAAAACCCAATAACTACACTTGACCCAATTCGAGATTTGAACCCAGGACCTCCAGCTTATAGTGTATATCTGTGTACTAAATTTCATGCAAATCCGTCCAGCCGTTACACATAGCCGTGACGAATTAACAAACAAACATACATACATACAAACATTCTTATTTATAATCTATACCAATATTTTAAAGAGGTAAAGTTTGTGAGATTGTGAGTTTGTGACGTTGTAAAGGGGAAATCTCTGGATCTACTGAACCGAATTAGATGAAATTTGGTAAGAAGATAGTTTGAGACTCTAGGAAGGACTTAGGATTTATATAGGATTTATATATATAGAGGGACTTTTTATCTCGTAAATCATACCATAAGGGGGTGAAAATGGAGATGAAAGTCGCTAGTCTAATATATAAAATTCTCATGTGACAGAGTGTTTGTAATATACAGTAGGTCTGAGAATAGGAAGTAAACTATTTTTCATACCCCTGAGTGATAAGGGTGGTCCACCCCAAAAATTTTTTTTTTTTACATTTTTTTTTAATTTTATTTTTCTTATGATTCGGCATTAAAAATACGTACAAACCCAAATTTTCACCGAACGAATAATGTATATTTTCAGCTATGGGCGCTATGAACGTCGTGATGACAATAATATCGTTGTTATTGGTAGAAGTGGCGGGAAGGAAGACGTTGTTATTAACTGGTTTTAGCGGCATGTTTGTTTGTACTGTCGGTCTGTGCGTCGCTAATTTATATGTAAGTATGTATATAATATAATTCATATATATATTTCAGTCCTTTCAATGTCTCAATGGAATCAGGATATAGTTCCACCACGCTGACTAAGTAAGGCATGCAGGTTTTTTGTTTTCAAATAACTGTAAAACTATATTATTACAAATAAATAGCCATCTTTAATCACAAAATAAAAAAAAATATAATTCAATAATAACTAAATTCACTAAATAAACCGAATAATTAGGCCGAATAATCGATTCGATACATTTTGGTATCGAATATTCGTATTCGCTTAAACTCATATTCGGCTCATCTCTAGTTCAAACCGAATTTTTATCATATTTTCTCAGGCTTATGTGAAAATTTAACATTTAAAAAAAACGTATCTTTTCGGAATTTTTCGCGGTTCTATTTTGATTTTTGGTTCCCGACGTTTCGAATGGTTTACAGCAATCATGGTCACGGGAGTACCTGTACGGCGTAATCCATACTTAGTATTATAAATGTGAAAGTGTTTGTTTGTTTGTCCTTATTTCATGTCGAAACAGAGTGACGGGTTAGCGTGATTTTTTGTGTGGAGATAGTTGGAGGGCTGAAGAGTGACATAGGGTACTTTTACCGCTGGAGATTATCTCATTCCCACGGGAAAACACGTCATAATGCAATCCACAATAACTCATCATACATAAGTATACATATAGTTATTAGTCATTATTAAATTATAGGAATTTTTATTATACTTATTTTCAGACCGCGCACGTATGGGTGTCCTACTTGTGTATTGCACTAGTTATTCTATTCGTGGTGATGTTCGCGGTGGGTCCGGGTTCAATTCCTTGGTTCCTTGTCACTGGTAAGTGTTTTTTTTTTAACTTTAGATTTAATGTACACTAACATTGTAGAAGTAAAGTTTGTTTGTATATAATCTCTGAAACTACTAGCCCGATTCTAAAAATTCATCCACTAAGAATTTATACGTTATTTTTACGTCATTAAATAATCTATAGGCAGTCTGAAATAAATATTCTTTTAGCAAATACTTGCCAAGGGGGGCCCCTTGGCGAATATTTGCAATAAAATATTTACTTTTAAAATTTAAATTAAACTATTTAAAAAAAAATTATACCCAAGGTAAGTATCTAATTTAAAATAACATCTATGGTATTATCATTTTAGATCGTTTTTGCATAAATTATAAACAATTTATGCATACCTTGGGACGAACCCGAGTGAAGCGAGGGTGTGTCGTTAGTTAACATGTATATAATATTCCCTTTATTCTATAAAGAAATTATAAGTATAGATAGTGACGATATCTAAGTACCTACCGGTAAAATCGACAGTAGCATAAACAGGAAATCACGATACTATTTTTAACTTTCAAATTTGTTTTGGCGACTGAGCTAATACCATAATATATTCTTTACAGAGCTCTTCAACCAATCGTCTCGCCCTGCGGCTTCGTCTGTCGCCGTCACTATCAATTGGGCGGCTAACTTCTTAGTGGGAATCAGCTTTTTACCACTTACTGTAAGTATTCAATTAATAATAAAATTAAAAATAAAATTATATTATGTTCTATAAAGTATGGGGCTCGTCAAAAAGTATCTAAAAATAAGTGCACTCTTAATATGGAACTCGTCATAACGACTGGAATAAGCCCAAACTATGTGTCACTGAATGGTTTCTCCATCAGCTTTTGCGAACATCATTGGCGATTAAAAGTCTAAGGAATAAACAGAGTACCTATCATGGAATTAAACATGAAGTCTAACAAAGTTTTAAAATAGTATCTACCTATAAAAATATTAATAAAACAGCTCTAGGAAAACAACAACAAACCTATCCCACGGGAACCATACATTTTTCCGGGATAAAAGTAGCCTATGTGTTATTCCAGACTATAATTTATTTCTGTGCCTACTTTCACCGCACACAATCACAACCGTACTACCGTACCGTACAATCCGCTCAGCCGTTCTGGCGTGAAAGAGTAACAAACATCCATACTCACAAACTTTCACATTTATAATATTAATACGGATATTCATTGTTGTGATAAGTAAATAAACGTTAATATATAAAAAATAGCTAACGGATTTTATTATAATAAAGAAAAATATTAAATAACTTTAAATATACTAACTGTCTCTCTTTCGAGAACTAATGCTAAAAATATAATATTATTTATATTTGATTGTCGTAAATTTTATATTAATTTGATTAATACATATATAAATTTCACTTGTTCTTTTAAGAAAGTAAACGATCTTTATGACAAAAACTAGAATAGTAGTATAAACAGCAAAACATACGAGTATTTTTGACTTTGACATCAAATGACACTTCTAGAAGCCACGAAACGAAAGAATTGAATTATAATTCTTTAAGCTGAGTTTAGCAATTATTAATTTAATACACACTTCGGTTTTATTGATAATAATTGTATATTTACTTACATTTAATTCATATTGCATTTAACTAATATTACATTATTTTTTTCTTACAGCTCATTCTCGGCTCAAACACTTTCGTAATATTCGCCATTTTGCAGTTCTTGTTTATCCTCTTCATAGCATTTAAAGTTCCCGAAACAAAAAACAAAACTATCGAAGAAATAACCGCCATGTTTAGACAACAGATGTAAAAAAGGCGGGAAATGATATAATAGGGCTGTCACATGTTATACGTTTAACAGTAATCGATATTATATTCGATTTTTCAATTCTCTTTTTTATATCACGTAAATATATTTTAACTATTTATTATTTAAGTACGATATTTTATTTATTTATATTTTATTAAAAGAAATAAATAATTAATAACAGGTTAGATTCCTGTTTATTTTGTAATCGTTTTTGTGATGCTAATACTCTGTAGTAATTTAAATACATATATATGAAATATTTTAATATTTATATTAAAAATAATAATGTCGAAATTACATCACACAAGAATATTAAGTGATAATAAATATAAAAATCTCTCTATAATTATTTTTTTTAAATGCTTTTCATATTGAAGTCCCATGGGACTATATTTTTATATATCTGAACACAAGTGTTTGTAAAGGTCTGTATGTATGTACGAGAGTGTATATGTTACATATCTCATAAGGGGAAATGAGTGAAAGTCCTTTACTGTGTAGCTGTGAATAATTAAATAGTCTCTCAATCTCAGTTGTTTTATGATTATCAACGAATAATACGTATAATTTAGATTTACATGTTTGTTTTAATTTAATTATTTTTAATAATATTAAGTAAAACCAATATGGCGGTGACCTGATGTTATAATGGTTAATTGGAAAAATATATTTATAAAGCTAGAGGAGCTAGGTAAACAGTTTTTCCAAGGAAAAAAATAAAAAAATTAAAGACTTGCCTGGTTGTTTTTTTATACCTAAAAATATTGATTTTAATAATACAGTTAAGTTATAAACCATCGCCATTTTGGTTGAATTTATTTTAATTTAAACTGGAACTTGTCGCTGATTATTTTTAAGTAAAAAGAAATGTGAACAAAAATTATTGTTCTAGTGAAAAGAACTTTAATGGCTATAGATTAAAAATAGATTAAAGATTTTAATTTTTTTTAAGTTACAATTTAAATGTTTTAATTTTACTCTTTATGTACTTAATAAGCATCAATTTGCTTCATTCAAATAAAATGAACAAAAGTAATGTTAACTGAATTGTATTTTTAAATCATTGACAATTGTTTTTTTAATAAAAATAAGGAACTTAAATGTCTAATGTGTTTTTATTATTAACTGCTTTTATTACCTTTGAAGCTATCAACAAGAGAATTGAATTGAAGTTTGATAAGTTATGAGTTTTAAATAAAGATTTAAAATTAAAGAAGTAAATTATTAGTAACGGGTCTGTTAATAAAACTAAATATTATTTCATTACCCCACAGATAAGAATTAGTATAACTAAGATAAATTTTTTTCAGTACAATCAATATAAAAAATCCACAGATATCGTGTCTGCCACGACTTTAGAGTACATTGAAAATGAATCTTCCAAATTAACTGAATTAAATTTTTAACATATTATGTAATTACTAGCAGTACAATCGATTTTGCCCGCGTTCAGACTACAAAAAAGTATTTGGATGCATAAAGATTTTATCTATACATACAATAAAACTGTAGAGATCGAAAAATATGCTCAAAACCGAGTCAGGGGGATGTAGGAAGAGAAATAGAATAAATCCAGATTTTTTTCAATATTTTTGTTTCTCTGTCTGTACGGGCTAATCTCCGAAACTGTTGGACCGATTTAAATGAAATTTTGCATAGTGGTACCTTATATCCCCGGTCGACATTTTAGATACTTTTCACCCCGTAAAATGTAAGAGTTCCCGTGGGATAGGTAAAAAATAAATTTCAGTAAATAATCGTAATTTTAAATAAGTTTCGGTATCGGCCGAAACAGAGAGCAAGGCCAAAAGTTCGGTTTCGGTTTTGGCTGAAAAACCAGTTGCAGTCGGACACTAATAAAAACAAATATTCAGTGTCTAATGGTTGATTTTTCAATCATTTAATTTTTCCTCACTAAGAATGTTTTATGAAACCAAAATATGATATGCCATATTATGTCGTTTCAAGACTTAATTTTTATTTAAATTAATTTTATACTAACATCAATACTGAATTACTTTAACTGTCCTGGATATACCTTTTAAGCAATAGAGATAAAATTAAAAAAATATTTTATTGAGCAAAGCGTATTACTCTGTTCAAGAGTTTCTTGTTGATGGAAATGTGTGGAATTGAGATATATTGACTGATATTCTCTATATATGGTCATAAATAAAATGTAACTTCGATATTTAACAGAGCAACTGTCGAGTTTCTTGCTGGCTCTTCTCAGCAGAACAGCTTCCCGAGCCGGTGGTAGCTTCCTCGCGGACTGACTACTGACGCTCTTTCAATTATATTTCAAAAGTGCTTGTATAAGTCTAATTAGTAAAGTCTAATTTCATTTCAAATAAATACACAGCGCCATCTATTGATGATTTATTTGGACTACTTTTTGTTCTTATACAGTCAGACCAAAGAGTATAATAATATAAACTATTATTTGTTTATATAACATTTCTTCTTTACAAATTCACATACTGCAGGTACATATTGTTTTCTTGAAGCGGATAAGTTATTTTGTTTGAAATATAATTTATTTATCTCCGGATCTAACACAAGTTCCAAAGCAGGATTCGTCCAGTTCTGAAGAAACTTTGTGAACTAAAATATAAAAATATTGTGGGTTACAGCATTAATATACAAAAACTCAAGATACACTATTACCATCTCAAGTGGCTTCGAAAAAGCAAAATTAAAACGTACGTTGTTTTATTTAAAATGTACTTTATGTGGTGTGCGTAAGTTCGAATTTGTGTTTAGACAATTGGAACTTTCGATTTTTTAATATTATTCTTTGGTTTGACTTAACATAACATGTCGACGCCACGTTTTAAAGAGAGATTTGTTAGGAAATGTGTATCTATGTTTTTATATAGTTATCAAGGGGTCAAAATCCTTAAACGCTCAAAACTATTTTTTTATGTTTTTACAGTATAATATGGATGAATAACAGAAGTTAGGTATAACAGAAATCTCACCTCAGTACCATATTACAGCAAAACGCCGTCTCAGTGCTTATTTGTCCAAATAACCAATTTACCGACGGAGTTGTTAAAACAGAATTATAGACATTTAAATGTCAATTCTATTGATATTAAATACACATTTTACTTTAAAACCCTAAAGGTGTATTTTGTCTATATTTGTATATACATTTTAGAAATAAAGGTTTGTTTTTGAAATAGAGGAAAAACGCGACTTTTACTTTTTGAAGTATTGATGCTTTGAACAAATAAGCACTGAGGCGATGATATATAAAAAAACAAAAACAGAGAACCTCCAATTTTGAAACTGGTTATTGTTTGATAGAAACACAAACATAAACAAAACTCTTACTTCTTCTCCTTTTTTCTCTTCCAAGGATAAGACAAGCCCATCTCTCCTCAGGCCTTCTCTAAGATCCATACCAAGAAGTAAAGCGATGGTGCACTTTTTGAACATTAGGGCTTCTTTTACGGACTCTAACGCATTAGATTTTTGTAGGAAATCCTGAAAACATTATTTTTAGTAGTATCATAAAATTTCATCAGTTAAGAAAAAAGTTTTGTTAAACGCACAATAGATGGCGTTATAAATTTGAATTTGATAAAGATTATGTAAAATATATAAAAAAAATAAACGAAATAATGAGTTTTAAAGATAATTTTCATTATTTAAATAATATGACAAAAAAATATGTTTTTTTTAAGAAAAATAAATAAAATCAGTCCTTAGCTTATAAGTAAATGCGTATTCATAGTTAGCGCTGTTTGCATTTTCAATGTTATTTGTACATAGGATAAACAATTATGATCACCTACTCAATTTACCTATTTAATTTGCTTATGAATTTTGCTATATTTCATTTTTTTTAATAGCATTATTATATATGTCCTGAATCACCTCGCACTATACGATCATAACGCCATCTAGCGCCTACAGACGCAAAACTACTTTAGACCAGAGTTAGAGCGGTTTTTATTTCTTGCTTTGCTTCTACCCAACTCCGGGCTCTAACTGAGAATTTCATGACAGAAAACCCCGATAACTATACTCATCCCGAACCCAGGACCTCAGTATGTGCAGCCGTACATCCTAGCCACTATACCACCGAGGTATCTAGTATACAATACCTTTACAAGTATGGGAAAACTTGGTACAAGAACGTCATTAATAATTTTCAAGTCTTTTCTTAGAAGTTGTGATGGCGTCAAATGCGAAACATCGCTTCGAGCCCGTAATAAGTCATCCAGGATGGTTTTTCTAAAAGAAGAAAAACATCTACACTAATATTATAAAGAGGTAATGTATGTAAGTTTGTATGTAGTGGGTAAACTCTGAAACTACTAAGCAACTCCTCAGCAAGTTCCGATGTCAATGTATACAAAATCCAACGGAGACAAATATCCAATGGAGGAATTATTTCTCAAGTTAATCAGCAAACGATGTAAAAAAACTAAGCCATGATGTGTATAACACCTATAATACTAAAATAGAGTTTGAGATCCAAAAAAAACCTAAAAAAAACTGGTCTTTTCTGAAAAGTAAACGAAGCAAGTCCGAATCAGACCAAAGTCTGGCATCTCACAAGTAGTATTAAATGTAAATTTTTTCATTCATAAATATATTATGTTATCAGGCACACAGTTTTCTTTCAGAATATGTAAAGATAAAATCGAATGAGATAATTCTTTTCATTATTCTGGGACGGTAATAAGACCTTATCGATACCCTTTCTTTCCATCTCAAACTTTAAGAACAGGACTGAGTGAGACAATGTTTACAACTTTAGAAACATATAACTCAGCAACTATTCACTTGAACACAAAAGTCACTCAAATAAATATGTTTTAACTAATGTTAATGTGTTGTGTGTTAATACACACAGCACCATCTAGTTCCATGGTAAGTTACGAGGCCTGTGTTGTGGATAGCAGACAGTTGATACACTACACTTGTATAACTTTAAATACATACATATTATGAATATAAACACCCATGACTGAAGTGCAAACATTTGCTCATCACACAAATGAATGCCCCCAGCGGGATCGAACCCGCGACCGCTGGCACAGTAAGTAGGGTCACTACAAACTGAGCCAAACGTGTCATCATAATACGCTTAGATATATCCATATCAATTTTAAAGGCCTAATCAGAGATACCCCATACATTTAAACTTTACCCTAAAATAAAATAGTGTATATACTATGAGTACCTCTCCTTCTCAGAATCAACAGGGTTAAGGACATTTTCCAAATACAAAACAATTTGTTCATCAAGCGGTGTCCCTTTATTCACCTCTTTTGAAAAATTCACTGTATCTAATATTATTACATCTACAAAATATAAATATGTTAGTTAAATCTATACAAATAAAAAAAAAGTATGTGTGTACTTATATTTCTTTTTTTAGTGCATTTATATAAAAGCTTGTTTTTTTTATTTTTAGTTTTTATTTTATTCGTATTCTTCTCATCACACCCTTTCATTTGATATCCATATCATGGGGGTGTATAAAAAAACATAGTCCGCCATATTGGATTTACAATAAATAATAAATAAATATGTTGGTACATTAACACACAGCACCGTCTAGTTCCATGGTAAGCTACGAGGCTTGTATTATGGATACCAGATAGTTGATACACTACACATATATAACTTTAAATACATACACATTATAAATATAAACACCCATGACTGGAGTACAAACATTCGTGCTCATCACACAAATGAATGCCCCCAGCGGGATTCGAACCCGCGACCGCTGTCACAGCAAGTAGGGTCACTACAAACAGTTTGAATGACAATGACGTCACTTTGCTTATTGTGTTTCGCTCATAAAAAACTTTCATTTGATACTCATATCATAAGGGTTACTATGGAAACGATAAATCGCCATTTTGTAACATCTGTCATATTGGATTAAAAATGGCGGCATTTAAGTGATGCATTGTCACGAGAACCAAACGTGTGTGCCAAATTTCAGCTCAATCGGACACTGAGAAGTGGGTCAAATTTAACTTGCAAGATTTGATTACAAACAGACACCGGGACTAACTTCACACTGTAGCCAATGCCACATGTATTTTCCCCTAACGTGTCAAAAGAAATATAACTTCAAAAATAAAAAATGTTTGTTTCACCACACTTATATAATACAGGACTAGCAGTTAAGTTTATCATCCTTCATGCTACACACAAAATTTATTTTACAAAGGGATCTGCAGACAACCACTGCTAGTATGTAAGAAAACTGAAAATGTTTAAATTTAATCTATACTAATATTATAAATGTGAAAGTTTGTGAGTATGTATGGATGTATGTTTGTCACTCTTTCACACCAGAACGGCTGAACAGATCTGGTTGAAATTTGGCGAAGAGATAGATTATAGTCTGGAATAGCACATAAGTTATTTTTTATCCCAGAAAAATGTACAGTTCCCGTGGAATAATTTGTTTTTGTTTCTCATTAGGGACAAACAAGAACAAAGCAACGCGTAGCTAGTTATAATATAGTCATTGAAGTACCAAACACATATACTATATATTATTAATACTTACTATGTAATAACTTTGCACATTGAGGATATATTATAAAAAAATCATTTTCATGAGAATCTTTTATTTTTTGACCAATCAAAGTGGCACATGAGCCTATGACTTCAATTTGGTGCACTACATCTTCCTTATAACTCCATTTCGTATTATCCAGCGGTCTGTGATCAAATATCTCTTGAACATATTGCACCAAAAAGCAAAATTTCTCTGATAGAATATGATGATCGACCAGAACTATTCTAACTTTTTTTAAATTTACCAATTCTTGAAAATTTATGTCATTCCTGAAAGTAAAATACACTATTAATCTATACATATAATGAAATTCTAACTGAACCGAATCTGTACATTACATATTTATTGGAAAATCTTATTGAAATAGTTATTATTTTTTTGTTATTTTTTTATTAATATTATTGAATAAATATAGAATCTATAGCTTTTAGAATTTTTGTCTGTCTGTCTGTGACCGCATCGATGGTTATCTGAGTCGACATATAGGATACTTTTTCTGCGGGAAAATATCTCATTTCTGGGAAATCTATACTAACCGTTAAACATACAATAGGAGCAGAGCGAGGGTGAGTCGCGAGTATCATATTTTAAAGAAGAATTCAGTTCCGTCTTTACCATAAGGGCACACAGGGCACAAGCCTAGAGCCTAGCCTCACGAGGGCCCCGAAAAGAACATTATCATTTACATGGAAAAGAGAGAAAGCTCAATTTTTAGGTTTCATCTTTTAAGCTACTTCTTAACACCATTTGAGTTTTTTTTAATTTTTGTATTTTACTTAATTTTATATATATATCAAAAAATTTGACCTTTCAAAAAGAGTCCTAAATTGAATGCACAGTGGCCTCCGCAGGGCTTAAGAATGGCCCAGGAAGTATTCAACATTTTTTGTAAATAAATTATTTAAACTGTTTAGGATTGTTTGATTTCTTTACAAACAAAATCATATTACTTACCTAAAAATTAATTTATCCTGTGAAATACCATGCTTATTTAAACAAAAAGCAACCTCAGTTTTTAATGGTAAATCCTCCCGATCCACATCTAGGATGGGTATAAATAATTCTTCCTGAATGTTGTTGTCACTGGTGTTTTTCCAATTCAAATAAGTAGCATAAACTATAGAACTAACTACAGAATCTAGATCACAGCTTTCGTTACCTAAAACTATTGTTATATTTTTATATTTGTTGGATTCCTGAAAAGAAAATGTTTTTTTTAAATTCATTCTTTCATATAAATATATAATGTATACAGATAAATAAAATGGAAGTGTCTGTGTGTCAATATCACAGCTTTGTCAAAATAACAGCTTGTTACTAAAGATATATGAAAGTAATAAGTATATATGGTACTTATAAGAAAACACAATTTAAATTTTTTTGTCTGTCTATTTGTTCCGGTTAAGCTATAAAATAGCTGGACTGATTTTAAAGAGACTTTCACTGGTAGATAGCTGATTATAAGAAGTAACTTACGCTACTTTTATTTTATAAAGAAGAAATTTCCGTTCAAAAATATTAAAATGTACATAGGGATACAACCTAGCAAAACGAATGTAAATTGCTAATAATGAATAAATTGATTTATTTTGCTAATAACATGTAGTAGCATTACATGTGATAATGTTGCTCATTTATACATTTAAATTTATTATTCACACTGTGCACATTAAAATTTACTAATAGCAGGAAAACTTACGAATTTATTATATGCCGATAACAAATATTCCTCCATTCTTAATCAATTATGTTTAAAACCGAATTCAGATACCAAAGTCGTCTTGGACCTTTACCTTGGACAATTATTAGAAAAGCACAATAAATATTACACTTATCTCAAATAGATTTCTCTTTAGTATTATGGCTCTAAGCAGAAAGTAGTTTCAGTTTAGTTTAGTTCGCCAATGTCTCGTAGAATGAAGAAGACGACTCCAGACTCGTCTTTTTCGATTCTCGTGACTCACGAGAGTAGCCGATAGAAATAAATTATATTATTCTAGACTTGAACACTTGACATGTCAGATAAGATCAATTCATAGTAATATTTTATGGCTTATAATAAAGAAGAGGACACAAAATATTACTTAGTATTTATTATTTAATTCATTTTTTATTTTATGGCTTCCATGCCTTTTTATTGACAAACCAATTCACCACAATATTTTGATTGCAATGTCAGTTGTCAACTTCAAAATTGACATATTGTTTTTTTTTAAATACAGTTTATGTCAAGCTTATAGATATAATGATTATTGACATAATACATGTACGAGATTTATAAATGCTCTTCTCGCTCCGCTCGGGTTCGTCCCTAGATACGTTTTAACGTTTAATGTACATTTCTCAGAGATGAGATATTTTATTGCAGTAAAAAGTATTCTATATGTTGACCCGGATAACCACTATCGTCATACCAAATTTCATTAAAATCTGTCTAGTAGTTTTCTCGTAATGCGGCTGGAGACAGACAGACAAATATTCTAAAAACTATAGATTTGACCTCTATATCGATAATAACAATTATTTCAATAAGATTTTCCAAAAAATATTTAATGTACAGATTCGATGCAGAAATTTATTTGTATTGTTACGTTCTATGAGTTCGGTGATCGATCCCGGAGCGGAAATTAAAGCACGTCTTTTGCACTACTGATGTTTTATTACTCTTGGTTAACATTCACTAGCACACGCAGTATCCTCACCATCCAACCCGGGTCTTCCTTCGTGAACGCCATCAACGTCTTGTCCAGGAAACCTACCTTCGGTGAAGGAATTGTGTGCTCTTATGAACACACGGTAGTTTTATTGTAATAAACAGATGTCCCAGATAGTAGTGTCAAGCAGAAGTCCAGAGATAGAGCACCCCTTGGGGTACCGGAATCACCCCCATGTATGTTTCGCGATTGTTCATAGTTTTTGAGTTATGATTTTTTTTCTGAATTTTTGAGAATTTTCAAACTGAACAACTTAAAAAAAATTAAAAAAATAGAAAACTTTTTCGATATTTTATTGTTTCATGAGTTGTACTTTTATGCTTAAAATAGTCAGCTTCGTAACTTTAATGGAAATTATGAAAATTGTTTTACTGAAATTAATAAAAAATATATCTTCAACATTTTTTCGTATATTTTATTATATCAGATCATAAGAAAAAATATTTTCATTTATATTATTTCATTTAACTTCATTTCAAAAATGGTTTGGTATAAAGTATTATAGATTATGGCAGTCATAAAAATGCTATAAAATACCTTTGATGCATGTTATTTTAATCTTGGTTAGGTAAATGAAAACAAAATGAACACATCGATCTTATATTACACATCGATAGAAAATGTATGTTTTCTTATTAATATATTTAATAAGTAAGTACATGTTTTATTAAACTTAATTATTTAATAAATAGTATTACATTCTTAACAAAATTTTCTAATTCTGATCTACCAAAATCCTAAAAGAATATAAAAGTTACAATTAAACAAAAAAAAATGATTCATGTGTCTATAAAAAATATTATTTTTGCTGTTATAATTACGTCCCATAGAAAATTTAACTAGCCCTAACCAAAGTGAAATGATGGCGTCTTACTAATATAATGTCCGGTTCACATTATTCCAGTCCAGTCCATTGAATCAATCCAGTCCAGTGTTGGACTGGATCATGTCGTTTACATTATTCCAGTCATTCAAAAGTTGTTGAATCAGTAACACTATAGTGACAATGATTTCAAGAAAGGGGTTCGACAATTGTTTTCTGACTGTTCAATTACTATTGTTAGAAAAAGTAACCGATGTAGTGGAAGAGGATTTGCATATCTTCACTAGTTTTTTACAGGGTGGTCAATCCAGTCACTGGACTGGATTGCTCACTGGAATGGATAAATTCCAGTGCCGGTTTACAATTATTAGGTTTACAATCGCGGAACTGGAATGCTACTGAAATAATGTGAATCGGGCTTAATAACAAATTAATGTGGTATAAAATTATCTGGGCCATGCCTCACATTCGTATTTTTAAAATCTATAAAACATAAATTATGTATATTTCACCATAAAGAAGCCAACTAAAAAGTTTTAATATAATTTTTTCACTACAAAAGCTAACTTAAACATTAATCACACAACCTTTTTTGGAAAGGTCCAATTCAGTTTAATTAAAGTTGAGCATTATTTTATATACTAATTTATTATTTTACAGTAAACACAACGCTTACAAGTTCTAAAACTATTTACAAAGTCGATGGTAAACGATCTACTTCTGACCCCAAGTTAAGTTGCAAAAATATAAAATGTCCACCAATGGAAGATCCAGTATGTGTAAAAGTAACAAAAATAGACAAACAAAAGCACGAAAAATTTATTTTGGCGATTAACAAATGTAATATGCAATTTATGAAATGTCACCCAGGTAGGTTTTTTGTAATGTTATTTATAATTAACAATTAGGCTGATTATTTGTATTAAAACGATACAAATAATAATACACCGTATAACGCTAGGAAGATCAGGTCCATAGTCCACCACGCTGACCAAATGCGAGATGGTGATTTTCATGTGTTAATCGAAAACTAGTTTGGTTCTCATCTCTAAGATAATATACATTTAATAATTAAGACGTAGTAATCATGTTGAAAGTGATTTGTATATGATAATCTAAGAGGTGCGATATTTGAATCCACCTCCCTTGGTTATTCAAGTTGCCAATGGGGCTAGTAATGTCCCCACGGCCGGCCTTCGACTATATCTGGCCTATTGTGAAACAAACATTTTCTTACTTTGGGACATTTCTTTCTAGGAGTAGAAACTATGATGGTACCAATGGATAACTGCAATAACACTTTAATATTTAGGCATAATGATTATGGGCCAGTGTCAGAAAAAGCTACCATTTTGAATGTGTGATAATTAAAAATTATAATAACCAAAGAATGTGGGAAAAAATAAAATTTGATGAATACTTTGTGTTTGATTTAAAATCACCGTATTTTGAAAATAAGCCCATTGCATGGAAAGTCATGAACAAATTTAGATCTGTATCCATTTGGAACGAATTTAACGTTTGTTAACATACCTTAATATGTAATTCGGATCTTCGTATAAATGCTTCCAATTATAGCATTATTAATTTTTTTATTGTCTTCTTTGATGTATTTTATTTATAATTATCATAAAAAGTATATTTTAAGTTACTGATTATAATGTTTTTTTTTATTTGTCTGTAATTTTTTAGCGGGAAAAAAACATCATATAACTTTATGCGGCATACAAAAAGGTAATTATGTATATACAGTATAACTCTATTATAGTCTAGGAGATGGATGTAATAAAGCATTGCTTATAATTTAAACAAAATTTTATAAAGGAAAATGTAACGTAAACTTATTGTAATTGTTTATTGTCAAAATTTTCATAACATACTGAAGAAAAATTCGAAAATAAATGTTTTTTTTTTAAATAGGTATAGGAAGGAATCTTTCACTGATACCAAAAAAAAATTAAAGTCGACCAATTTTTCGCGAATACAAAGCAAACACGTTAGGTTTAGCATTTTATACACCCTTAAATGTCTTAAATTTAATTTTTTACACAATATGCTATGTAACAAAAACTTTACCATATAAAAGCGACGTTTTAAGAAATAATTCTTATGTAACAGAAAATGTCCTAAGAAAAATCCGTGAAGATTCAAGATACGATGAGCCTGACGAAATTTCCAAAAATAAAATATTAAGTACGTATTCAGTCATAAGTCTATAGCACACTAATTTTCTAAAATTCTAAGTTTGTGAGTTAGCGAATCTGTTTGTCACTTTAACTTAGGCTTAACGGGTTTGGCTGAAATTTGGAATCGAGATAGTTTATATTCTAGTAGAATTATTTTTGTCAACTTAAAAAAACATACCTACTTATTAAATAATAAAAAAACAAAAATTGTAGAAAAAACATATATTTAGGTAGGTATGCCTCTAAAAAACTTGCTTGCTTGTATTTCTTGCCAGATATAAAAAAGCGCAATGTGGGTTCTTATTTTATTTATTTTTATAATTTGAAAAGGATATTTTGCATGTTTTTCAAAATTTTTATTATAGACCTACTAAAACTTTAGTAAAACTATTTAAAAAAGCGCTTGTAACAACACGAGTCACGTTTCACGTCATATAAATAATTAGCGACTCACCCTCGCTCCGCTCGGGTTCGTCCCTACCTTCATTTTAACGTTTAGTATAGATTTCTCAGAGATGACATATTTTCTCGCAGTAAAAAGTGTACTATAAGTTGACCCGGATAAACAGCTATCATCATACAGCTATCATCATACTTTTCATCAAAATCTGTCCCGTGGTTTTCTCGTGATGCGTTCCCAACAGACAGAGAGACAAAAATTCTAAAAGCTATAGATTCGGCCTCTGTGTTGATTATAATGACTATTTCAATAGGATTTTCCAAAAAATATTTAATGTACAGATTCGACTCAGTTACAATTTTACTATACATAATTTGTATGTGGTATAGATGTCATTCATAAAAAAGTTTAAAAACTTTTTGTATTACTTATTCCTATCCGTTATTGAAATCTATAATTCCATTAAATTTATAGTTGGCAAAGTGGACGATAAAGACAAAAATATTTACGATGATGTGGAAAAACAGCCTCGTGATATAGCAAAGGCTAATTTAAACGATAAAGTGGAGCAGGATCTCAGTGATGCTAATGATGATCTAGGTGAAGAAGATGATAAAGAGGAGCCAGCTGATGACAATGATGAACTAGGTGATGTAAACAATAAAGAGGAACCGCCCAGTAATAAATATGATGATCTAGGTGAAGAGGGCAATAAAGAGATGAATCCAGTTGTTGATATTGATAGATCTGATGATGAAAACAATGAAGAAAACCTGCCCAGCGATAATGATAATGAAGACTCGGCTGGAGATAATAATGATAATCTTGGATATGAAAGCAATCAAGAGGATGTACCCAGTGTTAAGATCGAAGAACCTGATGATGAAGTAAGAACTTAGTTTTATTTATTTTAAAATTAATATAAAGGATATCTGTGTTATTCCAAGATTTCCAGCCTAACCAGACTTGCACATCTAATGGACATGGCTCATATTTTGCCATGACGATAGTCTACCTTGTGGAAGGTCTTCATTATACCTTCAATGGTAATTCATTTTTCGAATTAATCTTCAATCTTACTGTATATTTAATTTAACATAATCAAATTAATATGTAAATAATTTAACATATTCAAAGTTCTTATAGAGAAGGACTGCAGAGAGCTAAGATTTAATCACTTGACCTGCGTTAAATTTTATTGGCGTGGTCTATTTCAATAAAAAAAAATTACAAGATGAATTAACATAATATACAATGTTAGTTACATAGTTCTTTTTTAAATAAAAAAGGTGACAATAACCTTAAAACAACTAAAAAAAGTAATGATTTCGTCCTGAAGGATGGATTTTTCTGGAAACATGGGAATTGGGACCACTTGTTAATTAAAGAATTATAAGTTTAGGTTATACTAGCGACTCACCCTCACTTCGCTTGGGTTCGTCCCTAGCTTGATTCCCCATACAAACTTTCATCCCGATTTTCACCCCCTTAAGGGTTGATTTCCGTCTCAAACTATCTTTTTACCGAATTTCGTCTAAATCGGTTCAGTAGATCTAAAGATTACCTCCTACAACGTCTTAAACTCACAAACCCAGTATAGATGATGTGACAAATGATAAAAGGAGGTGTTCCTCTTTTCTTAAATTTAGTCGAAAAAGAGGTGTTTTGATCTAGTTAAACCAGATCTCATCAAAGTATTTGAATATAAAAAAAATATTTATATAAATTGCCGTCTGCTGTACATTTATTCTTCGTGTATTATTTTGATTAAGTTTCTTTGCTTTATAACGAGTACAATAAAGAGTATTATTATTAAATCAATTTTAAAAATAATAAATTGTAGTATAATGGAGAAGATGCCAAAGAAGACGATACGCCTCTAAATTTACATGGATATGAGGATGAAGAAGATACAAATGTCGTTCCTGTTGATTACGACCAAAATACAAATGATAATGGTAAAGATGATCGTTGAATTTTTTTATTACAAATTAGTCCACAACTACTATTAATGGCAGATTACATAGCGACCAGTTGAAATACTATCTTCGACTGTGAAGTCTGATTTTACATAATAAAGTCATCGCCTTGCCACTGGGAGGCTAAACATTTGGATTATGTGTTCTTGTATATGATAGATTCAAAAAAATATTAAAAAATCGAGTTGTAACATAAATAACATATTCTGAATCTCAAAACTTACTAGATCGTACTATGACTAAGAACTATCCAAGTGATCCTATAAGTATACAAAAAAAAGACATCAAAATCGGTTATCTCTTTTTGGAGGTGAAAATTTCTTACTCGCGAGAGAACACGCGTATTGTGATTTTCATAAAAAAAAAATATTATTCACAAGCAATTATTTTTCGTAATTGGGGTGTAATTTTTAACCGAGTAGTATTGAAAAGAGCAATTAGAAATATCTAATAACCGCGAAATATAATGAATTTTTAAAATAACTTTAGTGAATTCTGATGAATATAAGAAAAATTGTTCGACCGACTGTCCTGCACGAGAAGTCATGGTTTGTGCAAAATGTCAACACAATATATATAGGTCATTCCTGAGTTCGTGTCATCTTAGAGCATTCAGCTGCAAGCATCCTGATGAAAGTAAGTATATTCCAACTTTATTTAAAAGAACATATTGGGCATAGGTCTTGGCGTATTTTTATAGATTTTGCCTTGTAAGTGTCACAATATAAATAATTCACATTTTATATCATAACTTAATATATGTTACCGACCAATCTTCCCCTTGTCTTCTCTATTCTACGTGACATTGGCGAAATAATCTGTGCTCAACTGGCACGCTTTGAGGGCAGGGCAATGTTGCAAAGACGATGTAGGCAGCAGCGTGAATTAAATGAAACAACGTAGACGTGTATATTGGATTCTATTATTATTGCACATTAAACTTATTGACAAAGATCACTTAATATTATATTATGTCTTTATGGGGTTGTGCACGTCGCGGTCAGAGCCATAAGAGAAAAGAGGAAGGAAGAGCTGTCATAACTTAAACATAGACATTACATAGATATCATAGACGTCAATAGATAATTGTCCATGACACGAATGCATTTCAACAGGCAATAATAAGAGAATTGAATTGATATAACTCAATATAAAAAAATAATTATTTCAAATATTATATATTTGTAAAAATATAACGCTACCAATCAAACATATTATGTATTAAAAAGCAAACAATTAAATTAAGGAAATAATTATTTAAAAAAAAAACAACAACAGTTACCTCCTGGACTATAAAAAGATATTATACTCTTTTTTTTTAATTAGAATTATTTAATGGTTTTCTAATTATATTTATTTTATTTAGAACTAGAATTAGTCAACAGAAACCCTTGTATACAATCTGCGCCCTACTTAACCGACTTACCCTCACCAAAGGGCAGAGTATCAGAGCCAAGTGACAGAGACACTGTCCTGCAGTATATACATTGTAGAGAAAAGGGGCGACTTAATAAAGGTATTGGACTATTATTATATACTAGCGGCTCACCCTCGCTTATCTGAGTTCGTACTTCGGTTATAATATTAGTATAGATACGAAAATGTTTGTGTGTATGTATATTTGTTACTCTATCATGTCAAAACGGCTGTACGGATGTGGGTTAAAATTTAATACATACCTATATAGATTATGAGCTGGACTGCTAGAGTAATACAAAAGCTTCTTTTAAGCCTAGAGATGCACCGAAGCGAGTGTAAGTCGCTAGTAAAAAAATATATTTTTGACTAGAAACAATGTACATGATTTACGATGATTTTTTTAGATATTCATAGTTCCTTAATTTTTTTATGTATATTATTTATTTAAAATAATAAATTGAATATAGTTTTGTAAGAAAAAAAATGTTTTAAATAACTAAAAAAATACTTGTACACCTATACCCAACTGTAATGTATCGCATTTCTAAAAAGGAGGCAAAGCTTATTATTAAGTATGCTTAAAAACAATCTCGGATCCAATTCTCACATGAAATGATCATACAATTATTGAACATTAGAAAATATTGATAGAAAGTACAAAAATTACAAACCAGTGATAAAAGATTCTCCTTCCCTTATAATTTTTTTTATTTTTTATCTGCATAATGTTAAATTGCCTCACAGATGACCCAAGATGCAAGTTTGAAGAAAAACAAGTCGAGACAAAAGAAAAGGAATGAATAAAAAAATATGAAGTCCAGTTTTATTTTATTTCTTAAATCTTTTATTTACAGCAAAGTAGGATTATTTAACGAAGACTTTGCCATTTATTATTTCGGATCTAGTTCTATCATTTTGTATCGATGATAACATCAATTATTTCAACAGATTCACTACTTTTCGCATCATTTAAGCGTTTACTTGTTTTTGCCACACTTCGTAATAATCTTTGCGTTATAAGTTCTGTTAATTCATCTAAAATTTTCGAACTGGCCATCTTTTTTAATAAATCTTTGACATTAATTTTTTTTTGTAAATTATTTTTATCTGTGACATTTAACTTGTTTTTCATATAATCTGTTGCGCGTGGCGGGGAAAACAATTTTGAATTTGTTTTTTGTAAAATAAAAATGATGGCTAAAATAAATATAAATACATAATAATAATAATTATCACATAGCACCATCTAGTTTCATGGTAAGTTACCATGCCTGTGCCCCCAGCGGGACTCGAACCCGCGACCACTGGCACAGCAAGAAGGGTCAATACAAACAGCCAAACGTCAAAATATAAAATAATATTATTTATCGAACTACATATTTAATTGTAAGTTAAAAATTAAAAAAAATAACGTAAGTATACTTATTTTGCATATAACTTCAAGAGACAAAAACTTTAAACTTACAAAAGTAAATAGAAATATGAACACTTTTCCGCATATTTTATTACGTATTTTCTTTATTACAATATATTTTTTATTGCTATAATTTTATTTTTAGGTCCACTCATATTTATCCGCCGTATACTTACCTATTTAGTATTTGTTTGTATTTATTTTTTACTAAATACTACCCTGTCTAAATTTTAAACAATTAGCTAAATTTTAAACAGCTTAGATAGGGATTCATCTTCGACTTTTCCTGTAGGTGTCATAGAAGGCGACTAAAGGTTCTAGGGACACACCTCGAGTGACCACGTTTCTTGCTCAATGGCGGGCGAAAAACTTTTGCAGAAACCAAAAAACAGTATGGACGTACTGTGCCGACCCCAAGTAATTTTGGAAATGGCCAAGATGACGATGATCTTCATAGATTTCTATAGAAAAAAAGGCCTTTATTTTACTAGAATTTCCCAATTTTCCGGCCATTTCTTCTAATTGTTTTCAATTAAGCATTTTTGAAGTGTTGGAAACATTTAAAAAAAAATGCTCAATCGGCCGTTATCAAGCGAGGCTCGAATCAATGAACAGTATTTCATTTTAATTCTATGTACCTACTAGATATATTGTTATGACCCCCTCAACGTTCGTTCACGTTGTCATGGTGGGGGAAGGGGAAGGGGGGCTCATATTCGTCCGGCAATCCAGCCGGCCGTGAAGCCAAGAAACACACTGGGAGGTGGCCCACTTCGGTGGGCGGTGTGCCATCCCTGTTGAAAAACTCCAATAGAATCCCATCAAAAGCGACAAAAGCCACATAGAAACCAATAGACATTTATTGGTTTCTATGTGGCTTTGGTAGCTTTTGATGGGATTTATTGGAGTTTCTAAATAGAGATGCGGGTTGCTCCTGGTACTTCTCTGACGGCAGAGTGGTCCGTTGGAAGAAGTCCATGGTCGGCGTCGTAATTGAGTGCATAAGAGACCTTGCGACGCTCTATTAGGACCTTTAGTATCTTTCATTGATCCATTTAAAACAATAAATAAAAGGAATTAATTAAAATATATGTATTTATTTTTATAAAAAATATAAACAATATGATGAATAATATTACATAAGTAGTTGATCCCACAAATTATTTACAAACGATGATTATATATAGGTTTGGCATGCATAGGTTAGATAATATTTTTGACCAGCATTGCCCGCGGCTCCGCCCGCGTTCAGATGACTAAAAACCAAATTCTTAGGTTTTACATATTAGTATACTCTTACATTGCAGTTTTTTATTTTTTCTCAGAAATGAGATATTTTTCCGCGGTAAAAAGTATCCTATATGTTGACCTGGATAGCCAGCAACCACCATAGCAAATTTCATCAAAATCCCTCCAGTGGTTTTTCTGTGATGCGGTAACAGACATACATACATAAATATTCGTGAGCCTGTAACTTTATGAAAAATTTGACAAATACTTTTTTATAGGATTTTAAACGTACTACAAATTTGTCATTTAACATTTTTCTCTAACTCTTACAGTTTAGCTAAAAAATGCAAAAAACCGTAAATTTGAACTTCAAATCAAATATTGAACATAGAAATTCGACTCAATGGAACTTTTTGTAGTAAATTTAATACTAAAAACGGTCCAATTATTATTTTTTTTGAAAAATATAATTAAAAATCATATTTTCCATACCAATTTGTATAGGAAAACTTAAAGTTCAATGGAGAACCTCTTAGAATTGGAATTTTGAGCTCCGCTTTTAACAGGAGCTTTGTTGGGACATTTTCTGAGATATTTTGAGGTGAAAGCGAAGAAAAAAAATATCGTCATTTTTTGGCACACAATACATATATACAACGATTCTAAAGAAGTTTAACTTCAAACATTTTAATATATAATAAAAGAATAGTGACCTTATGACTAATAAATAGATGATATTTAGATTCCCTTAGACAAAAAATGTATTATTACTAAAATAATATATACACCATGTTATTTTTGGATGTTTTAAGTTTCCAATGCTAATCAAGTGTCGACAAGGGGAATGTCGTCAAGACACAGACTAGGCTGCAAGGCATTTCTATATGCAACCAGCCGTGTGGGCACATTATAGATAACCCAATCCCTTCTCGTTTAAGCAAAGGAGGCCACGTCAAGAGGGCTGTCTATGGAGCAAGTTTCTAACCCTTCTTATCCGTGATCCAAATCCCAACAATAATAACCTTGATAAACGACTCAGTCCTATCCCCTCCTTAAAAATGATATCCGGCACTCCTCCAACAACCCAAATAAAGAACCCTAATAATCTCACACAAGCACCAACATCACACAAAACTCATGAAAACTCTTTAAAACAACTAGACTCTATATCATCATGGCTGTATGGACCCATAAAGATTAACCTACAATACACTCCTGCACATGCCGTATGCAGTGTTGAGTTCTGATTCTTATTATACATCTATTTAGACAAGCATGAATCATCTATAAGTTCCCATTAGTAAGCTATAATGTTTTTTTATCATTCACATGAATATTTTTTTTAAATTTCCGATCAAATTCAATATAAGTTTTTACCAAATAGCACTAATGGCTATTTCTTTTTTTATACCTCTCAAAGTTTGATATGTGCCGTATTTGGTCACTGTGTTCGATTTCCTTTTCACATATAAAAGATTCATTACAAATTTTGCATTCCATTAGCCTACTATCTTTTTTATATATAGCATTTTCATCTAAGAACTTTTCATAATTGATTTCATGATTTAAATCCGATATATGATTCTCATCTAAATGATTTATATTTTTTTTGCATATTCTGCAATATATAGAACAGAGTGAAGTTTCTAAATGATGATGTGTTCGTTTAATTGGTTTTAATTGAGTAGCAATTTTTATTTCATCACCATTGTTTTCTAAATTGTCATCTTTTGAATTTGTTTCATCATCATCATCTTTTATAATTTTGTGATTTATTTCTTCAGTGAATTGTGATTTATTTGGTTTAGTATTAACAATAGATTCAACATCAAAACTTGCTATCAATTCTTTATAATTTTTTGCTGCGTCTCTTTCTAATGCATCAACTTTTTCGATTTGAAGTTCTTCTAAATCACTAGTTTCACTTAAAGCTTTACCATTTTGTTTTTGAATTGATATTTCTTGATATTCTTTTCTATAGCTTTCTGAGTCTACTTGTTTTTTAACACCATTTATCTTTGTTTTTGGAAAAACAGATTTACTTACTTTATTAAGTATTCTGTTGATAGCACTATCAATTTCAGTTTTTACCTCTGAATTGTCAGAATCACTAAATTCTGCGTTTTCATCTTCTTTTGTGTATAAACTAGAAAAATCCTGTAAAAAATTTTCTACGGACACCGCGTTTTTGTGTGCAACCGATCGATTGTGTAACTTTTTTTCTTTCATATCCACAACGATAACACAAACTGGGCAAAAATAGAGTGAACTGTTTTTACTGACTTCCCTGTTATTTATTGTATTAATAGATTTTTTCACTCTTTCCATAGCAGTGTTTGTAATTTTCAAATTGATTTTGTGTTTCACACTATCATAATGTTGATTTAAAAATGGTGATGGCACATCTATATCACAGATATAGCAAGTTGTATAATCCATTTCTTCATCTGATTCATCTAAAACAATTTTTTTATTTTAATATTATATCGTAACTAGCGGCTCACCTTCCCTTCGTTCGGGTTCGCCTCTAGAAAAACAAAAAGAAATCTGTCCCACGGAAACAGTACATTTTTCCGGAATAAATAATATAATTTTTAATTTTTAGTTCAGTGTTTAACTTTTTGTTTTTTTTTTATTTTCATTGTGGTCTGCTTCTTATTTGTATTTTAAATATGTGGAAACTTCATTGGTTTATGTGTTATCTATTATTATTTATGCAATATTGTACTGTTTGTTTCCCTAAAATAAATAAATAAAATAAATAAAAAGTAGCCTATGGGCTATTCCAGACTATAATCTATTCTTTTGCGAAATTTCATCCAGATCCGTTCAGCCGTTCTAGCATAAATGAGTATGAGTACATTCATCCAAACATCTAAACTTTCACATTTATAATTTAAGATTGTAATGATGTAAGATTATCCTTAAAATCCTTAAATACATGAACAGTACATACTTACTGTTCAAACTCTAAATTTATTTAAACCAAATCACACTAATATTATAAATGTGACAGTTTGTGAGGATGTATGGGTGGATGTTTGTTACTCTTTCATGTATGTTGGGACATTAACACACAGCACCATCTAGTTCCATGATAAGCTACGAGGCCTGTGTTATGGATACCAGATAGTTAATACACTACACATAAACATCCATGACTGGAATACAAACATTCAACATTCATTCAAATGTTCAACATAAATGAATGCTCTGCTAGCACAGCAAGTATGGTCTCTACAAACTGAGCCAAACGTCAAAAAAATAAACAAAAAACATGGCAACTAATAAGGTTTCGTACTTATTATGAAACTTCAGTTGATAAGCGATGAGAGTAAAACTAAGCTTTGTTAAATAAATAACAAAAAAATACTAAACTTATTGTAAGTTACATGAATGTATTATAATATAGAGTCTAATCGCTTTGCAACGATTTTTTTTGATTAACTTAATTAGGGCTCCGTACCTCAAAAGGTAAAAAAAGGAACCCTTATAAGATCACTCTCTTGTCAGTCTATCCGTGTGTCACCACCGATTTTCTCAGGAACGGGTGGATCTAGCAAATTGAAATTTATACCAGATACTGAGGTCTATAATCCCTATTAGGTGTATAAAAATCAAGGTCCTGAGTCAAAACGATAAAAACATATGGGCAAATTTAAATTTTCCGCGAAAACTTGTAAGTACCAAAATTTACCTTAATGTTCAACTTTTTTATTTTTCGGAATTTTCCCTTTACTTGTGCTGTAAGATCTTCCTTTTAACCAAAATTGACAATTATAGGTCAACCGGAAGTACCCTATAGGTTTTGTGTCGAAAACCTATATGATAGTTCCCGTTGACTTAGAATCACGAAATTTGGCAAAAACCAAGGTCTTAAAGCAAAAAGCAAACAAATTAAGGAAAAACTCCAAAAAATAAAAAATGTTTAAAATTAAAGTTCAACAGATTTCCTACAAATTTGTACGGAACCCTCGGTGGGCGAGTCCGACTCGCACTTGTCCGTAACTTTTTTTTTTTTAATTTTGCTACGAGCTGATGGAGTAAGGATAAATGACATAGTAAAAATCACATATGAATGTTGTTAAAAATCCACATAAAAGAGAATGAATTTATGCGAATATATAAAGGGGCACAGTTTGTTTGTTTGGTTGAACACGCTAATCTCAGGAACTACTGATTCTATTTGAAAAATTATTTAGCATTCAATAGCCTGTTTATTGAAGAAGGCTATAGGCGATATATCATCATGCTACTACCCAAGGGAACGGAGTAGTAATCATTAATTTCAACAAATCGGGCAGACTTCCATACATTGTAGTAAAACTATATATATATATATATTATATAATATACAAAAGTCGAACCCGAGTGAAGCGAGGGTGAGTCACTAGTATGCAATAAAATGGTAAATTTAAATGTATCTATTGAAATAAAAATGAATGTTTCCTTGATGCATTCCCATCAATATTATAAATGCGAAAGTTTGGATGGATGTTTGTTATTCAATCACAACAGAACTACACGGCTGAACAAATCTGGATGAAATTTGGCACAGAGATAGATTATAGTCTGGAATAGCACATAGTTTGGTTACTTTTATCTATACTTTTTATCCTGGCAAAATGTATGATTCCTGTGGGATACATTTGTTTTCATTTTTCACTAGGGACAACTCCAAGTAAAGCGAGGGTGAGTTGCTAGTATTATATAAAAAGAAAAGTGCACCAATAATTTTTGTTATTGCATCATTGTTTTCAGTTCCAAAATAGTATAAATTAGTGAACCTGGTAGTTAGACATTGTTTTGATTGCACCCGTTTGGTCAGTAAAGTTAAAAAAAAGCTGAATCTTGACAACAGCAGCTCCTACCAAATCCAACTATAGCTAACAACAATGTCAAACCTAGGCTATGTATCGGAAACATTTAATATAGACCAATACATAACAAACTGCATTTATAATATTAATAAAAAATAAAATATTTGTAACTTACCATCTTCTTCTTCTTCTGTATTCACAGAATTGATTTTAAACTCATAATAATCATTATTTCTCATATCTAAATTTTGTTTAGCCCACAATGGCATCATTTTTCCATCCAACTTGTGGGTAATCGGCAAATAGTTCAAGTCAACAGCATCCAATGATAGCATAAACACGTTATTATTTTTATCCATTTTGTGGGTATCTGTAAAATTAAAGACATATAGAGAGAAAATAGGAGAAAATATATATAATCTATGAATAAAAATAAAGATTTATTCCAACATGTAAAAAATTTAATTTAGTAATGGTATAATAATATATTATAGCATACCAGATAGCAGTTAGTTTTTAATTGAGTTGTAAATTGTTATTAAAAAATAATATAAGTAAATCAAAAGTGTTTAAATATTTTAAAAATAAAGTGTTTTCTTATTGACAGCAAATTTAAAACTAATTTGATAAATAAAAAAGAATACATTAAACTAAAAGATAAATAAAAAATATTTTGTCACCCAATAAATATACAGCTAATTTTAATATATTAATTATTAACACAAAATCTTTTAAATTAGTAGCTAATAATTAATGAAGGACTTATTTTGTTTATTAGATTTTCTTGATTCTACAAAATATACTTATTTAAGGGCTTAGATTATTTTTATAAATAAATTTAAGGGTTATTAAACTTAGTGTTTAAAAAAGTATCAAAAATACATAAAGAAACTATAAAAAAATATTTTAATTCTATTGAACCATGTTCATCTACTCTTTTAATTCTAATATAGTTTAAATCTTTAATCTACTAATAATAGTGTAAAATAAGAATTTATTGAGAAAACTCAATGGCAAGCAAATAGGTACAAAACAGTTAAAATACAAACGTTAGTTACGTTTATTATTAAAACATTATTAGTAAAAATTGAAAATATAAATAGGTATATTTTAATTACCAGAGAGATGATGAAATAAATTTAAAGTTATCAAATATAAGCAACTATTAAAACTAAAAGTTATAAAATTCAAGTTCAATTCTCAACTTGTATTCAACCACGGTAATAATCATGGATGGTAATAATAATTAATACATAATATTTATTATTTACCGTGATTCAACTGTCAACAATCATCAATCAGCATCAATGTCAGAATATCGATTTCACATTTTGCAAATATGTAACAAATACTTAGCGAATAATTATTCGTTACCTTGAACAATTATCTTTTTTTATATTTTATTTCTTTTTACCTATAGCCAAGTAATATATTCGATTACAGATAAGTTTAATAATCATCTATTATTAATAAGTTTTTTAAAACAGAATTATTTTACAACAGTAATATTAATTGCTTTTGAAGTAAAGAAGTTCAAAATAACAATATAAAAACATTTATTTCATTAATGTAGATATGTTCTTTTAATTTGCAAACCGTTCGGTTACCCCTCTGTAAATTAAAAAAAGTCCACTTTTTATTATTCATCCAAAAATAATTATGTTAATCGAGTAACCATTGATGAATATATCGAGTTGCATAGCCATGATTTCATGGCTATGACAATATACATACAGACGAATTGAGTATTTCATTAAGATTTAAAACTTAAATTACATATCAATATAGTTTAAAAATTGTAAACAAAGTAACATTTTATTAGAAATACAACATCAATAAGATATAAATATTCAAGAAACTAACCCCAAGAATTAATTTAGTCGGGGAATAACCTAAAAAATAATCACAAGCCAGATAGAATTATACGCATAATAATGATGCTATTCACAGATTAAGGAGACTACGTCGTATTGCAGTGTGTGGTTACTTTATTTAAACCAAAACCGCCATATTATTTAATCATATTATATATTTTATTATTTTAAAGGAAAGACATGAAACAGTAAATAATACAAATATTCTAAATATATAAATTGTTACATTATTGTAAGTTTTATTTATGTTAAAAAATCCCCAATTACCACAATGTTAACTTTTTAATTTTAATAAACTATACATAAAATGTCACTGTCAAGTGTCAGTTGTCCCTTGTCAATGTTCGACGCTATCAGTGTTGTTGTTTTTAACACCAAATTACTTCCTAAAATCATATTTAATTGAGAAATTTATTATTAAAAATGAGTTCCGTGCAAGAACGTTTACAATTAAAACGTGTGCCACTAGACACATGGAATATACGCGAGAAGTTATTTCTTGCATCTGCTGTAGTGCGGAGTGGTGATCAAAATTGGATGTCGGTATCCAGGGCTTTGAAAACTATGGGAGAACCTAACAGACCTCCAGATTGGTATTCACAGAAAAGGTAAACAAATAGTTTCCAATTTTCATCCTATTTTTCGTCTAGGTCTTCAGAGAGATGAGAATGATGACATAAAACCTTGAGGCTATGTAAGAGAATTATTATAAAAAATAACTTTTTTATGTGTCTTTCCATAAAAGTTCTAATGCTTATGATATTCACTAGAAAAGTAATAATTTAATGCTAAATAAATTATAAACCTTTTATTAAATTCAAATTTTGAAATTTAATATGATATTGGAATACTTCGTGTTAACCTTTATTACACAAACAGATAAAAGAAAACATATATTGTAAAAACTATTTAAATTTTAAATTCAAATTATTATTATGTTTTTCTAGTGGCTCACCCTTGCTTCGCTTAAGTTCACCTCTAGGAAGACAAAAACAAACCTATCCCACGAGAATCGTACATTTTTCCGGGATAAAAAGTAGCCTCTGTGCTATTCCAGACTATAATGTACCTCTGTACTAAATTTCATCCAGATCCGTTCAGCCGTTCTAGTGTAAAAGAGCAACAAACATCCATACATACTCACAAACATTTATAATATTATAATATGGATTTATTTTTTTGAAATGTCGTTAATATTAGCTTTCGCAGAAAAAAACCCTGTTATTATTGAGGAACATACTCATACTATGTGACACGTTCAGGGTGGGGAGGAGGTATCTTCAAAATATCATGATTGGTTACAGGGGCGAGTAGGAGTTCTTAGGTCTTCATCATGTAGTCAATATCCTAATAGAGCCAAATAATTTTATTTAACTCTCTGTTTGCAAAAAATGATTTAAAATCATTTAAAACCATATTTATGAATTATTATGTGGAAACTGGAGGGGGCGAGGGGTCTTGGCATATACTATGGGTGATCAGTGTTTATCGATGGGGGAGGGGGGTAAAAAATTGTAAAAAATGGGTATGTTCCCTTATTGACTTTCAGTTAATTAATCACAGAAACATTTTAACATGCTTTGTTTTTCAGCTGTGCCGCTCAATATGGAGCCCTGTTAGAGCATGTGGAGACTCCAAAACGTAAAAAACGTAATTCTGAAGGGGCTGTAGAGACCCCACAAGAGAGTATATTGAAGCGTCTAATGCAACAAAGAGTTTTAGAAATCCAAGAGAATCTGAAGGAAATGGAAAAACAGTATGACCAGATTAAAGTGAGTTTTGTACTGTCACTGATACAGTTTGCTTGTGTAATTAAATAAAAATTAGTCAAGTGCGAGTCGAAAACGCACACGCGTACCATCATACTCGTACATGTACTTTTTATTAATATGACTTTTACTCTATGTATGTAGTATATTAATTACTGCGATGATTGATAAAAAAACGTAAAAAATATTTTTCTTGTATTTTTTTTATTATTTGTTTTTATAGCGGCAATAGAAATACATATCTGTGAAAATGTCAACACTCTACCTATTACGTTTTACGAGATTCGGCCCTCTGAAAGACAGACGGACGGACAGCGGAGACATAGTAATAGGGTTCCATTGGTACCCTTTGGGTATGGAAACCTAAAAACTAAAAAATACACTTTAATGATGAACGAAACTAAAGAACAGCAGATTTTTAGCAAAAGAAAAATATGATTAATGAGAAAATTAATGTTATTATAAAAAAAACGTGAGGTGCTTTGTACAATATATTTTATACTAAATCTACTTTTAAAAATTGTACCAATGAAATATTTATAACAAGTGATATCGAGTAGCATTAATTTTCTCACTGATACTTAAGAGATTGCAAATCTAAAGAAAACGTGAGAATTTCTATAAAATGGCGTAGCGGGTAGCGATAACCGAGTGAAGCGGGTTCAAATCCCGGGTCTCGCACCTTTGATATTCTCATGTGCGAAGCATTTCCAACACGATTATCACTTATCTTACGGTGAAGGAAAACATCGTGAGGAAACCTGCTTGTCTGAGAGAACCTAGCAAGCTTTTAAAAGACATGCTCAGTCCGCTCGCACTTGGCCACCTTGGTGGACTATGGCCTGATCCCCCTTGTATTAAAGGGAGGCCCACCCTCAGCAGTGGGACGTTTAAAAAGACTGAATATAAGAAGAAAAACATCTTTTTTTTTTCAGAATGAAATAACAGAACTACGCAGTCCATCAACTCCAGACGAGCGTATACAGGAGCTGTGGACGGAGATAGAGACAGCCAAACGTTTGAGGGAGAGGGAGAATGCGCGGAGAGCTGCTTGGCTTAAAGAAAGAGAAGAAAGAAGAGCAAGAGCAGAGAGACCATGGAGGCCTTCACAGACACCACCACCTACTACTCGTGAGTTTTTGCTACTTATATTGATATCTATACAGATAAATAAAATCAAAGTGTCCTATGTGTAATGTCAAAATAACAGTTTTTTACTAAATACGGTACTAAAAAGTATATACGGTAATAATAAGAAACACACGCTTTTAAATATTTTGTCTGTCTGTCTGTTTCGGCTAATCTCCGAAACGGCTGGATCGATTTTGACAGGACTTTCACTGGCAGATAGCTGATGTTATATAGATTAACTTGGCTACTATTATTTTAGAAAAAGAATTCGGTTCCGTTAAAAATAATTAAAACGTTCATACTTACTTTAAACTTTTTTTTTAACCCACGTCGCAGAAGAGTGAGTCAAAAAGAGAGGGGCGTTATAAGTTTGACCCAATCCCAGTTTTATTGCGGTGGTTCTTAGCTATATGTTTGGTTAATATCGATCCAGCAGTGTAAGAGTATCAGCTCTTTTCCAAAATGATGTAAGGCATTTTGGCGTAAGATTACTCGATTAAGTGCTTCAACCGTGCCATAGTTATCGTTAAATGACAATTAATTTGCGTATGGGGTTTTTAAAATTTTTTATTTATAATTATTTGATTTTTCCAGCGACCACAGCGCCCCCATCGTCGCCTCTACTGACATCACTACTCAAGTCCTCCCCGGTAGTGACCACCCCACAGCATATTCCACATCCAGCGACTGTTGTTGGTAAATATAATACTAATTTAACTAACTTCAAAAGAAAGTATTCACTTTATATTTCTTTATTTATACTTTATTGTACACCACAATCATAAAGTAAATACAGTAACGAAAATATATATAAAAAAAAAACAAAAATAAAAGTTTGCACAAAAGGCGGTCTTATTGCTATATGCAATCTGTTCTAGACAACCTCTGGGTTAGGAAATATGGTAGACTATAGAGGGCGGGTGATGTAAATATTAAATATTATATACAATACATACCACGATACAACCTAATACTTAGAAATTCTACACATATATCTATATATGTGATGATGATGATGATGATGTTCTCCTAGCCGATTCCGGCCACGGCGGCCAATCTCATTGAGACTAGCCAACTGCGCAGGAGATATTATAGTGCACAAGTGTACGCGCAGACACAAGTGCACTCTCTATTCCTGTCGCTCTCATACTACATGCTAGCCACTACACCACCGAGGCAGTTAATCTATATATGTATATAATATGTATCTATAAATTATTATACTAAAACATATTTAAATTATAATTAATATAAATGTTGTACAATATCAACTTCTCATTTAGAGAAATTTTAACAGATTTTTTAAATATTTTTAATGATTTAGAACGTATAATTTAATTTGATGTCTCTGAGGGTTCGAGTCTCGGTTCTTTTTTTTGGTTGTAAGGGAAATCTGCGAGCATATGTTCTTTTAACAGATATGTTGATGAAATGATATCAAAGGCTAAGGTTTTAGAAAACATATTTATTAGAGAATGATTAGTTGACAATATAATATATGTAAAAAAAAAAAACTGACATGAAATTCTCAGTGACAGCCTGGGAGTTGGGATCATAGGGGTGTTACTCCTTTGTGAGATTATCGTTTAGTGTAGTTTAAAAGAAGAATATACAGTTGCCCAGTTTGGTGGACTGTGGCCTGATCCTTCGTATTGAAGGGAAGCCCACCCCCAGCTGTGGGACGTTAAAAGAGGGCTGAATATATAAATTCTCGTTTCTCTTTCTCTTACAGATTCAGTATCTCCTTCCGCAGGAGCTCCGACTCTATCTCTCTTGCTGGAACAACCCCACGCTCAAGAGAGTAAACACGCAGCTATCGAACATATAAAGAGTCAATTGGTTCAAATTGAGCATCAGTTGAAAGGTTTGTGTATGACTGTTTTATTTTATATATCTATATATTATATACTAATATTATAAAGTCATTTTTTTTGTATGTTTCTTTGTATTGGAATAGGAATTGGCTGAATCGATTTAGATGAAATTTGGAATGGTTGGAGATCCTGGGCCTTCCCAGGATCTCCAACCATTCCAGTATATACCACATAAGATAGTTTTTATCCCGGAAATTATCCCTAAAGGAATGAAAACTTGGGGAAAATGGGGGTGGGAGTATGTATAAGGCATCAATTATTTCTCAAGTAAGGGATATATAACTCATCATACCGTCATATGTATATACATACATCCATAATATACAGTCTTACAAGTTATTATAAAAAAAATAAAAATGCTTACAATTAAAATTAACAAATATTTATTGTAAGGCATTTTTAAATTTTTTGAAATCAATTTTTAATAAAACTATCTTTTTGGATTTTTTCGCGGATTTGTTTTATTTTTGAATTTTTTGAATTCATTTTTTTATTTCGCGGGTAGGCTGTCTTTAAGTGTTAAGTAAGTTCAAGTGTTAAGTATACAATGCCTTTGAGACGTCTAACACTTCAGTCTCTCCCGTGACCATGATCGCTTTAAAGCATTCGAAACGTCGGGGACCAAAAATCGAAATCCGCGAAAGGATAGTTTTATTTAAAATATAAAATTGTAGGTAGGCAATGTCTGTAAAAAAAAACGTATGTGTGTACTTATGTACGCACGTAAGAAGTTACACTTCTTTGGCGTAACAGAACAAAAATAGCTAAAAATTTCATCCCGTATGTCACAACTCTTTGTTTGTAAAAGGAATGCAGCTAACTTCATCATGTCGCTTTTTGGCTGTCGGTGTGCGCGCGCATTGTAAAAAAATTATTCTTTCATTTGTTTTTCCCAACCGTGCCAAAAGAAGTAGAACTTCAACAAGTATAACCTCATGTTAAAATATCCCTCGGGTGTTCCACAGCAAGCAGCCAGTCCGGTGTTCCAGCGGTTGATATAGACGATATAGAAATAAAGGCGGAGGATGTTTACGCGTTTAGAGATATAGACATACACATACCGCCAGTGGCTCTACACAAGGGGACTGTACGGTGAGTCTGTATCCATGCTTCTAAACTTAATATTATAAATGTGAAAGTGTGTCTGTTTGTTTGTTTGTTTGTTTGTTTGGTTGTTTGTTTGTTTGTCCTTTTCAACCGACTTCCTCTAAAAGGAGGAGGTTCTCAATTCGGCTGTTTTTTTTTTATTTTGTTACCTCAGAACTCCGTCATTTATTAACCGATTTGGACAACTTTTGTGTTGTTTGAAAGTGTATACTTCCAGATTGGTCCCATTTAAATTTCAAATAAAAAAATACCACCCCTAAGGGTGGAAAAATAGCTAATGATGCATTTAACCTACTTCTAATTGTCATATTGACTTGAAACATTGCAAGTGTTTCTATTTCCGTTGATAGTACAGTGGTTCGGTATTGTTGACCTGATCTGATGGTAAGGCCAGAAGGCGGATAGGTGAAACTCTTCAACGGCTAATAGTAGATACTTTGAGTTTGGGCTTATTTTGTTTGATTCGACAATTCGCTAGAATTCTTACTTTGCTACTACTGTCTACACTAAAAAGGGAAAATAATTTTTTTTAACAATAAAATAAAAACCGACTTCAAACAAAAGCACTAAAAAGTAAAAAATAACTGATTGGTAGTTTTCATTTACTATACATACCTAATCAAATAATTTCGAAGTCGGTGCCAGCCGATACAAAGCAATATATATCTGTCAGACAATAACAACGGTTACCATGGCAACATGGCAATGTATTCTATCTCATTCTCTCGCCGGCTTAATCCTGTGTATTAATGTGTTTGTCTCTTTCTAGTGTCGCATTTTCGTTTCATCGAGTTTCAAATCACAACGATTCTAAAGAAGTTTCACTTCAAAAAAAATCACGATTTACTTGCTAATACTAATTTTGTATGTTTTAGTATAACGGAAAAACCTGTTTCCAAAAAAGAGGACGAAGTAGCACCAGAGCCGGAGATGATGGAAGCTGTGGTTGAAGATATAAAGGTATTAAAATAGTTTTTTTTTAATAATTAATGATTATATTTTTTTAATTTGTAATAGAAAGAGAGAAAATGTGTGTGAGAGAGAAAGAGATAGAGATGGAGATATGTAGATAAAGAGAGAGAGAGATATCAATGTGTCTTTTTTGACCATGAAATAGATAATAAGATTAAGAACGATAATTATATACATATATACCACATGACTATTATATGTTTGTCTTCAACAAAATAGTTTATAAGAAGGAGAAAGAGATGCGCCATTATAAGAGAGTAAGAAAGAGACAGAGATAGAGAGTGAGTGAGTGAGATGACTAACATGTCTTCGTCTACAGCGAAAGAGATATAGAGTGTTTAAATTAACATATCTTTTAAGGAGGAACCGACAGCAGAAGAATCTGTTCCAGAAGAAAGTTTTACAACAACCAATATACAGACGGTATGTCTTTTGTATATGTATTTTATATATAGATTGTGATGTTTGTCCGTTTGTATGTAACAGATAAACTGTGAAACTATAAACCTATGGTGTGATTGTGAAAATTGTTTTAATAATAGGAAAATACGTAATCCCGGTTTTTATTTTAATAAAACAGTGACCTACCCTCGCTTCGCCCGGGTGCGTCCCTAAGCACGTTTTAATATTTTGCGCAGAACGATCATTCTTTTTCTAAAATAAAAGTAGCCTATATTACTTCCTATAACATCAGCTATCTGCCAGCGAAAGTCCCGTCAAAATCAGTCCAGCCGTTTCGGAGATTAGCCGGAACAATCAGACAGACAGAAATTTTAAAAATTGTGTTTTTCTCATAAGTACCGTATATAATTTCATTCGTATTTAGTAAAAAGCTGTTATTTTGACTTTACAAACAGACACTTCAATTTTTATTATGTAGTATAGATTACGAGTTATGGTTTTTTTAAAATTACGGATACTAGTGTACTTACCCTCGCTGTGCTCGAGTCTCTAGCTACCTTTTAGCCAATAGAACTAATGCTTCCCCGTATAAACTTTCATCCGCATTTTCACCCCCTTAAAAGGTGATTTGCGGGATAGTAACTATCCTATGTCCTTCCCATGGTCTAAAATTATATACTTACCAAATTTCATGTAAATCGGTTCAGTAGTTACGGAGCTTATTGGGTTATTATTACAAAAAAAATTTTTCCTCTTTATAATATTACTAGCGACTCACCCTCACTCCGCTCGTGTTCGTCCCTACTTACGTTTTAAGGTTTAGTATAGATTTCTCAAAAATGAGATATTTTCTCGCTATAAAAAGTATCCTATATGTAGACCCGGATAACCAGCTGTCATCATACCAAATTTCATAAAAATCCCTCCAGTGGTTTTTTCGTGATGCGGTAACAGTTTCTTATTTTTAACATTTATTAGGTGGAAGAACCACAGATAGAAGAAACACAGGAAATACAAGAAGAGATGGAACCGAAACCGCAACAACAGCCGCAACCGGAAGCGGAAGTGAAAATAGTGTTTCCGGAAGTCAAATTTCCGACGCCGGAAATTAAAGTTATACAACCTGATGAACAAAAGGTGTTTATATTTAAATAGCTGTTAAATATAAAATGTTACTTTTTAACGTTTAGTATAGATTTCTCAGAGATGAGATATTTTCCCGCAGTAAAAAGTATCCTATATGTTGACCCGGATAACCAGCTATCATTATACGGATTTTCATCAAAATCTGTCCAGTTGTTTTCTCGTGATCCCAGACAGACAGATAGACATACAAAAATTCTAAAACTATAGATTTCGCCTCTGTATCGATAATTATGATTATTTCAATAATCTTTCAAAAAATATTTAATGTACAGATTCGATTTTGATTAGATTTTGTTATATGTATAGATTAGTGAATATCGGTAGCTCCAGCCAGTCGCGTTGTTCATTTATCAATTACTATATCTTTTTAAATTAGAGCCTGTGTCTTACTCTGATGTATAAATTATATACATAATCGTAAAGTTTCATCGAAATCCGTTCATCAATTTTTGCGTTGAAAGCGTGTAGCAGAGATTTGACAATTTTTAAAGTGAAAGCTTGTAAGGGCAGGTTTGTTTGTATGGCCCGGGGGAGAAGCCAACTCCTACCGGGCGCGTCCCCAGGTGGCGGATAGGGGAATGCCACCCGCTTAGGGCGGCGGGTGGTACCGGAGAAATCCGGCGCGGACCAAATGGCTTGGGTGGGGCCGCTCGTCTAGGACTCGAGCCGAAGACGTTGCGGACACCGATGGTGGGACCGCTTGGTCCCACAACCGGATGATGGGTGCCGGTTGCGGGACTGTGGTCGCAGGCCCGCATCCGGCGGAGGAGTAGGCCGCGGCGGGAGAGGAGTGCCGGTATTTCGGTGCGCCGTTCTCCCTACCTTCCGCGGCCTAGACGGGGCCGCCACCGTTTGATGGCGGACGCGGTGGGGCTGCAGGGGAAGAGGAGTGTCGGTGTTTCGTTGCCGCTCTCCCTGTCCTCTGCAGCCGATTGGAGGTGGCCCACTTCGGTGGGCGGAGTTTCGGTTCAATGGGGCTGCTCCGGGTACCTCTCTGGTGTAGCAGAGTTGACTGTGGAGCAGCCCCATCGGTATGGTGGTCAGCCGTTGGCAGACCTGCCGCCGGGGCGCCGTAGTAGTTATGCGCAAGCGATCCTGCGGCGTCCCATTAAGGCGGAGGGGAGGGGAATGTCGGGTTTTAGTGGGTAGTGCCGGCTCTTCTAGCCGGTGAGCCCCACATCACCACCTGGGGGATCAGGTGGTATGCGTAAATGCATTTCCCGACATAAAAAAAAAAAAAAAGGTTTGTTTGTATGGGGAGTAAATTCATGTAAGTCGTCATCGACATGGTCACGTGACGTGTTGACGCTAACACTCAGAGTGCCGATAGATGACAGAACTAGATAGATGTGTACAGTTAATTTACACATTTTAATTTAAGATCAAACAATTTGAATATCCAAAAATAACGACTGTTTGTTTATAGTTTTAAGTTTTCACTTCTGTCGGCTGTCCTTGTGACTGCTTTTTTTATTTTTTCTTAATAATCCTTTCTGTTATATAAACTTACTACTTTTTTTTGTGTGCTAGTTATATAAATAATAATTAATTACAGATTAAAGAAGAAACGAAAGAACCGGAAACAGTTCAAGTAGAGAAGATTATAGAAGAAAAAGAAGAAACTCCACCTATAGAAGAGAGAGTGGAAGAACCGTATGTACTTTATATAATTTTAAAATAATTTTATAATATTTACTACTCACCCTCGCTGCGCTCGGGTTCGTCTCTCGGTACCTTTTAACGGTTTGTATGGAATAGGTAGACTGTATGTATATATATATATATATATATATATACATACATACATAGGTATGATGAGTTGTTGTGGGTTGTATTATAACATCTTTTTCCGTAAAGTGAGGTAATCTTTTTGTTATAATGTAGAATTAAGTACAAAAAAAAGAAAAATTATCAATATCGCTCGTAGCAGTGAACTTGCCGGAAACAAATATTAAAATTTATTATTACTTGAAAATAAAACCAGAACGGCTATATTCAGAGTGAGAAGGCGGAAGCGACCACAGATAAAATATATAATTAAAATATCTTTAAAGCATTACCATACACTTAATGAGTTAAATGTTCTTACATCATCTGTACTAAATATTATTTTTATATAAATCACCAAAATTAAAACCTCATTTCAGAACTCCAATAACAGAAGAAGAACCAAAACAAACGATAGTGGAGGAAAACAACCAAGAAGTAACCGCAGTACCGGAACCAAAACCTGAACCGGAACCAGAACAAGAAACAATCGTAGCCCAACCAGAAGTTCCCGACCCACAAGACATACCGTTGCCAGAGGAAGAAGTAAAAGAAGAAGAAAAAGAAGGTATTTTATTTTTTAACTTTAATAATTTCGTTTATTCGCGTGGATTCGCCTGCATTGTTCAAGTACGTATTATATATATATATATATATATATATATATATATATATATATATATATAAAATTATTATATTTATAAAGAAATGTACTTAAAATCCATTCAGTACTTTATGCGTGAAATGCACACAGACATACAGACAAATAAACAAATTTAACAACTATTGTTTTGGTATCTTTACTCTGTACACAATACATTAGTCATTTGATTTTAGAATATGTTTCATGTATAGATTTCGGTAAGTTACTATTTAATTATATGTATGTATAAGTTAGGATTAATTAATGTGACATAAACAAACATACATTATTATAATTTATGATATAGCTAACACTATTATTAATAGTAAGAAAGTTTTAAGTGCAGGTTTAAAAGAACGATCAAAAAGTAATAATTTTGAATGTTTTAAATTAAAATGATATGAAAATTATACCATTTATTTTTTTCTAGCTGAAAAGCCTGTGCCGGAAGAAGAGCAACAACCGGAAGTGGTTAAACATGAAGAAGATATTAAAAAAGAAGAAGAACCCGAAGTGAAGGAAGAAGTTAAAGAAGAAGAAATTGTTGAAGAGAAAAAAGAAGAGACTATAGAGGAAAAAGTGGATGAAGATAGCAAAAAGGGTGGAGATGAAGATGCTGAGGTATTTATATTCTTTTTTTTGTATTATATTTCTTCTTTTATTTTTAGCGCAAAATTTTTGTTGATGATGAATAAAAATCGATTTAGTTTTAATTGATTATATTTTGTTAATATATTCGACTAAAATATCGATAATCTATTTTAGGACTCAATACCTCTCAAGGAGATGATGAGAGAAGAATTATCAGAAGTGAAGAGAGAAGAAGTGGTAGAAGAAGACACTCATACAGAGACAGATGACGACACGCCTATGGAGGTATAGTTTTTTTTTATAAATCTTAGTTTGTATTATAAATGGAGAGCGTGTTTGCTTATTTTCTTTCACGCTGAAACATATCGATAAGTTTTTTTCCGTAAATTTTGAAAGAAATGCATGGTATTGAGATTAAAAAATATATTTTTAGTTAAAGGTACGAGGGCCGTACTTATTTTTTTAAATTTATGTGTTCTTTTTTTAATTTATATCTACCTAAAATCGGCGTAGCTATTGCATTTAATAGTTTTTCTAGAATGTGATCGTTCTGGAAGAAGAAGCTATAGAATTATGCTTTATTGAATTATTTTTTCTCTTAATTTTCAGCTCAGTAGAGAAGAAGAGAAGGATGGGAAGAAGAAAAGAGATTATTCCAGAAAAAAGAAGTCTGACTCCAGAAGTGGGTTCTTTATTTATTTGCGAATTGAAATGACTTTTGTAAAGTTTAGTGGTTTATTTTTTTTATATTTATGTCAAATTCTTTTAACTATTTTTAAACATATGTATTTAGGTCAAATTGTAATATTTTAATATTATTATTGAAAATTTGTAGAAAATATATCTTTATGAATAGAATTTACCTATCTATATATAAAAAACTGTTTTAATTTTTTTTATTGATAGCACTAAAGCTCGTCAATAGCAACTAAATAAAGAAATATGAAAATTAGTTGACAAACAGACGAGTAAAAAGTACTGAACTTTTTTGTCTTTGCCTATTTATATATAGATAAAATATTTTAATGCAAATGGTTTAACACCAGATGAGTCTTTAATGTTTCGAAATCGTATTGGGTTTTGTTTTACTGTTAACGGACCGCCGAGACTGATTCCATGCATCGAAGCCCACGCCCAGCAGTGGGATGTTAGAAAGGACTTAAAACATATTATATAATGTATAAAAAAAATATATTTATATTTTCCAGCGTGTTCAGGGTCAGAGAGTGCGCCGGAGTCGCCGAGTGGGTCTGATGCTGAAAGGCAGCATCGCTTGTGGAGGAAGAGTGTCATGTTGGTGTATAGCAGGTATTGGAAAATATTTGTTTGCGGATGATTCTCTTGGTTCCTGTGGCCTTAAGGCGAATAAGGATGACATGGTTACGTTTTATATGGATGGATGGATGGACGGATGGATGGGTGTTTATATTTATAATATGTATGTATATAAAGTTATATATGTGTAGTGTATCAACAGCTATCCGGTATCCATACACATACACAAGCCTCGTAGCTTGCCATGGAACCAGATGGTGCTGTGTGTTAATGTCCCACGAATGCAGGCTGTGCGCGCACAAGTACGCGTCGCTGTTCCTGCGGCCCATCACGGACGAGGAGGCGCCCGGCTACAGCGCCGTCGTGCGCCGCCCGCAGGACCTCGCGCACATCCGCCGCGACATCGACGCCGGACACATACGGTGAGGCGTACACACACATACATACACATACATACACACACACACACACACACACACACACATACATACACACACACACACACACACACACACACACACACACACACATACATACACACACACACACACATACATACACACACACACACATACATACACACACACACACACATACATACACATTTACATTTGTTTATTTATATATAATTACATTAACAGCTTATTGTACAATAAACAGCACTTTATAAGTTTATATACAATAATCAAGTATTTAAAAGTATATAGTTTAACAGTACGACGGTAGGATAATATTCCTCGCACGCATGTCCACTCGCTTATATGTATATACAGACACACATCATACACACTGCTTGTACAATCACAACTTTTTGTTGTCACATTGTCGCTAAACTGCACTCGGTTAACTAATCATATTTATTGAATACAAATAAAACTATCTTATAGTTTGAGATATAACGAAACGAAAGCGTGATGTAGAAGACGAGTAACGCCATCTATGTTTAGTGCATGCAACTAAATTAATTTAAACGATCAAACACACACACACGCCAACCCTCCAATCACACTACTACACTTCCTACATGGTTAAAATTATATTATTATTGCTTATTTGTTCAAACAACCAATACTTGTTGTACTTTACAGTAGAGAGGTTTTGTCCTCTGTTTCACAAACAAATCAACACTAATATTATAAATGTGAGAGTATATTTGTTTGTTTGTTTGTCCTTCTTTCACATCGAAACGGAATAACGGATTGGCGTAATTTTTTTTTGTGTGGAGATAGTTGGAGGGCTGGAGAGTGACATAGACTACTTTTTACCGCGGGAGATTATCTCATTCCCACAGGAGAACACGTTATAATACAATCCAAAAAATATTTATGATCAGAATTACTTGCAATTTGGTATTAATGCTCTTTAATAAAATTCAATAAATACGTGTTTTGCATTTTTTTAAATAGGGGATGAAAGTTTCTGTGAAACTATCTTTTTAGATTTTTCGCAGTTTTAGCGTGAGCAAAGCCGTGGATTCTGCTAGTATTTATATACATATATAGATAAAATATTTTTTTTCAGCTTTATTAAAGTAAAACGTGTATTTAATACAGATAGAATTGATATTTTTAAACCAATAATCCTGTATTAAAAATTCTGTCACTTTCCTCTTATTACCTTAATGAAAACTGCTAGTACATTTGCTAAAGTTTTATCAAAAATAGCATGAACAATTCCTTTTAAGTATACCATAACACAACATTACGTATTATAATATTTTGGAAAAACAGAAAAATAACAATATTATATAGTATTCTTTATTGCACTTATATGTAAAATACAGACGTTAACAAACAATAAAATTCGTTAGCAAAGGTGGACTTATCTCTAGGAGAGATCTCTTCCAGTCACCCTGAGTGAGTTACAGAGTTTGTGTTAAAAATTTTTTTTTTGAAGTGAAAACTTACATAATATCAGATTTTACTTATTAACAAATCGTCTTGTTTACCAATCAATCTGCTTCGTGTCTTCTCCATTCTACGTGACATTGGCGAAGCAATTTGTGCTCAACTGGCACGCTTTGACAAGAGAATTGAATTGAATTGAAAAAAAATGTGTTGTGTGTCTGTGTGTGCAGCACGACGGCGCAGTTCCAGCGCGCGGTTCTGCTGATGCTGAGCAACGCGCTGATGTACAACAGCTCCTCACACAGTGTCTACTCCATGGCCAAGGAGATGCACGAGGAGGTGACGTATAGTTCGATCCCTTGACAACTGCAGGACACATGCCCACTCCTCTCTCCACTCCCTCCTCCCTCCACTCCCACCTCCTCCACTCCTCCATCGCCCGGATGACCAGCTATCATCATACCAAATTTCACAAAATCTGTCCAGTTGTTTTCTTGTCACGCATTCCCAGACAGACAGACATAAAAATTCTAAAAAGTATAGATTCGGCCTCTATCGATAATAATGACTATTTCGATAAGATTTTCCAAAAAATATTTAATGTACAGATTCGACTCTGTTAGAATTTTATTATTATTATGTATAGATATAAAGTACATACGATTCTTTAGCTGTCTTTTATACAAATGGAGGGTTTTCTTTCATAGATAATGAATACATTATTATTATTGTAAGTCATCGACGAAAAAAGTACTAAACACATAATCCTATGCAAAAGTTCTCTTAAAACTGTCACCGATTGTGTTTAGGTAATTCTAGTTAAAATAAATATACTACAGTCGACAATGTAAATTGAACCTTAAGTGCAGTGTTTAAAGTTGTTTTCACAAAAAAAACGCGCTCAAATGTTGAAACGAGCGCTCATTCGGTGAGGACATTCTTTGTCGCTGATTGTGTTTATCTAGTACTTTTTTGATCGATGTTGTTAGTGCACTAATTATATAATTATATGTATGTGTGTATGTTACAGGCGCAATGTCAGCTCAACATGTTGGTGGCGGCGCAGGCGCACGCCGGCCTCTGCGCGCCGCGCCGCAAGCGCAGGAGATACGCACTCGACTAGACATACACACAGTATCATATGTACATACAAACATATATATACATATAAACATTAGGTGGAGAGAAAAAAATTTTTTTCTTTGCTCGGGGGTAGAATTTGTTTGTAGCTTATGAAAAAACAAAATTTTTGAAAAAAAAAAATTTTGTCAACACTTTGTGTGGCCCACTGATTTTTAAATAAATAATTTATATTTTTGGTTTGAATGGAAAAGTTTTTTTTCGCGCGATCATCTTTGTAAACAATTAAGACTTGACGAATTTAGTAATTTTTATTTTTTAACATTGCATTATTGTAATTTAAAAAAAATGAAAAAAAACATGTTACTTTTTTGTACTACAGTGAAAGTTGAGTAGAAAATGACTATATTCGTCAATTCTTGTATGTTTATATAATAAAAAAATTTCATCTAAACTAAAAATTGAAATTAATTATTTTAAAAATCAGTGGGCCACCTCAAAACGTTGAGTAAATTTTTTTTTGTTATTTCGTGTGTATGTTGAGTACGAATATATACATACGAGTTCCATTGTGCGCTGTTTGAAAAAAAAGCAGTCACGAGGACAGCCGACAGAAATGAAAACTTAAAAATATAAACAAACAGTTGTTATTTTTGGATATTCAAACTAATGGTTTGATCTTAAATTAAAATGTGTAAATTAAAACCGTTCACATTTATCTGGTGTTATCTGGTATATCGGCACCCTGTGTGTTAGCGTTGACATGTCACGTGACCATGTCGATGACGACCTACGTGAATTTACTCCCCATACAAACAAACCTATACAAGTTTTCACTTCGAAAATATAAAATGGTGGCGACTTTCATAGAAAAATGTTGGAAACGTTTTGATATCATGTCTATATATCAGAAATAACTATTAATCACTGTTTTATAAACAGATGTAAGGACATTTTAAATATACTATAAGTAAATAAATATGTTATAATGATTTGTTGTTTTATTTGATCACCAGAGTTTTTTGTGTAGACCTTTTTAAGATGTACAGTTTTCGAGTACATTGTTTTTATATATAAATCTTTCGTTTAGCCAGCTTTAGCCATGTTTTCTAAGAGAGACTCGATAGAACAAGTAATTGTGTTTTTACGTGGGAATGATATTTTCATGTAGTAAAAAGATATCCTAAATGTTGACCCGAGTAATAAGTTATATCTACACAAAATTTGGTTCAAATCGGTTCAGTACTTTTAGCATCAAGAGTAATTAGAGAAACAGAGAAAAAATTGAATATCTATTGTTTTGGGGTCTATATTTACATAATATGGTAGTCTTTGTTCTTAAAAATAATTCATGTACAGATTTCGGTTTGTTACTGTTTTATTATATCTATCTTTGCTGATATACTATTAAAGATATTTGCCAAAATCTATTTTTGTGATTTTTGAGGCAACATACAATACCAAAACAAAAACCAAAAAAGGTATAAGCAATTTTTTTGCTTATTATCTTACATGCCAATGTAAATCGCTCAAAATACCAGGGGACTAGAACCAACATATTAAAGAACGATTTTCGCTCTCGTTCAATAGTAGTGCGAATTAATGTCGGCACCCTAATTGTAAGTTCGAATTTGTTGTCCGTATATAAGTCATGGGGTTTGGTCTAAGATCAGGAACTAAGAAATATTAGTTGAATTAAATGGCAATAGATGGCGTTACGTATTATGTAAAAATAAAAAACCCAAAAGGCATAATATACTTATTTTATAAAATAATCCAAAAAAGGAAAGAAAATATTAATTTCCATTCAATATCAATTTAATTTGTCCTTGGTGTGTTCATAGATGGCGCTGTGTAAATATATCGATTTAAGAAAAATAGCTTCAAGGCCTTCAAATGGTGGAATTTTGCCTTCTTCTCCCGCCAGATGTCGTGTGGATGAAATTGTTTTCATTTTATTTAAAAATTAATTAACAAAATGTGCATGCCAGGATGTAAAGAAAATAGATATCATTTGTTACCGAGAGACAAAAATTGAAGTAATAGCAGACTAAAGCAATAAGTCGACCAAAATTGCCGAACATTTAATATCTCGTATATCTGAACAGACAAATTAGTTCAAATAAATGTCAATAGATGGCGTTATATATTTCGGTACTTTATGACGTGTATGCAAGCGCGGATCCAGTCCTCAAAAGCGGAAAACCAGCAAGGTGCCTATCAGAGTGTGGACATACTTATAATCGATACATTCCTACAAGCTACTTTACTGTGTACAGAATATAAAACAAAGTTTCTAAGATAGTTACACTGACAGGGAGAGTTAACAGTAATTTTGTATAATGGTGTTTTTTAATTTATTTAAGCATTAGATATAACATCACCCTTTGAATCAAAATTAAGACTGTAGGCATGCCGAGCGTGCCCTTAACGTGATTGATTCGTCCTTGCGTGTATGTAAAATTAACAAAATATTCAGATGTGTTTGAGGTGCATGTTCATAGATGGCGCTTTTGCATTTTACTCATATTTATTAAATAAAGTAGTCCAACTAGTCTTAGATTCCGATCTATGTGGTGGACCTCTCAATCTTTTAGGCGAAATATATTTTTTAAACCATAAAACACTAACAAACACGGGTGTTTGTCACCAAAAATTTGCTCCACAATTTTATTATATGTATAGATATACACAAAAAGAGATAAAAGGAATGAAATAAAACAAATATAATCTATAATACACATTTCTTATTTAATCTTACAACCTTTACTGATGATACACTAACAAACTCGCATACTATTTATTACTATTGATATATACGTGGCTTAAATTAACTCCGTTCCGGTCTTATTGTCGACTGAAATCCGCTAACTTACAATAATCATTTTATCAATTAAAAAAAAAAACAAAAATTGATCAATCTATCAACCATTGATTGGTTGACAAATATATACGGTTGTCAAAAACAACCGGTAACAAAGATTATGTAATAGTAGTAATTATTTAGTATTTAAATGTAATAAGCGGTGTGTAGGATTTAGAGTGGTTGTTTTTGCCAACACGATTGATCAACCAATCGGATGGTTGAGAGATTGATAAATTGATACACATTAATTAATTAGTAATAATAATAATGTGTCTAATTATTATAATTTTTTTTCATTAATTTATTGTAGTTAGCACAATCAGTCTTCGAATATTCGCTTCGTCCTTAATATTTTTGTGTCAAAATCGAGATTTTCGTCTTTTTTTAAACTAGCATAGCTCGCGATAACATACACGTTTGTTTTAAACAAATTAAATGTACAAAATAACAGACAGTCCAATAATTATTTATCTTTCAAGTCAATATATAAAAAAAAAATTTTTTCATACAAAGACCACCTTTACTTACATGTCAGGATTTTAGTAGTATGTCCATGTTTTACTTCAAATTACAATAGAGTAGAATCATTTTTTTAAAAGTTTTCAAAGATGTCTTCTTTTTAATTGTAACAATCATTTTTACATAAAATTAAAATGCGCTACTTACATATTGTTGTATTCGTTTTTTAAATACATAAATTATTTTAATGAATTTCTTTTGTTTCTACATACAAGGAAATACACTGAGGCAAATGTATATTCAATTATCTGGATTGTTTGTATATTTTTAAAAACGATAAAAAAATATATATAACGTTAATATAAAGAACAAAAAGTTACTGTGACATAAAAAAAATAACAAACATAAAATCAATTACTATAAATTATTGTTGTTTAAATGATTACTGTTGTTGTTATTGTTGTTATTTTTAATGAAAACAACAATAATTCAAAATAATTAATTTTATATTCTTGTTTTTATTTCTGATTCTGCCTCAGCGCGTTGGTAATATCTCTCACGTTTAGTTACACTTTGGGTTTATTTATTAATTAATTTATGTAAAATTTATTATTTTAAATTATTATTGTTTTCGTTGTTACATTTCATAACAATAATCATAAAAAAACAATAATTCAAGGTAATTAATTTTTCATGGTTGTTTTGTTCGTTTTATATCTTGTTGTTTGTTGTTTTTATATTATTATTGTTGTTTTTATTTCTGATTCTGCCTCAGCGCGTTGGCAATATCTCTGACGTCCAGTTGCACTTTAGGTTTATGTTGTGGCGGCTCGAAATAAAAGTCGAATCGTTTAAAAGATTCAATCTCTCGTTCGGACACTTCGAGTGTTGACAGGTTCGTTATTGTTCTGTCCGGTAGAAATACGCTGGATTCTGGCAACAAATTATGAATAAAAATTAAATATAATGTAAGAAAATTTCAAAAAAAAGTTATTTTATTTATATTAAGAAGATGTCATGAGTGCGATTTTAGCTGTTCTTAAAATCTACATTAAAAGTCAAGTTAAGTAAGTCCGTAAAGATACCACCAGCTCGGATGTTTGTTCTAAAAAAAAAGATAAAAATAAATTAAAAAAGTGCGAGTCTGACTCGGACACCGAGGGTTCCGTAGCATGAAACAAGTTTATATTCGCAATTTTTTTTGTGATTAACTGCAAAATCACGGTTTTTTCATATTTCCCTTTACTATAAGACATTGATTTTCCACAAATCTCATGATTTTTTGTCAACGTTAAGTACCCTATATGTAGGTTTTGATCCCCTTGCAAGTGTGCATAGGCGACATACACCGGCCGTATCGTTTGATCGCGTCGACTTAGAAGTTTGATTTTTTTCATAGCTCCAAGTGATTGCAGGGCTTATATTTGATATTAGTTTTAACCTTCCTGAGAAAAAAGCGTCTTAACAGACAGACAAACGGACAACAAAGTGATCCTATAAGAGTTCCTTTGTTTGAGGTATGGAACGCTAATAAATAAGATAAATAAAACAATAATAATCCATACTAATATGTGAAGTTTGTGGGGATGGATGTTTGTTACTCAATCACGCCAAAACGTCTCAACGGATCTGGATGAAATGTGGCACACAGATAGATTATAGTGTGGAATAGCACATAGGCTTTTATCCCGGAAGAATGTACGGATTCCGTGGGTTTTTTTTTGTCGAAGCGAGGGTGAGTTGCCTGTTATTAATATTTACCAGGTCTATGTTGTGGGGGCGAAGCCCCACCGCTATCGCCGGCGCTCTCGCACGTCATGGAGGACAGTGAGGAGGGAGGCATGCCTGCAATATAACGAAATAGAGTTAGAAATTAATATAAAACATTGGTAGCCCAGTGGTAACGCGCTCGCTTGTGAAACCGAGTGAAGCGGGTTCAACTCCCGGGTCTCGCATCTGATATTATCATGTGCGAATCATTTCCAACATGATCACCACTTGTCTTACGGTGAAGGAGAACGTTGGTGATTTGAACAAACAAGCACTGAGGCGACACTCACTGTGGGCGTGGGCGTGGGACGCGTCGGGCCAGCACGGTGGTCGGCAGAACAGGGACTCGTCTCCTCGCACTTCGCATGGCTCCTGGAGATGGAAACGATCGTGAAATAAAAATTAATCCGTTATAATTATATAGAATATAATTATTATATAAATGCTTCCCCATACGAACTTTCCTATCCTTAAGGTATGATTTCCGCGAGATAAAAACTATCTTATGTCCTTCCCAGGATCTCAAACTATCTTCATACAAAATTTCATCTACATCTGTTCAGTATTTTCGGAGCCTATTCGATACAAACAAACAATCAAACAAAAAAAAACAAATTTTTCCTCTTTATAACATTAGAACAGATAATATCAAATATAATTGTGTGTCAAATGTAATTAAAAAGTACTTTACTATATATTGCGTTTGAAAATTAAGAATTTAATTATAAACAAATAAATATATATATTAAGTAATAACATATGGATGATAAAAAAATCACATTTTATTAATGCTTGAAAATTAAATAAATAAATCAATATATGTATGAAGACAAGCATCGTAAGGAAACCTGCATGTCTGAGAGAGAGAGAACCCAGCAAGTTTTCAAAAGACATGCTTAGCCCTATAACCTGATCCCTCGTAATCAAATCCCACCTCCAACAGTGGCAACAAAAAAAATCCACCCCAAAAGTAATAAAAAAGTAGTCACAAGGACAGCCGACAGAAGAGAAAACTTAAAACTATAAACACACAGTTGTTATTTTTGGATATTCAAATTCTTTGATCACATTTATCTGATTTCGACATCTATCGGCACTCTGAGTGTTAGCGTCAACACGTCACGTGACCATGTCGATGACGACTCACATGAATACACTCCCCATACAAACAAACCTGCCTATACAAGTTTTCACTTCAACAAAATACCAAAATGGTACCATACAAATTGGAACATCATACCTGCCCTTTATAAAACTTTGAATCCGTCACGTAATGTATTGTAACTTCATTGTTCAGCTTCGAACCAGCTCTTAATCTTTGAAAATATGGCAATTGGTCGCCGTTGACGAAATTATCACTTTTATTTTCCGCTTTTTCGTTAAAAAGGGCGTTTCTAAACACATTTCTATCTTCTTTGCCAAACGGGGTGTATAGACAGTATTGGTTTTCATCCTTCTTCAACGGCGTACCGATGGGTTCTGGTCTTATGGGATTTGTAAATAGAGATTCATTCTCGAAATTTCTATTTTGGTCCGGACGAGTGCCTATTGGGTTTGGGGATACCACTTTGGGGTTCTTCTCCTCAAAATATTCGGGGGTCAGAAAGCTCTTTTGGGGGTTGTCTTCTGGTGTTTTAAATAGGGAGTAACCTTCGTCATTTTTTTGAGTGAACGATGCTAGATTCATTATACGATTTTGAAAATCGTTTTCTGGGTTCTTTGGGGAAGGGTTCGGGGGTTCTATGTATGATTGTGTGTAGACGTTAGGGTTCACATAATTGTATTGGGGTTGGTAAGGGTTCATTTGGGGGTTTTGCTGTCTGATACCCATTAGGTTTTGCTGATGCATCATCGACATTAGAGGATTTCTTATGGTGTACATTCCATTTGAAGTGGGGGTTATTGTGGCTTGACAGGGGGTCGGCGGCATTGGGATGGGATCCGGGATTCGAATCTCGGACTTTTTCTGTGGTGGTGCACTTGTTATTTGAACAGGTGGTAGGTTTGGATGGAACATAGGATTGCGTAAAGTGACCATCTTGGACCCCTCCTGTTTCTGCTCGGTCGCTTCAGCCGCTTTTTTAGCTTTCTTCTTGGATTTTTTTGATTTTCCCGTCGGCTGTGGCGCTGGAGGCTCCGGTATAATGATTGTTTTTGGAGTTTCTGTGAAAGATATTTAATATTTTATTTATCTTTGCACATAATTACAATCAAATAACAAAAAATAAAAAATTACAATCCATCCATCCAACCAACCCACAGCCATATAGACCAATACAAATTTTCGCATTTCTAATAATATTGGGTGATTATTTCGTTGGTAATATCATTAAAATTGGATTGAAATTTTATTTTAACAGAACCAAAAATCAAAATAGATAAACAAACATACTAAAAAGTAAAAAAAATAACATTATTTGTACAGATATAGTTAATGTTATCTGTTACAACTCACAATGAAAAACGAGTTGAAAGACTTTTCACCCGCTTAATGGATGATTTCCGAGATAAAATTATCCTATGTCCGTCCTAGGTTCTCAAATAATCTCCATACCAAAATTTCATTAAAATCGGTTCAGCGATTTAAGCGCGAATACGTAACAATATCACAACAGCGAATACGTACAACACGACAGACAGAATTACTTTCGCATTCATAATATTAGTACTTAGTAGTGACTCACCCACGCTTCATATCAAATTTCATCAAAATCGCTTCAGCAGTTAAGGCGTGAAAACGTAACAGACTGACAGACAGACAGTTTATGCGTGTATATGTGATGTAACGAATGTTCGATTTTTCACATTCGCAAATGCGAATATTCATCTCCAATATTCGCGAATACGAATTTTGATTTTCAAGCAAAGTGCGCGCAAAATGTCAGACAGACAGGTTTGACATTTCGTGTCGGCCATGTTTAAATCGAACATAGCCGAGCCGATACAGGTTGAATGAACGAAGTTAGTGACATAGAGTTCATTCGAAAAGATTTGTTGTGATGTGAGGTTAGTTTAGTATTATTGCATTTGTCCAATATAAGTAATACCTAGTCAAATTGACTAAGTGATATAAAAACATAAGTAGAGCATAGTTGTATTTTCATTCGTCTGTTCATTCCTTATATAATTTCCTTTTTATTTGTCATGTAACACATTCGCCAAGCATTCGCATCGATCCTTGCGAATACGAATGCGAATGTCAAAAAACATGCGAATATTCGTTGCATCACTAGTGCGTATCGTACCTGCGTGCGTGGAGAACACGAGCATCGAGGGGTCCGCACTGATGACGGGCGGCGGGCGCGTCAGCGGCGTGGGCGCCGTCGGCAGCGCGCCGTGCTTCCACAGGGGCTGCCGGGTGAATATTATTTTTTTTTTTTTATTTTTTTTTTATTATTACACTATATGATATACTTTTAATTTTGCAATGGACCCACAAAACTGTTTGCACAGTTTGTCTGTGGGATCAGAGTCTCACAGTTATTAATCTTACATTATAATATTTAAGGATATTTATATATATTTTACATTTATATATATTAAATTTATATATATTACATCATGATATTTTGAGTAGGTATGTTAAATTATGTTAAGCTGTCCATATAATATTTTTTTAACAATTTGGCGAATTTACTTTTACTTGGTTCATGTCTAATATCAGCGGGCAAACTGTTCATGAGATACGGTAGACGTTTATCCAGCGTTCGATCGCCATAATAATTATGTACCCTTGGAACAATATATTTTCCCGCTGATACTGACCTGGTACCTTGCGCATGTGTCACCAACAAAGAGCGCTCCAGACTGCCATGGTTGTTTACTAGAAGTAAATATTTATGTTTAAGGCTAACAGGAAGTATATTACAAATTTTAAACAGCTTGTTATAATCACCTTTACAGCCCTTTTTGGTGTTTTTAGATACAATTAATTTTAAAAATCTTATTTGTAGTGCTTCTAATTGTTGTATATAACTTTTAAATGTAAGACCATAGCAGTCAAGGGCATAGCTTATTATTGAGTCAACTAGTGATGTATATAAACATTTAAGGGTACTAGGAGGTACTCTAAGACTTAGGTGATAAAATTTTCCTAATAGTACTCTCAATTTATTACATATGTGTTCTATATGAGAGGACCAGGAAAAGTTTTCATCAATTTTCATCCCAAGGTAAGTGACTATTTTGGTTCTATCTATGGGTTTACAATTACAACTAGACATTTTACTATGTATACATGAGAAACTATGTGAAACTATCTGAGGCAAAGTATCAGGGGGTCGAAGGTACGGGGAATGAATTAACAAAAAATTAGTTTTGGCAGCGTTCAAGATTATACCATTGTCATGGGACCATTTAATAACTGCTTCTATATCGAGCTGAACCAGACGACATGTCTCGGCAAGATCAGTGCCGGCGAGCACTGCGCACAGGTCATCCGCATACATGTACGCAGAGCAGTGGCGCAGTACTCCGCACAAGCTATTCACGTGCATCAGGTAGCACACAGGCCCGCACCCCGAGCCCTGCGGCACCCCGCACCTCACCTCTCTCGCGTCGCTGGTCGTCTCACCCACCTTCACGCGGTAGGACCGTGCGGTCAGGTAGTCGCGGAACCATTTGTTCAGCGGCTCCCCCACCCCACACTCCTCCATTGCATTTATAAGGGTATCCGTTTCTAAGGTATCGAATGCCTTTTTAAAATCAAAGAACACTGCCACAACAAATTTTTTCTCATTTAAGTGATTATTAATTTCGTTAGTAAAGTTTGACAAAAGAGTGTTCGTACTTTTTCCTTTCTGAAATCCATGTTGACACTTATTTAATATATTATTCTTTTGAAGATAATCCCCTATTTGATTCACTATGCATTTTTCTATGATTTTATCTACGCTCGATAATATTGCTATTGGTCTATAATTAGCAAAGGACTTCGGGTCTCCTTTTTTGTGAATAGGGCGTACAATGGCCTCTTTTAACATTGTTGGGAATATATGGTTACGAACGCATAGATTAACCAAGTTAGAGATCACAGGACACACCTTGTCGACAGCAAACTTAAGATCAGACATGCGCATGAGATCGTTCCCCGGTGCTTTGTTTGTGTTCATTCTCATTATGACTCGTTTAACATACCTACTATTCACCGGTTGCCACCTCATGCATACGTCTTTGTATTGTACATAGTTTCCCCTATCCATCCATTTATCATTACAAACATGTTTAATATTATCTATTTCTTCCGTGAAAGTATTCGCAAACTTATTACATATATCCGTCAAACTGCCTTGATTTTTCATATTATCTATTATTAAACTATCTAACGATTGTCTTTTGTCACCCATTAATGCATGTATTCTATCCCATAACTTCTTTATATTCTTATTACAATCTAATATACTCTGCCTATCATACTCATTTCTACTCTTAGATATAACTTTATTACATTTATTTCTATATTTAGTGTAACTTAATCGTTTTATCATATTTTTTTGGTTCATTACTCCATATTACAAATAGTCTATCCCTTTCTAAAAGCATTTTTTGTGATGTTCCGTAACCCAGCCTTTATTATTTCTATTACTACTATAAACTATTTTAGTACTATAACAACATTGATAAATATCTAAAAATATTAATCTAAAAGCTTCATAAAGCTTCAATGGGCATGTAATTGATAGTAGATCATCAAAATTAGTCGATAATAGTTTCTCTCGTACTGCACGATTGTCCAGGACACGTATTAGTCGTGAGCTATTAGCGGTAGGCTGTGCAGGGTGGGGGCGGGGGCGGGAGGTAGCCTCGGAACGCGAACCCAGCGACGACTCGTGCTCAGATGCGTCCATACTGCTATGCAACGGGGCGCGTTCCCACTCCACCGCAACCGATACCGGGTAATGATCGGATATTTTATGGTGTATCACAGCTGAATCTATTTTTGCCGATGGTGCACGAATGAATATATGATCCAGACATGATTCTACTAGGTTTTCCAATAGGATTTCACTACGGGTAACTCGATCGATACATTTGATAAAACCAAACTCAGCTAAAAGTTCTTCATACATTATGACATGTTTATCTCGATTTTTTAATAAGTTTAAATTTATGTCGCCACAAAAAATTACTTTCGTGTTATTGGGTATACTTTCTAATAGGTTACGACATTCTTCTAGAAATTGCAAAGTTTTATCTTGTTTATTTATTTTAGGCGGTCTGTATATTGAAATTATATAAATTGGTTCATAGTCATGAGTTAGTGTTATAGTGACGCACTCCGCTGAGCGCATCTGTGCCACTGCACGTGTCGTCAGGCCGCACACCCGAGCCGCGAGCCCCTCCCGCGCGTACACTATTACCCCTCCCCCGCTTCTTCCCGAACGAGTGAAACTATTAATCGTGAAGCCATTAATTTTATAAAAAGATAAATATGCATAATTAATGTTAGGCTCCGTGACAACAATTACATCTATTTTTTTTAAATTATTGTCTAATGACACAAGTAACTCACTGAAATGTTTTTTTAATGATCGAATATTGATGTGAAGTAAACAAAAGTCTTTCTTCTTAATAAAGGTTGACATCCAGCTTTCAAGGTCATTCACACAAACAGCATTTATGGCACTATTAGTTATTAAATCTAGATTGTTGAGAGACGCGAATTTTAACAATGAATAATTAATACTTATAAAAAGACACAGGTTAATTATTAACAGACATTTCACTTTTTGAGCAGTTCGCGAATATCGCCATCTGACCTGACCCACACAGATTTATCTCCGTCAGCTTTTTTCACTAAGATCTTGCCGTTATTTACCCAGATGAATTTAAATCTTTCCTTCAGCTGTGTCTTGGCATTCCACAGCAGCTCTCGTGATGTTTTGGTTAAATCTTCGTTAATAAAAATTTTATTACGTTGAGATCCGCCGGTGATCGCGCTGCTGTTTAATTCCTTGAGCTTACGCCTGTTGGCTAACCATTCGTCCCGACTTTTAGTGCCTGAAGTCTTAAAACCTATAATAATCGGAGCTGGTTTGTCATTAATTTTGCGTGTCGTGCGGCGACTCACCCAGTCGATACATGCGCTGCTCACTCCTATGATATCTCCCAGTTTTTTAGCCACCGCCATAACGTTTTCATTAGGTAATTGTTCAATACCTACAATTTCTAGATTATGCTTACGGGAAGCTTGGTCGAACTCGTGCACTTTTTGCTCAAGAGCCATGTTACATTTCTCCAGGTACACACATTTATTATTGGTATTCACTATGGACTTTTCCAGATCACGAATTTTTTTTCTTCGATTCTTCATGTTCCGCCATTAAAGTGTCATACTTTTCCGACAGTACACTCATGCTGTCCGTTATAGAATTCAATTGCTTTTGGAGGCTTGGAATTGCACTGACTTTATTTCGAATGTCTTTAAGGATCTTTTCAATACCATGTCCCTCTGTTTCCTGTTCATCTCCTTCAGAATCATCAACAGTAGAACATCCCTCGCAGTTGTTGCAAAATAAACGGTTCTTGCCCGCCTTCATGTCAGCCAATAGTCCTTTTACACAGGTCCTATGGAATTTTCCCTGGCATGGACCTTGACACACGAAATGAGATCCGTTTTTCGACAACACTTTTTTGCACATTTGACATTGCATTTTTGCCAATAACGTCTTACTTGTACTTGTAAACTAGCGACTGCGTATAATGACTGCGTATAATGACTGCGTATAATAGGAAATACATTAAATTTAAATAAAAAGTGTGAGTATGTGTACTAGGGTAAAGCGACAATTTTTTTTTCTTAGCTTGGAGATAGAATTTGTAGCATATGAAAAAAATAATTTTGAAACAAAAAAAATGTTCACTCAACATTTTGAGGTGGCCCACAAATTTTTAAAATAGCCAATTAATTAATTTTTTTGGTTTAAAACTAAAAACGCGCTCAAATATTCAAATGGGCGCTCATTCGGTGAGGACACTTTTTGTCGGTGATTCTTTGATCGATGGTATAAAACACAAAATATATTGAATAAAGACATCACACTATATTAAAGATAAATTTAACGACTGACTTCACACTGTAGCCAGTAACGACTAATTTCATACTGTAGTCTAAACCTGTTGCATCAAAATCACTTTCAATATTTTTTTCCTAACGCGCCAAGAGTATAACTTCAAATTCTTCATACTTAAATATATTATATTGGCGTGGCGGACTATGGTCTGATCCCTCTATTGTAGGGAGGCCCACGTCCAGCATTGGGAAATATTAAAGTTAAATGTACTTACAACAGATTTGATGGTAGGCGGTTCTTTCTTCTCGCTCGGCTGAACTCTCGTCAACGTTATCCCGGGGGGTAGTTTCAGGTCTGCTACCTGAATATTAAAACAATACATATATAGAAAAAGTACATTTTTTCAGCTTCTTTCAAGTAAAACATGTATTTATTACCAATAGAATTGACCTTTAAACTTTAATTGTTCTGTATTAAAAACTCTTTCGGTAAAATTGGTCGTTTGGACCAATAAGCTCTGAGATGACAATATGTGCCACAAATTCTATGACAGACGTAAGTTTTTGAGCTTTACATGGTCCAGTTAAAAATACACAGCAAGTATAGTAACAAGTACAAAGAACAAGACGTAGAAGAAGAGTAGGAAATTCACAACAACCGCACCTGCACACCGCTACTGAGCTGCTCCATGATGCTGCATGAAGCTGGCTTTTCCGGCTCTGCGTTACATGGACCCTGGAAAAAATGTGAAAATAATATATTATGTATATTCTACATTATACATATATCTATACTAATATTATAAAGAGGTAGATTTTGTTTGTTTTTATCATAATTATATTAAAAATATATAGGGATTAGGGGGGCATAAAAGATTTTTTTATAATCCGGGGAGGCCCAACAGATAAAGGTTGGGAAACCCCGCTTTAATCTATTCTAATATTATAAAGAGGAAAAAATTATTTGTCAAATAGGTTCCGAAACTACTGAACCGATTTAGATGAAATTTTGTAAGAGGATACTTTGAAACCCTGGCAAGTACATAGGATAGCTTATATTCCGAAATTCATCCCTTAAGGGACTGAAAGTTTGTATGGTGACGTAAATCTAAGATAAAACTGTACACATAAATTTTACAAACCTTTTTACTGAGCACCTCTATTGTAGTATCAGGAGTGATATTAATGACTTGCGGCTTGTTGTTCTGTGTGTCTTTCTTCTTCTCTTTTTTGTTGTTTTGCGTTTGTTGTTGTTGTTGCTGTTGATTTTTGACTTTTGTTGTTTGTGTTGCTGAAATTAAAAAAAAAATTAAATACCCAAAAACCTTCATAATATCAAAAGTCATCATAACGTAATCAAGAAAAATATTCTATTATAATGTACCAAAAAATGCAATTATCATGTAATTATTTAATAACTATTTAATAAAATATATCAAATGTATTTTTTTAAACAAATTTACAACTGAACATAAAAAACAATAATAAAAAATACAACATACCATTCTTCTCTTGTTTATTCTCTTTACCCTTCTTCTCGTCTGCTTTAAGCTCTTTCTTTTCTTCCTTCTTCTTTTTCGCGTCTTCTTTCTTTGTTTCCTTTTTATCTTTCTTTGTATTTTCTACTTTAAGCGGCTCTGCTTTTTTCTCCTTTTTACTTTTCGCTTCTTGTTGCTGCTGTTTCTTTTTTTCTTCTTCTTCTGCCTGTTAAAAGGGAAATATTTTCTTTTAAGTAAAAAACATCTTCATATCAAACATATATTAGGATCTTCGTATTCATATCATAATAATTGAATTTATTGCATATTACAAAGCAATTCTTGATTATTTATTTTCTTTATTTTATGTATTTTTTTTGATCACAATATTATAAATGCATACTAAAAATGTTAATGTGTGTGTGTGTGTTTGTGTGTATTCTTCTCGCTATAATTGCTAAACATTTGGGTGAAATTCAGAATAGAGATAGTTTATAGCCTGATTTAACACATCATACCGTTTTTATCCTTTGGATTTGTGTCCCCAATGTGAATAAATGAAGATGAAAATGTGTAAAAAAAGATGAAAGTATACACGTAATATATTAAATTTCGTTAGAATATATTATATGCATTTAATATATACTGTAAAACAAATTTGTAAACATACCTGTTGTTTCGCTAACAACTTCCTTTGCTTCTTCGAAAGCTGCACTTCAGGTTGAGTTTTCTCATTTTGCTTCTCATTCTGCTTCTCTTTCCGCAGCAACTCCTGTTTTTGTTGCGTTTGTTGTTGTTGTTGGGGCTCTTTTTGTTTCTTCTATTGAATACAAATTAATAGAGATTAAAATTAAAAAATAATAATAACAATATCAATACAGATAAATAAAATTGAAGTGTCTGTTTGTAATGTCAAAATAACTGTCATATGAAACTTTATATGGTACTTATAATAAAATCAAAATATAATACTTTCTTAGATTTACGCGAATATTTGACATTTTAAATAAAACTATAAAAAAGCATCAAAATACTTATGAAAAATATTTTTTTTTGTCTGTATGTCTGTCTATTTCGGCTAATCTCCAAAACAGCTAGCCTGATTTTCTCGGTACTTTCACTGGCAGATAGCTGATGTTATAACGAGTACCTAAGGCTACAGTTATCTGCCAGTGAAAGTCCCATCAACATCAGTCCAGTTCGGTAATCAGCCCGAACAAACAAACAGACAAAAAAAAATTGTTTATTTCTTGTAAGTACAGTATATAATTTCATATGCATTTAGTAAAAAGTTGTTATTCTGACATTACAAACAGACACTTCCACTTTATTTATTTGTATAGATAATAGATACCTTCTCCTTTGCAGATCCTTTAGCTAACTGGTTTATGTGAGCGATGGCCTGCTCCCATGTTTGCTTCTTTTGACTGTCCGTCTGTTTCTGTGCGTTTTGGTTTTGTTCATTCATATTCAGTACTAGAAAAAAAATGTATTAGTAGAATGTAATTTTTTTTAATTATTTTTTTTTTGTCTATCTGACATTTAACTGGAGGTTAAATAAATTATATATATATATATATATATATATATATATATATATATATGTTAATGTTTTAAAACCTGTTTATATATTTGTTGATGAGTAATCCTGGGAATTTTTGAATTGATACATCTCTCATATACAATTTCTTCATACAACCCCTGTTTCATCCCTTTGGGGGTTGAATATTCTAAAACGCGTTCTACTACGATGAATACTTTATAATAACTATCTGTCTGCCAAATTACAACCCTTTTTTCATGCGATTTGAATAAATCAATAAATCTTGGTTGTATGCGTTAGCAGATCAGTCAGACAGTAAGTCAGTTAGTCTGTCAGTCATCTTTTATAGATACAGATTACAGATAAAAAGATAAATTGATTTTTCAAAAATCCCTTCTTAGTGGATAACTAAGTCATAATGGCTATCTGTGTGCCAAATTTAAAGTCAATCCGTTCAGTGGTTTGAGCTATGTATTAATAGGTCAGTAGGTCACGGATTCCTTTTATATAAATATTAGTGAAAAACAAATACAAATCTATCCGACGGAAACTGTATATTGTTCTGGGACAAAAAGTAACCCATGTACTGTTCCAGACTATAATCTGTATCAGTGTCAAATTTCATCTAGATCCGTTAAGCCGTTCTGGCGTGATTGAGTAACAAACATCCATCCATCGAAACTTGCATTTATAATATTTATGTGATTATACAGATAAAAAAAAGAAACATACCAGCCATATTAGACCCGGAGATGTGAGACATGTTGGTAGGTACAGGCATTGAGGATTGTGGGTTCGGTGTGTTGAGAGACACATGCATCACTTTGTTCTTTTCCTTTTCCTTCACATCATTGACCTTCTGTTCATATTGCTTGGGCGGTTGTTGTTCCATCTGAAAATATATAGAAATATCAATAAAGTTTTAGAGGAATTGGTATGAACAAGGTTTTTTTATTTCCAGCCAAATGGCAAGAACCCTTATAATTTTGAAATGTCCGTCTGTCGCAAGAAAAATTACTGAGAGGCTAAAGGAGTTACGTTGTTGAAATTCTACCGAATTTCAACGAATGTGAACCCGCTAGACATTTTTATTTTAAACTAGCGACTCACCCTCTCACTCTGCTTGAGTTCGTCCTTCGTGAAAATTTTGGTTTGCATAAAAATAAGAAATTTTGGAGGAAGAATGATATAAATAACCTTTAGCAAAAAAATATATCGAATCGGATTTGTAGATTCTGAGATTAGCGCGTTCAAACAAACAAACAAACTCTGCCTCTTTATAATATTAGTAAGTATAGACAAAACTATCTATATGAATTACTTCAGGGATTTATTTAGATTTTTGATTCCCAACGTTTCGAATGTGTTACAGCAATCATGGTCACGGGAGAGAAAAAAATCGAAAAGATAGTTTTATTTGAAAAATTATTAATTAATCCACATTATCTATACATATAATAAAATTCTAAATAAGTCGAATCTGTACATTAAATATTTTTTGGAAAATCTTATTGAAATAAACATTATTGTCGATACAGAGGCCGAATCTATAGTTTTTAGAATTTTTGTCTGTCTGTCTGTTGCCGCATCACAGAAAAACCACTGGAGGGATTTCGATGAAATTTGGTATGGTGATAGATGGTTATCCGGATAACATATAGGTTACTTTTTACCGCGGGAAAATATCTAATTTCTGAGAAAAAATATAAAAACTGTGATGTAAGAGTAAGTATAAGAATATACTACTAATATGTAAAACCTAAGAATTTGGTTTTTGGTCATCTGAACGCGGGCGGAGCCGCGTGCAATGCTAGTATGATTATAACGAACAACGTACCTGCACCTCCCCTGCCTTGCCCTGTAACGCCCTAGCTTCAGCCAACTCCCTCTCGCACTCCTGCAACCTCCTTGTACACTCGGTCACTCGACGCTCGGCTATCTGGAGTTCCTGGAATGTGTGAATAAAAATATTATATACCATCTATACATATAATAAAATCCTAACTGAGTCAAATCTGTACTAAATATAATTTTTTTTTTTGGAAAATCTTATTAAAATAGTCATTATTATCGATACAGAGGCCGAATCTATAGTTTTTAGAATTTTCGTCTGTCTGTCTGTGACCGTATCCCGAAAAACCACTGGACAGACTTTGATAAAATTTGGTATGATGGTAGCTGGTTATACGGGTCAATATATAGGATACTTTTTACTGCGGGGAAATATATCAACTCTGAGAAATCTATACTAAACGTTAAAACGTAACTAGGGACGAACCCGAGCGGAACGACGATGAGTCGCTGGTATAAATATAATGGTCACTCCTTAAGGTTCATGGCTCTAGTACTCGTGACAATTATTAGAATACATGTTATAGTTTTCACCCTATTTTTAACGTCCACTGCTAGGGGTAGGCCTCTCTTCGATACTCGGAGGATCAGGCTATCGTCCGCCATGTTGGCCAAGTGCGGCCGGACTGAGCATGTCTGCTGACAACTTGCTAGGTTCTTTCACACATGCAGGTTTCCTCACGATGTTTTCCTTCACGTTAAGACCAGTGGTCATCATGTTGGAAATGATTCCGCACATAACAATATCAGAGGTCTGGGGATTCGAACCCGCTTCACTCAGTGTCTTAAGCGAGCGCGTTACCACTGCGCTACCAAATACATATTATTGATATTCTAAAGTATATATTACCTTGGCAGTTGTATTCACTAAGGATGTGCAGTCGGACAGCTGTTCTGCCATCTGTTGCATTTTTGCCTGCTGTGCCGGAGTCAATTTTTGCTTTTTACCTGAAAAAAGAAAATTGTTTTTTTTCCTTAGCTTGGGGGTAGAATTTATAGCTTATAAAAAAAACAAAATTTATGAAATAAAAAACAAATACCCTACATTTTGACGTTAAATTTTTGGTTTCAACAAAATTTAAATTAATCATTTTAAAATTCAGTGAGCTACTTTAAAACATTGAGTAAATAAAAAAAAAATATTTCCATTATTTTTTATAAACTCCAAAAAAAATTTTTTTCGCTCCACCCTAGTGTTATGTATATATGTATGTATGCATGTATGTGTTTGCACGTACCCTTCTTCCTAGCGTCGGGCTGCACGCGAGCGCGCGCGGCGTGGCGCAGGTCGCGCGCGGCGGCGGCGTGCGCGGCGTGCAGCGCGGCGTGCGTGGTGCGCGCCGCCGCTGCCTCGTGCCGCAGCTGCGCCAGCTGCAACACCAGCCGGGACTCCGTCTGTTACGAGGGAGAAGATATTATTATTTCATTCCTAATTCAAATTAAACTTCTTTAGAATCGTTATGATTCGAAATACATGCGACACTAGAAAGAGACAAATACATAAATATGTATATAGGATTAAGCCGGCGAGAGAGTGAGATAGAATACATTACACAGGGAGTGAAAAATAATAAAATACTGAATAATATGTAATGTGAAATGTTCAGCCCTTTTTTAACGTCCCTCGGCCGGGGGTGGGCCTCCCTCTGCAGTACGAGGGGGATCAAGCCATAGTCCACCACGCTGGCCAAGTGCGGGCGGACTGAGCATGTCTTTTAAAAACTTACTAGGTCTCAGACATGCAGGTTTCCTCACGATGTTCTCCTTCACCGTTTAGAAAAGTGGTATGATGTTTCAAAATAATTCACACACGAAAATACAAGTACAAAACCCGGGATTCGAACCCGCTTCACTCAGTGCCCCTCGCTTAGCACGTTATTAAGCAACCATAACTTTATTATATCTGATAAAAAAAAATCTTTCGGATAATGAAATAGCTTAAACTCTAAAAATAAAACATAAAGAGAACAAAACCCAACATACCCTCTTCGCTCGCTGTCTCAGCTTCTTAGCACGCTTCTTGCCGCGGTCGACGTGTCGCGCCGGGCCCTCGATGTACTGCAGCAGCGCGTCCAGGTCGCGGGGGTCCGCGCCGCGCCCGCGCCCGCGACCTCGCCAGCACGAACCCCTATAACCGATATAAGTCATTCATTCATTCATTCACTCACTTGTATGTATTGTACATATATCATATATGAAAAAAGTACTAGATACACAATAAGCGACAAAAAATGTCCTAGCCGAATGAACGCTCATTTGAACATCTGAGCGCATGTGATGTATTTACTTTCAATTTTAGTTCTTCGATTTTTTTTCCTTTACTCGTGTTATATAATATTACAGATGATTCTAAGTCAACAGTCCTATAGGTTTTGATTCCCTTGCGAGTGTCAAAATATGGCGATTAAACAACAGACAGACAACTAAGTGATCTTATATTGGTTCTTTTTATCGTTTTGTGGTACGGAACGCTAAAAATACACAAAAAGCCGCGAAAAACCGTTACAATATATTATATAGACAAATTCCTAATTTAACACTCACCCAGAACATCCCGAACTTGTTGAAAACACGCTCGTATCTCTACTTGAAAGCGACACGGCGTTCTGTTGTCTGCTTTGTCGTTGCTGTTGCTGTTGTATTTGTTGCTGCTGCTGCTGTTGTTGTATTTGTTGCTGCTGCTGCTGTTGTTGTAGCTGCATCTGTTGTTGTTGTAGCTGTTGCTGTTGGAGTTGCTGCTGTTGTAGCTGTAGTTGGTGTTGTCTGAGGAACGCGTCGTGTCGTTGTTGCTGGAAGGTTCGAAATTAATATTGTTAATCATCGATCAAAAAATACTAAATACACAATCCCATGAAAAAGTTCTCTTAAAACTGACACCAATTGTGTTAAGGTAATTATTTTAATTGAAATAAATATACGACAGTGTAAACTGAACCTTAAACGAGCAATGCTTAAAGTTGTTTTCACAAAAAAAAGCGCGCTCAAATGTTCAAAGCAGCGCTCAATTTGTGAGGGCATCGTTTGTTACTCATTGTGTACCTAGTACTTTTTTTATCGATGTTGTTTATTATACAACATCGATAAAAAAAGTATAAATTATATTTAAAAAAACCACCATTTAATACCACCATAATGGACTACTTTTGCACATAACGTTATATACTATTTTCATATTGATAACTTACTTTACAAACTGATATTAAACTGAGAACAATTTTTATTATATTTTACTTACAACGCAAATTGGTATAATTGATTACTTTTTCTTGCACATACTGCGAGTATTATGACAATAATGGTATTATAAAATAATTAATTAAAATACCATTTCCCACTTCAACTATTAATTCTGCATGTTCCATCCGTGTTATTATTTTAGTCTAAAATTATATAAATAATTTCCTTCATAACAAACAAACAACAAACCTGTTGCTGCCGTATCTGTTGTTGTTGTTGGGGGGTGAGCGTGGGCTTGTTATGTATCGGCAGGTCGTATATCGGCTCCGGTTTCTTTTGTTGTGTTTGTTGCACTTGCTGCTGCTGCTGCTGCTGTTGTTGCTGCTGTTGCATTTGATGTTGGAGTTGCGCTTGCTGTTGTTGTTTTAGTTGCTGTAATGTGAATGATACACGTAATAAATAATACATATAAAATCCCGCGAACCTGAAACGTTATCCAGTCTATATATATAAATAAATCTTTAGTACGTATATAAAATTAAAATAATCCTAGAACCCGACGGCAGCGCCCCTTACCGAGTTCCAGTTTGAATCTAAACTATCCTAAAACTAAAGGGTTTGTGGGTCCCTACCCACAAACCCTCAAACACAAACAAACGTTTTTGTATGTAAATGTAAGATATATTTATCGATAACATTATTAAATTTACCAACAAAATTTACCTGTAAACGTATCTGCTCCATAGCACTCGCGTTCACTTTCCCTTCCGCTTTGAGTACTGGCGGAGTGCCTTGCACGGGAACCGAACGTTGTACCACCTGAAATTTATGAAATATACACTACAATTATAAATGCGAGTTTGTATGTGTAGGTTTGCTATTCTTTCACTTAGAAACGGCCGAGCGGGTTTTGATAACATTTGCTACACAGTGTCTAACACATCTGGAGTAACACATTAGCTACTATTAGTTATTAAATTCGACAAAAGGTGGCACCACTTGTATATAATATTATAAATACAATGACTCAAGATACATAATTAGCGTCTCAAAAGTGTCCTCAAAAAGAAGTGCACAATTCATCAATCTCTTTTGTTCATTGCTTTTCGAATGACAAAATTAAAACGCACGTTGTTTCGTTTAAAAATACTTTATGTGGTGTGCGTAAGTTCGAATTTGTCTTCAGACAATTAGAACTTTCGATATTTGAATGTTATTCTTTGGTTTGACTTAACGTAACATGTCGACGACACTTTTTGAAGATATATTTGTTAGGAAATGTGTATATAGGGTTTTATATATCAATGTGTATAGCGTAAATAATTACTACTACAATTAGACCGGTGGACAACGGACGATCCTGTCCCTTCTTAGTGAAGGCCCGCACCCAGCAGTGGGACGTTAGAAGGGCAAAGGGAATATAATACCTTAGGCGGTTCCGGTTTCTCTGTGACGGCCATCTTGGCCATCTTATCTGCTAGTTGCTTCTGTTGGTTCTCTCTCTCCCTCTCCATCGCTTGTCTCTTTTGTTGCGCTTGCGTGGTTAAGTTGGGTGGGAGGGTTTTTGGTAGCGCCTGGAATTTAAGATAAAAGAACCAAAATATTAAATAATCATAGGTTTAATTTATTTATTTCATATTTCATTTTATATCGGAACGGTATTATACATGTTTGTTTGTATGTATGTGTGTGCGTGTGTTTGCACCTACAGGCGTGTGTGTATGTATATTTGTGCGTACGTGCGTGCTTGCATGTGTGCGGTTGTAAATCAGTACCTAAGCAAATGTTTATTTTTAATGAAAAATGCTTTTTTTTCAGAAAAGGCACCTATATAGATAAACTTAAAAAGCAAGGGATATACAAGAATTACTCAAATAATATTATAAGATATTTAAATTAAGTATTTAAGAAAAAAAATCCAATAGCTATATTAATAATAAAACTCACAGGCGGCACCGGCGTCACTGGCAGTGGCGGAGAGCGCTCCACCGGAGACTCGGATTCACCCTGGAATACATATAATTTACATAAATATTATGTTATTTCAATTAAAAAAAATAAAGATACTATTTATGAAATTCCATTTATGTTTTAAATAATATTAGGATAGGTGAAATACTAAAAATAACGCATATTAGGCATATAATTACAATCATATATTTATAGAATATCATTTAAGGAAAGAATATAATATTATATATCATTTGTCAGACAATAACATCGGTTACCATGGCAACAAGCGTACATACATTTTTTCGTAACGCATCACATTTTTTCATAACGTATTCACCAGCTTATCCCCCCAAGTCAAGCGTGCGTAAAGAAGTTTTTACTTCAAAAATGACATAGTTAAAAATAGTATCGTGATTTGCTGTTTATGCTACTATTTTCGATTTTGTTACACAGATTGTTCACTTCTGGTTACTAACTCAGCAATGAATATACTATTAATATTAGCATTCTGTTTTAGAACATTATATAATTATTTTAAAACATTAATGTTGGACTTCATATTTAGTTCATGACACTCCATCTGTATTATTCTTTAGTCCGAGTTTATAGACCATTCATTAATAAAATTTGAAAATCACTACACAATTACCGAACGAATTGGGCAACAAACAAACACACACCCAAATCAAGACACCCGTCTACTTAAAAATCGGTCAAAAACTAAATAATACTTACATTAGCTTTACATTTCTGCTTCTTCTTGTTTAATATAGACCTTAAACGCTCGCGCGTTTCATTGAAGTTTCTAGGCACGGGGGTAGTTAGTGGAGGCTGAAATGGAAATTAAAATTGGTAAGTGCGAGTCGGATCCGCTAATATACGAAATAAACTTTGACGACACGTTTGGCTCAGTTTGTAGTTTTGTTGTGTTTGTTTGCTGTGCCAGCGGTCACGGGTTCGAGTCCCGCTGGGGGCATTCATTTGTGTGATGAGCACGAATGTTTGTACTCCAGTCGTGGGTGTTTATATTTATAATATGTATGTACTTAAAGCTACATATATGTAGTGTATCAACTATCCGGTATCCATAACGCAAGCCTCGTAGCTTACCATGGAACTAGATGGTGCTGTGTGTTAATGTCCTAACATATTATATTATTAATACTCACCGCGTGACCAAACACAGTGCAGTAACAGCAGTTGCAGGGCTGGTCGGTGGCGCCGTCGCCGGCGCAGCCGCCGCCGTGACCCACTGGAGAGAACAGAAGATTTAGATGTTATGGGATCGATCAAAAAATTACTAGATACACAATCAGTGACAAAAAACGTGTGTATGTTACTTATGTACGCACGTAAGAAGTTATACATCTTTGGCGTAACAGAACAAAAATAGCTAAAGAACTCAACTCTCGCGCTCTATTTGTAAAACGAATGGAGCTAACTTCATCATGTCGCTTTTTGGCTGTCAGTGTACGCGCGCATCGTAAAAATTTTACTCTCATATTTTTTTCCAAACGTGCCAAAAGAAGTATAACTTCAAAAATTAAAAAGTTGTGTATTTCTTATATGTACTATATATACTTTGATATGCATTTAGTAAACAGCTTTTATTTCAGCATTACAAACAGACATTTCCATTTTATTCGTCTGTATAGATATATAGATAATAATCGCAAAAATCTGTTCACAATTAGTGAACATAAGCGTAATAAGCAAATATATAGATATATTAGCTTCTTCTGTAGCTCGTAAGATATCGTCTAAAGCGGTAAGTAAAAATTAGCCAAATCTAAGGGTATGTTTGCGCATGGGTATACTCGCGCACAAAAGTACCCCCGCTTCTTACCACCAATTTGACCGATAAATCGCTTCTACGCAGCTTGACAGCCAGCGTTCATTTTAAATGATGCTAGTTATACATAAAAATAAATACTAATCGAATTGAGAACCTCCACCTTTTTGAAGTCGGTTAAAAATCATAGTTGAATGTTGGGTCATTTACAAATTTAAATATAGTTTAAATGAAAAAGAACAGTAAATACTTATTACAAAAATAATAACAGCCGCCATATTGAATTTTTTGACATTTGACACAATTCGCGACAAAGATAAAAAAAATAAATAAAACCCACCTTTACACACATGCTGTTGATGATTCGCATTCTCACACGCCTTCTGCACTTGCTTGGGTTTCTGCACCACTTTCTTCACCTCCTTCTTCTTATCTTCTAAAACATTCTTCTTTTCATCGTAACACTGTTTCACTATATCTCCTAAACACACGGAAGACACGTCCGAGTCTTTGCATGAGTCACACACACAATCGCTCGTCCATTTGCAGTTAGTTTTTGGGGTATCGCATACATCACTTTCCGATTTAGTTTGTCCGTTCCTTGTCATGTTACGAAAAGCTACTGCGTTTAACGTTTGCTTCGCATTCCGCAACGCTTGAGCGGAATATTTGGCTAAAAGTTCGGGATTTTGGGATCCTATAACGGACAATGGAGTTTTATTGTCGGAATTTTCGTCCATTTCCTCAGATTTGAGTTTTAGAGTTTCTTCAATGTCTTCGTCTAATAACTTCGCGTCTATACTCGAGCAAATTGATATAACGTGTTTCTTATACGTATCTGGAACCGGCAAACCTTGAGTTATGTACGATTTGATTGTGTAAAAGCTATCTAATAAAGTCTTTTCGCCTTTGGACGTCAAAATGGCTTCACATTTCGCTAACAACGCATCATGTTTCGACTTTTTATCTTCTTCTACTTCTATCTCTTTCTTTTTGGGCGGTTCCGAATTCGTCTTCTTCACTACTCTAACGTTCGCTTTACCTATGATCTTACTTAAGCCTTTTCCCGCTAAAATTTCCGCTTCGCTCGCGTTTTGAGTTTGCACCGATTTAGTTTGATATACAAGTTTTGTTAACGCTTCTCTTACTGTATCTTCTAATTGCTCGAGCCTATACAACATTATTAGCCATTCGTCACAAGTTAGTCCAGATTTTGGCAAAGTCTGCATATACTGTCTGTTCATCTCTTTAACTTTTATCAAAAAGTACTCCTTCTTCCTCTCATTGGACAAAGTTGAGAAATCTGGCGCGTTATCTATTTTCCTGACCTCTAAACGAGTCAACTCTTGTATCGCATTAGTGGCAGTTTCCGGATCTTGTAGAATCCAATTAACAAGCTGTTGTGATTCCGCACATCGCATCGTCACGTCTATATATCGAAATTTAAGTAATTTTAATTTATTATATTTTATTGGATTTTCCGACATTTTTGATCGTTTCATTATAAACGCATCTAGAGCGTTGCCAACAGACATGCCTAGCGCTTTTGTTACTTGCTTGAACATTTCTCTATCTAACACCGTATCATCCTCACGTTTTGTCAATTCATCGATTTTTTCTAATATTTTATCTGTTTCACCGCCATTTTGTTGCGACGCCATATATTGAATATGGGAGTAGAATTTGTCTAAAGTCGCTTGAATCTCGCTTTCTAATATATCTATGGGAATACTTTTTAATTTTGAAGCCACGTTATGTTTCCACGAGTTACATCTTGTTTTTACTAACTCTCTCAATTCGTCCATACTTAACGTGTCCTTCACCGATTTCTCGAACAGTCGCGCTTTCGAATACATTTCGGAATTCCAACTGGTCCTTTGCAAATAGAAAAGTTCATTGACCTCTTCCAAAAATTTACTTAACTCCGGACTCTTATTTTGTTTCAGATATTCGAACACTTTGTTTATGACTACTTGAGCTGATGTTGTAAATAAAAAGTCTTTAAATTCGTTTTTATTGTTACTTTTCATTAGACTCTTTACTTCTTTTTCATCTTTTAGCAAAACTGTCAAATCTTTGCCTTCAAACTCAAATATGGCGGTATCTTCACTATTTTTTGTTCTACGACTAATTTTGCGTTTGGCTGTATGTTTTGTTACTTTTACATTATCGCGTTTAGACAAATTTAATTCACGAATTTGTTTTAGCGTTTCCGGTGTCAATTGAGCTTCGCTATTCACATCCGGCAGACTATTCATAATGGAGGCGAATTCCGGAAACAGTTCGAAGCTAGCGTTGGCAAATTCCGACAATTTCGACGCAATTTCCGGCATATTGGCTAACGTTTGCGGCATATTTTCTACTAACTCGGTCAATTTCGTTATAGCTATATTCATATCTATAGGATCATCGGCGTCCATTTTCTCTAAAAACTCCGCGGAATTTTTATCTAACGTCATCATAACTTCCACTATTTGCTCTAAAGATGGCGGCTCGTCCGTTTCCGTTTTATCTTCTTTATTGTACGAATTGATCATATTCTGACATTCTTCCATGGCCTTTTTTATTTTTAAACCAAAAATTATATATTTATACACATCCGGATCCTTCTCATCATTTTCAACCTTCTCTTCCTTCGGAGCTCGAGCATTTAAGGGGACATTTAGATCTGCTATTTGAGACTTGAAATCAATAGATTTATCATCTTTATTGAAAATTTTGTTCACTGCCAATATCCTCTGGGATTTCTGCGTAAAAATGGGCGGTTCAGACGTTGTTGGGGACATTTCTTGTAATGGCGGACTAACTGAGTCTGGATATTTCTCTATTTCGACATTCTCAGGACTACTTAGCGCAAAAGTTGCAAATTTCGCCAAACACTCCTTCATATCTTTACACAAATCCCCATCAACTTCCCCCACTATTGTTTCTGTGTCGCTAATATTGTCTTTTTCTAGTGAAAACGCTTCTGGCGGATCAACTTCCGTCTTGACACTTTCATCTATTTCTTTATACGGGGTTCTCAGGACTTTACTTTTGAGCATTTGGAGTAGTTTATGGGGTTTGCTTATAGATTGTGGGAGTTGAGGAGGTTTGAGCTTTCTTTTTGGTGCGGACGATATTTTAGGGAGTTTTGGGCTGAGCGTGCGTCGTTTGCGTTTAGGGAGGTCTTCGATTAGAGTTACATTGGTGTCTGGTACGCTGGAAATGAATATTTTTTTAATTATTTATTATTTATATTAAATATTTTACAATATTTATGTTCTATTTTAAAACATATATTATTTCAAAACATTAAAAACAATTATTCATAGCTTCATGTTTCCATGGCACTCTCGTCTATATTATTCCATATTCTATGGAAATAACAAACACATTACCTCTCTCTCTCATGTTGGAGTTGATCTTCTAACCACATGCGCAAACGATGGTAGTACAGCTGTTGATCCCGCATATGCATCACTTTGCGACGAACCTGTGAAAAAAAAAGAAGAATAATTCTCTTCTCCTTCTTTCTATTATATTAAAACAACACTCTTAACAACTAACCGTTATCCCCGTCTTATATAAAAACACTCTTATATATTTTACTAATTATACATAAACATAGATGGCGCTACAGGCACTAATAATGATTAAAAAAAACGTTACGTTCCCTAAGAAATAGTATATACTAATCACCTATCAATACCATATTAGCAAAATAATCTATCATCCCACAGATCAACACAAAATGGTCACACACACCTAACGTAACCGACAAGAAAAAAGAAAGAAAGAAAGAAAAAAAAGAAACCATAAGCCCTCACCTCCTTGAACCTCTGCAGATGGTACTCCGGGCAGAGCGGGCGGCAGGGCGCGTGCGCGGGCGGCGGCGGCGGCGAGCCGGGCGGCGGCGGCGCGGGCGCGGCGCCGCCCACCAGCTGCGTGCACATCTTGGGGCACAGCGGGTATACACACGTCATGTCAATGTCGAATGACATTGACACATATCATCACAGATAAAAATAATAATTAAAACAACAAAAAATATTAGAAAACAGATTTTAAACGTCGAAATTGGATATATAATAAAAACAAAAATCGCGTCTAGAATATATAATTGTGAGTTGTGACCATTTTAATTGACCTTTAAAATATTCTACATTTCTTTCAAACTCCCCACTTATTCCTTATTTCTACTTAAAAGAAGAGAAAATAACACAAACAATTCGTATCACAAACATACAAAAAAATATGTAATTTTTATTCAATATATATAAATGAGTACTTCTAAAATATATTTACTGTTCGTCGGTTCGCAGTTTGGGATATCTACATATCGAGCGCAGTGACTTACAGCTAACTTCATACACCTAAGTTTGGCACGAATGAGTCATCCATCACAAAATTACATTCAGACACAGAACCTTAACTATCTCGGTGGTGTAGTGGCTAATATGTATGATTGTACAACCGGCGGTCTTGGATTCGAGTGCCAGGTCGGGTCAAGTTTAATTATTGAGTATTTCTGTTAAGAAAATCTCAGTAACAGCTCGGAGTTGGGAAGTTGGCGGAGTTGCACTCCCGAGAGCACTTATCGCGTCATGCGCCTGATCTCCCACTGGTCGTATCGAATATCGTCCCACTGGTGTGAGAGGGACAGAGTGTGCACTTGTATATACATCTCTCTCTCTCGCACGCTGCACTATAATATCTCCTGCAATTAACTAGTCTCAGTGAGATAGGCTGCCGTGACCTACATCGGTAGGGAAGGTATTAGTATTATTCCCTAGAAGTACAAATATGACTTATTTGCACAATTTTTCGTTGTCCGCTCCACATGAAATATCTCATACATTATGTATTATGTATATATAATTGTTTATATACTAGCGACACACCCTCGCTTCACTTAAGTTTTTTCCTATGTATGTTTAAACCGTATGAAATAGACTATATACATTATATATACATATACATAGGTATATATATACATATACTAGTTGTCGTGGGTTGTATTATAGCGTGTTCTCCTGTGGAAATGAGATAATCTCCCGCGGCTCCCGGTAAAAAGTAGCTTATATCACTCTCTAGCCCTACAATGGTGATAACACAATCCGCGACTGTTCGGACGTGAAACAAGGACAGACAGACAAACACATACCGTGGACAGGCGTTTCTGCCTGCGGTAGACCTGCAGCTGTCGGCGGTGCACGGCGGGCAGGCGTCGGTACATCGCCATCAACTTGCGGTCCACTTCCGTCAACCCGAGGTGCACGCGTTTCCTAAACAAGGTGGAATAATTGTATTATCGATTTATTCATGGTGTTTTTACCTATTGTAATATGAGGTAATAGGATTATGTAACGAGCATGTATAATTACATATAGATATTAGATTATAGATGGTGTATGTATTGATTGTACTACGGACGGAGATCAAGTGAGAGATTGTCCAATCTCTCACTTGATCTCGCAAGTGCACTAGGCACTTAAATAAACGCTTTAATATTAAAGCCTTATTATTTATCCTCACGTCCGCCATTTTTGCATTTATTCATTCATTCGTTATATATTTATCTACACCCGCTTCAATCATTCTATCATTTATATTTTTAATGGTTAGTATAAAGTAAATTATATATATTAGAGTGGTCGTTAAAAATTAAACTTTTTCCGACTCCCCAAAAAAAGTTTTCTTCTAATAAAAAAAAATTAAAGTAGTTTTTTTTGTATCTCTTAAAGTATATGGATTTGAGAAAAAGTTATGGAGCAATTTTGTAGGATATTAAATTTTCTACAAAAAAAGTCCTCTCTATTTTCTCCATAAAATGTATATTTATGGAGATATCGCAAACATCACTTTTTTCTGGAAAACTTTAATTATGCCTTAGTCCTTATTAAGTAGATATCATTAAATAAGAAATTGTAAATTCTACTTGTGTTACAAAATATTTATATTTAAAAAAAAAAAGACATTTGTAGATCTGAAAATATTGACTACCTAAAATAATAATAAGATATTTTATCAACGGGATTCGAACCCACAATATAGTAATAAATTAAAATTAAAAAAAAAATGATATAACAATGTATATTCCTTTATCTTTTATACTTTACTCTCTTAATACTCTATTTTTTTCATATTTCCAATACATAATTTAATTAACAATCTATCAAAACCATGGACCAAACCCTCCCTCCCCACTACATCATGGACCACCACAATACCAACCTTGCCTCCCGATCGGTCCACCGGTCACAATGCCGCAACACACGGTCCATCAACCGCTCTATCGCCGCTATGGACCGCATGAGCTCTCGAACGGACCGACTGAGCCGACTACCCTCGCCGTCCGTCTCACCGTCGCCAATGTCCTCTATGTCCTCCATGTCCTGGTCCATGTCCTGGTCCACCTCCTCCCCATCCCTCTCCCCATGGACCACGGCAGCGGCAGCCAGGAGCAGTTCTGATGCAGAGTCCAATGATGAGGAATTGCCCTCCGAGTCTGTTACTGTTATATTGACAACCATTGGTTATAAACTGTCGTTGGGTTTTGCGCCAGAGGCCGCCAGTTCGAATCCCGGGAGGTGAATGTATGTGATTGTTATATACATGTTTGTTTCGACTTGGTTTATAAACAACAGCTGGGTGTCTGTATAAAGACAGAAATTTTCGACAGATATATACACAATTATATCAAGTAAATTCGTAAAAATCTATAATATAAATATTATTTTTCAAAACAACCTGCATGTCTGAGAGAACCTAGCAAGTTGGCCGGCGTGGTGGACTATGGCCTGATCCCACGCATTGAAGGAGGCCCGTCCCCAGCGGTGGGACGTTAAAAATGGCCGAATCGATCTATATCTCTAACAGCAAAAACATAGCATTCTCATATATGTAAATGTATGTTATAGCTGCAAGGCTGGGCTGGGAATTGGAGGAGGGGCCCTGGGCTTACACTTTGTGGAAATCTGAGAATGACAATTAGATACTTGATCACAAGATTATTAAGCCAAACTTTTTAGCCTTAATTTTTTTTATTTTAGAAAAAAATCACAATATCATCCATTGCTTTGAACAGCGGGCTCTTTATATTGTATTGGCCCAGAAATCCAATACATATTATGTACATACATACAGATCTGCCCCTGCATATATGACGTCTTCTATTGAGAAATTTCGTGTATAATCTTTAAAACATCCATCATCCAACATCCATACTAATAGATATATGTATATGAAAAGTAGTGACTAACCTTCGCTTCGCTCGGGTTCATCCCTGGGTTGTTTCCCCATACAAACTTTCACCTCCTTGAGGGATGATTTCCGAGATAAAAAACTATCCTATGTCCTTCCCAGGATTTCAAACTATCTTCTTATCAAATTTCATCTAAATCGGTTCAACAGTTTCGGAGTCTATTGGATAGAAATAAGCAAACAAACAAAAAACAATTTTTTCCTCTTTATAATATTACAATAGATAATTCACTCACTGTCATCAAAGTCAGCACTGAAATTGGAGTCACTGAGGTCTAAGGGTGAAGTCGATTTGGCTAAGGACAGCATATCTTCGAAGGAGTCCGGTGGTCTGTGCACAAAATGAAAATTATTGTATTACTATTAAACATTATAGTTTAAATAAAACCGGTCAAATGCTAGTCGTATATTATGTATTTTTCATTAATATGACTTTTACTCTTATCTATGTAGTATCTTCAATGATCGATTAGTAGCGTAAAAAAATGTTTTTTGTATTTTTATTTTTTTATTTTTATTATTTGTTGTTATAGCGGCAATAGAAATACATACTGTGACAATTTCTACTCTCTAGCTATTACGGTTCATGAGATAAAGCCCTCTGACAGACGGACGGACATTGGAGGCATAGTAATAGAGTTCCATTGGCACCCGTCGGGTATGGAACCCTTAAGACCAAAATAATTATGAACCGAAATAAAAAGTAAAAAATATTTTTTAGCATAAAAATAAAGACTGTGATTAACGAGAAAATTAATGTTATCATGAAAAAAACATGGGGTGCTTTATACAATATTTTTTGTATGCTAACTCTACTTTAAGTATTAGATACACAATCAGCGACAAAAAAAATTCTCACCGAATGACCGCTCAATTGAATATTTGAGCGCGCTTTTAATTTAAAAACAAAATTGAGAAAAAAACTTTAAACATTGCTTTTAAGGTTCAATTTACATTGTCGTATATTTATTCCACCTAGAACAATTACCTAAACACAATTGGTGACATTTCTAAGAGAACTTTTGCATGGGATTGTGTATCTAGTAATTTTTTTATCGACGAAATCGTACAAATGGAATATTTATAACAACTGATATCAATATGTCGATATGATCATGCCAACTCACTTGGCCCCCGTTCCATCTCCTTGCTGCAATTCTCTGCTGGAGCTGTCAGCTTTCATATCTAAAGCGGGCTGGAACAAACAAGTTTAAATAAATACATACAGTTGACGACACGTTGGGCTCAGTTTGTAGTGGCCCTACTTACTGTGCCAACGGTCGCGGATTCGAGTTTCGCTAGGGACATTCATTTGTATGATGAGTACGAATGTTTGTACTCTAGTCATGAGTGTTTATATTTATAATATGTATGTATTTAAAGTTATATACGTGTAGACTGCTGGATTTGTTGACATTTATGATTACTGCTCCACTCTTTTGTGTAGTAGCATGATGATATATTATAACCTTCCTCAATAAACGAGCTATTTTATGCAAAAAGAATTTTTTTTAATCGGATTAGCAGTTCTTGAGATTAGCGCGTTCAAAAAAAAACCAGCAAACTCTGTCTCTTTATAATATTAGTATAATATTTATAATTAAAACATGTAAATTTTTATATGAACAAAGCAAAATTGTTCAACACTCACCTTTTCCGAGGCGTCCTTACTCCCATTAAATTCATTCACAGCTTGCATCATATTGAAGAAAGGGATTCTGAAATTGCATATAAAAAACAATAAAAATAAATAAATAAAAAAAACTAAAAAGCTCGACTGTGTAATAAAAACGACGATAAAAACGGGTTGAAGTAAAACTTCTTTGAGAAATATCGCAATTAAATTAAAACAAATCAATAATTAAATTAGACATATTACAATCATATATTTATAGAATTTCATATACAGAAAGAATATAATATTATATATTTGTCAGACAATAACAACGGTTACCATGGTAATGTATTCTATCTCATTCTCTCGCCGGCTTAATCCTATATATCTATGTGTTTGTCTCTTTCTAGTGTCGCATTTCCGTTTCATCGACTTTCAAATTACAACGATTCTAAAGAAATTTCACTTTAACAAATATATTTCAATGATTTATCCCACGGCAAAGACACTCACCTAAGCAATTGTTTCGTTTGTTGCGCGCACAGAGTCCTGGGCGTGAGGCAGTCGCAGCGGTGTCTGTATCCCGACCACGCGCTTACTGGAATTATATACATAATTGTAGAATGGACTGGAATTATATATATATATATATATATGTATGTATATATATATATATGTATGTATATATATATATATATATATATATATATATTGACTCCCTTAAGGAATGATTTCCGGGATAAAGGTATCCTATGTCCTTCCCAGGGTCTCAAACTATCTTCTTACCAAATTTCATCTAAATCGGTTCAGTAGATCCGGAGATTACCCACTACAACGTCACAAACTCACAATCTTACAAACTTTACCTCTTTATAATATCAGTATAGATATATTACTTAAATCTATACAGACAAGTAAAATTGAAGTGTATGTTTGTAAATATTGAAATAACTGCTTTTTACTAAATGTAAACGGTAATAATAAGAAAAAGAAACGTTTTTCTCTATCTATTTATACCTGCTAATCTCCGAAACGGCTGGACGGATTTTGACGGTACTTTCACTAGTGAATAGTTGATATTATAAGGAATAAGTTAAGCTACAAATATTTTTATTTTAAAACTATAGGGTTCCGCGACAAGAATTTAAAACATGAAATCGTAGAAAAAACGTACCCAACGTTAGTTATCTTTATATATCTTTTTATATATAGAAATCACTATCACTATCTGCTCACGTGACTGATCGCATACTAAAATCAAAAGGAAAAAAGAAACAAAAAAATATGTCAACATACAATCCCGGGTCGCAGTCCGAGCCGCCAAGTGCGCGAGGCGCTCCCGCGTGGAGCGCCGTTGGTGGGGAGCCAGCCGCCGCGCCAGGAACGCGCGAGCCGCCTCCCCCCACGCACCCCCCGCCCCTCCCACTCCCCCCGCACCCTCCACACCTGCGACACCCCCCGGGCTGGGGACCACCTCCACCTGTGGATAGTTAAATGTACTACTATATCTATATAAATAAAAATGAATGTAGCTAAGCGCAAAACTCGAGAACGGCCTTGACCAATTCATTTTTTTTTTCATATGTTCCATAAGGTACACGGAAATTTTTATAATTGAGTTTTTGGATTTCTCTTAGTCCAGAATAGATTAAAACATCAGAAAAAATACGAAAAAAAAATTAAAATTTATATGGCTAACGCTGGCTAATTACGATAACTATTTATATCTATTGAAATCGTTAAACTGCAAACAAATATACTAATTCCTCTCAATTAATTTCATATTCAGCCCTTTTTAACGTCCCACTGCTGGGGGTGGGCCTCCATCCAATACGAGGATTAGGCCATAGTCCACCACGCTGGGCAAGTGCGGGCGGACTGAACATGTCTGCAGAAAACTTGCTGGGTTCTCTCAGACATGCAGGTTTCCTCACGATGTTCTCCTTTACCGTAAGACAGGTGGTAATCATGTTAGAAATGATTCGCACGTGAAAATATCAGAGGTGCGAGACCCGAGATTTGAACCCGCTTCACTCGGTTACCCAAGCGACTACCACTGGGCCACCACTACCTCGTTACTGCCGTTTGTTTTAAATATAGTAATGACTTACCTTAAAAGTTATAGACGAAGCAGTCTTAAAATTTTCCAGAAGCTTACACAGTCTCTCCATTGCATACCTATAAAATACAGATAATATATTAATAAAAATATATAATAATAGTGTGATAAAATAATAAAAATATAATATATTCATTATTAGAAATATCTGGGAGACTTAATTTTGCTCATGTTTTGTAATATTGTGTTTTTTTTTTCAGAAAATACACCTAACCTATATGGATAAACTTAAAAAAAAAACTTATATATTTTTTTGCAAACACGCCGCCCAGGTACTTAAGACCATATAATCCATAACAATTTTTCCAATACTCACTGTTTCTCAAACGGCCTTTCATATACTTTACAGAGGCATATACTGTGCACTATTTGGTAGGATATATCGTTTTGTTGCGCCAGTCTGTTGAAATGCTCGTGAATAATGGACGCACCTGAAACATTTTGTTAGTTTTTATAGAAAATCACGTTTTAAATAAAATAAAACTATCTTTTCGGATTTTTTCTATGTCTATATGTGTGAAACATCTAAAACCTTAGTCTCTCCCGTGACCATGTGCGCTGTAAAGCATTCGAAACGTCGGGAACCAAAAATCAAAATAAATCTAGGAAAAAATCCGAAAAGATAGTTTTATTTAAAATGTTAAATTTTCCCGTAAATCTAAGAAAGCATTATATAAAAAAAACTAGAATTAAAAAAAAAACGTTAAAAACCACCACAACTCACCATCGTCACACACTTTCAGCCGCTGCAACCTTCCGATGTCCCACTCGGTGGGAGTCAACTCGCTGCCGGGGGACAGGTGTAAAGCGCGGACGATGTTAGCGCCTATCGACACTGTGTTGCTATCTGGAAATAAATCATTTATTTAAACTAAAATCCAATACAGTTGCGTAGACTAACTTGACATACATATATTAAAAAAAAAGAAATAAAAATTATATATTAAAAAAAATAAAATAAAAAAACAGCATATTAGGACTAACAAGCAAGCAAGCAAACAAACAAACACACTTTCACATTTATAATAGTACCTAGGCGACCGAGCTTCACTCGGAGATTTTGGCCAAAAGTACAATTTTCTTAAAAAAATAAAACTAAAAACTTGAATAAATACAAAGAAAACAAAAGTAAAAACTTTGTATTCGACCGGGATTCGAAACCGGACACCTGTAATTGTCAATCTTGCGCCTCGGCCGCTTGGCCACGATGTTTATACCCGAGCGTGCGAAATTAGCGACTATATTTGCGAGTGAAAGAAAACCGCATGAAAACTCGAAAACACGCGTTTTCCCAGACATAAGACTAATCTAGATCAATTTATCGCCCCCGAAACCCGCTGCATACTAAATTTCATTAAAATCGTTGGAGCCGTTTCCTAGATCGCCGGTATAAATATACAAGAATTGCACATTTAAATACATTAGATTAGTAAGTAGACAAGTACCCTCACACAATCTGCTTATAGTTAAACTGATTGCAGATAATAAATCACAAAAAAAAAAGATTAGTAAGTATGGAATTAGCATGGGATTCTCTCCACACTCACCCCGTGCAAGTGCAGCGAGTAACTCCTTCAGGAACCATCCCAGCGCGTCGACGCCGTCCGCCAGCGTGAGGCACAGGCGGCAATAGCAGCCGAAACGCGCGCGGTACGACCACTCCGACTTGACCATTTCGTAGCTCCTGTTATATATAATTAAACATATTCCATTAAAACATTTTTTTATTGGAATGTCCCACTGCTGGGCGTGGGCTTCACTTCAATACAAGGGGGATCAGGCCATAGTCCACCATGTTGGCCAAGTGCGGGTTAGTAAAAACCCTATATAGTATATCATATACTTATATTTTCAAATTGCTATGTAGGGTTTATATTTTATTTGAAATTTTTTGTTTCAGTATGAATTAAACGGGAACTTATTCCCTCCACGACCGCGGACACGCCGGCGTGTCAGTTAACAGTAGATTTCTTAGAATTTCAATTAATTTCTTAGAAATTTACCTGGAGGTGATACTAAAAATCCGAAAAGATACATTTTGTTTAAAATGTCAAATATTTTCTTAATAGTTTATTATGTAACTAATTAGTAGTCAGTCATGTTCTTCCCAGGGTCTCAAACTATCTTCTTACCAAATTTCATCTAAATCGGTTCAATCATCAGATCCAGAGATTTCCCCCTACAACGTCACAAACTCAGAATCTCACAAACTTTACCTCTCTATAATATTAGCATAGATTATAGCGCATGTGAGAACATATAAGACGACACGTTTGGCTCAGTTTGTAGTGACGCCACTTGCTGTGTCAGTGGTCGCGGGTTCGAGTCCCGCTGGGGGTATACATTTGTGTGATGAGCACGAATGTTTGTACTACAGTCGTGGGTGTTTGTATGTATTTAAAGTTACATATGTGTAGGGTATCAACTATCCGTTATTCATAACACAAGCCTCGTAGCTTACCATGGAACTAGATGGTGCAGTGTGTTAATGTCCCAACATATTTATTTATTAGAATATGTTATTAAAAAAAATGGGAAAATAAAAACTTTTTTAAAAAAATTATAAAAACTGACTTACAGGCACTAAAATGTAAAAAATAACTAAACGGGGGTTATCATTTAGAATAGATACCTAATCAGATATTTTCGAAGCCGGTGCCAGCCGAGACAAATCAAAGCACACCTGTAAACCTAGTCCTAGTGTGCCTGGAAGTACCTAGATTGTTTTAAGTAAGTTTTTATTTATATTTATAGGAGTCAACAAACTCACATGTTAGCACCGATGAGTGTATACATGAGCGCGCTGTACTCGCACCACGAGTGGTACATGCCCAGGAGCCACTCCGCCACCGGGGTGAAGCCTTCTCTCTCTGCTCTCTCCCTCTCTGTGCTATCTAGTACAGCTAAACCCTCCGCATTTTGTGGGTCTGGGGAGAGTTATAAAATATAATGAATATTTAAAGAGAACTGTTTTTTTTTAGTTATAGAAACTAAAAAATGAAACTAACGATATATATATATATATATATATATATATATATATATATATATATATATATACACACACTACTATATACTGTATAGATAGATAACTTACCACACACATAATGTAATAACGCAGCTTCGTCTTCCGCCGTCACGACAGGCTCTTCGAATTTAAACATTTCATTGCTAAGCCTGCGAATATAAAAACATTTAATACTATATATCACACAGTTAATTTGTTTGTTTATCAGCACACACCAATATCTAGAACTAGCAGACTGATTTGGGAAATTCTTTTTACATTGTATAGTCTATGTATCATCGCCTCAGTGCTTATTTGTTCAAACCACCAATACTTGTTGTACTTTACTGTAGAGAGTTGCTTTTCTCTATTTTAAAAACAAAGATTATATATTATAATATATAATCAAATTCTAACTTAACTGAATATGTACATTAAATATTTTTTGGAAAATCTTATTGAAATAGTCATTATTATCGATACAGAGGCCGAATCTATATTTTTTAAAGTTTTTGTCTGTCTGTCTGTCTGTTACCGCATGATGAATTTTTTTTATGGTGGTAGCTGGTTATCCGGGTCAACATATAGGATACTTTTTACTGCGGGAACACATTTCATCTTTGAGAAATCTATACAAAACGTTAAAACATAAGTAAGGGCGAAACCGAGCAAAGCAAGGGTAAGTCGCTAGTATATATTATTTATATACATATACTCGTATAGATAAAATACATCTTTTCAGCCTTTATTAAAGTAAAATGTGCATTCAATACCAATAGAATTAACATTTAAAAATCAATAATTCTGTATTAAAAACTTCTTTAGCAAATTGGTCGTTTGGACAAATAAGCACTGAGACGGTATGTGGGCTAAGGTTACAGACTATCTACCAGAACGGTTAGACCTTTAGAAATACAAATACAAACAAATACCCGAATACTAATCAATTCCAGCATCTCTTTATTATAAGTCGGTCAAATACTAAAAATGAATAATAGTGAATATGCATGTGATTTAAATAAAGGTGAAATATATTTTTTTATAATCTTTATTGCTTTGGAATTAAACCTCTATCAATATTTTTTAATATAATTTCTTTTATGATTAAGAAAATAATTATTAAAAAATGCAAATACAGGTGGGAAATTCAAAGTAGTTGAAACGCACGACATTGGCCAGACCGAATGTGACGTCAGAGTATATCATAACAGAGCGATTAGATTTTGTGGCTACAAACTAAAGTCATCATGTCTCTGTGTATATCATACTGTGACGTCACGCCGAGCGCGCAGAATGGCGGACGTTTAAAGCATTCGTATCGGTATGATTTTTTTAATACTAAATTTTAGTTTTTTTTCTTCATATTTTCTTCACAATTATATAACGATGTAAGCTATATTATTTTATTTTTTTTAATCATGCATATTCCCTATTACGATCCTCTTAACGTAACTTTAACCGAGACACAGATACAGAAAGTGAGCAAATCTTTTTTGTTTTAAATAGATTTAAAAAAAATCATCCTTACACATCGGGCGCAGAGTCCAAAGCCGCGTCATCCTCTAAGGCCATTTCATCCCTCACATTGTCTTCAGCGGACGCTAGCAACTGAAAGAATATAATACAATAAGAATAATATTTTAGTAATATGTAAGCAGTGGTAGTCCAGTGGTAAAGCGCTCGCTTGAGAAACCGAGTGAAGCGGGTTCAAATTACGGGTCTCGCACCTCTGATATTTCCACGTGCGAATCATTTCTAACATGATTACCACCTGTCTTACGGTGAAGGAGAGCATCGTGAGGAAACCTGCATGTCTGAGAGAACCCAGCAAGTTGTCTGCAGACATGCTCAGTCCGCCCGCACTTGCCCAGCGTGGTGGACTATGGCCTGATGATGATCCCCCTCGTGTTGAAGGGAGGCCCACCCCCAGGCAGTGGTACGTTAAAATACAATGCAGATACATTACTCATAAATCAAAAAGGATCGTTAGATTTACGCGCATATTTGACATTTTAAATAAAACATGTCTTTTCGGATATTTTCGCGGATTTATTTCTATTTTTGGTTCTCGAACTTTCGAGTGCTTTACAGCAATCGTGGTCACGGAAGATCAATTTCTTGGTGACAACCCCCCCTGTGTAGTGTTTGTTAATGTTTTATAGTGTAAAAAAGAAAAAATCGTCTGGAAAAAGAGTGAGGGGTCCTCCACATAGATCGAGATCTCCTACTATTACCAAACCATCTCACTCACCTGCAGTATATCTTCGTGCCGGATGAGGAAGTGTTCAGGGTCTGGTGCTGGGTCGGCGCTGAGGAGCGGCAGGAGGTACTGCCCCATCGCTGGTGGTTCCACTTGCTGTCAACGATAAAGTTATTATATATACAGTTTGACAGCTTTTTACTAAATGCATATGATATTTTGTGTCTGTTTGTTTCGATTAATCTCCGAAACTGCTGGTTTTGGCGGACTTTCGTTGGCAGATAGCTGATGTTATGAGGAGTAATTTGGGCTACTTTTATGTTAGAAAAAGAATTAGGGTTCAGTTCAAAAAAAATGAAACATATCTGGGGACGCACCCGAGCGATGCGAGGATCAGCCGCTAGTACATACATACATATATATGCAAAAGTTTGTGTTTGTGTATGTTTATGTAATAAAATCTATGTCAGATAGACGTCTAGGGGAACACTAGTACGAAGCGAGGGTAAGTTGTTAATTTATAAATAAAGTTTCTTGTATGTATGCAGCCCTTTTGTAACATCCCACTGCTGGGGATGAGCCTCCCTTCAATACGAGGGGGGGACCAGACCATAGTCATTTTCACGTTTAATAAAAATGCCTATTCTAAATACAAAGTTTTCTATACATATTGGTTTAAATAAATGAAAAAAAAACTCACCGATCCCTTATGGTGATATGTGGGACAGTCGATATCTAAGCCGACATCCTTGCTGGAAGAACTGTCTGTGCTGCCAGCTGTCAAAAATAAAAAAAAATAAAAAAATAAATTAAGGATTCCGTCACTCACTGAGACTAGCCAACTGCAGAAGATATTATAGTGCGTGAGGGAGAGAGACACACAAGCACTCTCTAACCCTGTCACTCTCATACTCCGGTAGAACGACATTCAACACGGTAAGAGATCAGACACAGGACTGAAGCAACACTTCAAGGAACGGTAGCAGAAAACCCAATGACTATAGTCGAACCGACCCGAGACTCGAACCCGGGACCGAGCATCGTACTTGGGTTATTACCGAAAGTCAGTTGTTGTCGAAATTTTATTTGGTGGTCTTGAAACAGTAAGTGATAGTGAAAGTTTGCCAGAGTGTACCTTTTTTTGTTGTGTTGCCGTTACATATAATTTTTGTATAATTTGTCTCAAAAATATTTTGTTCTTGCAATATATTAAAGCAAAAATTGTATTTTTAAAATATTAATTACTAGTGGCTAGCCCTCGCTTCTCTCGGGTTCGCCTCTAGAAAAACACTAATAGAGATCTATTACTGTTTATTTCTCCGGGACGAAAATTAACCTGTTATTTGACCGGCAATATAAGGTATCAGAATGTTAATTTTTTCTAAATTAGGTGCATAAGTTGTTGTGTACTAAGCTGTGTAAGTTATTATAGTTTTTTAACTATCCCACGGGAACTATTTAATTTTCCACGATAAAAAGTATCTAAGATGTTGCCCGGGGATATAAGGTACCACCATGCAAAATTTCATTTTAATCGGTCCAATAGATTCGGAGATTAGCCCGTACAAACAGACAAAGAAACAAAAAAATTGAAAAAAATCAGGGTTTGTTCTATTTGTCTTCTTACATCCCCCTGACTCGATTTTTAGCTTTTTTTTGCTATATACAGACATTCGACCTCTACTGATATTAGTCGACCGATCAGTCGATCGATCAGTCGACCGATCAGTCGATCGATCAGTCGACCGATCAGTCGATCGATCAGTCGACCGAGCAGTCGATCGATCAGTCGACCGATCAGTCGACCGATTAGTCGACCGATAAGTCGATCGATTAGTCGACCGATAAGTCGATCGATCAGTCGACCGATCAGTCGATCGATCAGTCGACCGATCAGTCGACCGATCAGTCGATCGATCAGTCGACCGATCAGTCGATCGATCAGTCGATCGATCAGTCGATCAATCAGTCGACCGATCAGTCGATCGATCAGTCGACCGATCAGTCGACCGATCAGTCGATCGAGCAGCCGATCGATCAGTCGATCGAGCAGTCGATCGAGCAGTCGATCGATCAATCAATCAATCAATCAATCAATAAGTAAGTAAGTGAGTGAGTGAGTGAGTAAGTGAGTGAGTGTGTGAGTGAGTAAGTATGTATGTAAGTAAGTATGTAAGTATGTAAGTAAGATAAATACATAAATAGATAAATAAATAAATAATTTGTCGTTTTACTTCTCGATGAAAAAGAGCACTTATCTAAATAATGTCTTGTTGGTTGTTTGATATTAAGTAGAGATAGAGCAGTAAATAAAAGTTGCGTTAATATTATTTCGCTTTAAACACTTTGGTTTCTTATATAGTTATACTACATGGTACACATAGCGTTGCTAGAGTCTAAGAGGATTTTTTCAAGAGGAATTATTCTGTAATACATTGTTTTCACATATAAGTCTATTAGTTTACGCGGCGCACGCCAATAAAGCTCCCAGTCAGCATGATATTTTCCGACATCTTCAACAATCGTCGTCACATTTCAGCCAATTTACACAAAATCTTAATGTATTATACACCTAAACCTTCCTCATGAGTCACTCCATCTATTGGTGAAAACCGTATGAAAATCCGTTTGGTATTTTTTGAGTTTATCGTGTTCAGATAGACAGACAAAGAGAAATGGAAATCGGGAAAGTTTTCCTTAATCAAAACATTACTTTAAATAACGAAGACCTTCTTTAAAAAATTTGATTAAGTATTTATTATATATCTATAATAAAAAAAGTTATGACATTTCCAAAATTGTTGAAAATATGACCAATAAACATGACCTACCGATTTAAATTATTTTTTTAATATAAAAAACTATTTTTTGTGACTTAAATATAAAAGTTAGATATATGCTGTCGCTGACTTTTTTGTAGGCATTATTAAGCTCTACAACTTTTCTCTAAAACATAATCATATATCTCTCATGGTTAAGGCAGAGTTCGTAAGAAACGTTTTCGTTTGACCGTTTTTTCTCCGACTTACTTTGCAAATCCGACTACCATGAAAAAGCCTTTTCATTCTTCTTTAATTAATATAGTCTATGACACTCAGAAAGAACGTGGCTTTCTATTGGTAAAAGAATTTTGAAAATCGGTTCAGTAGATCCAGAGATTACCCCCTACAACGTCACAAACTCACAAACTCACAAACCCACAAACTCACAAACTCACAAGATCACAAACTTTACCTCTTTACAATATTAGTATAGATTGGGCCCGATAATCCGGTATCCGACCGGATAGCAAAATAAGGCGGGCTACTTATCCTATATATCCGCACACAAACACTCACAATGATCATCCAACTCCGTCCACTGGTCGTCAGAGTCGGAATCAGCGCCGACATCCGACGCGTCAGACAGTATCTCGCACGTGCGCGTGCGCATGCTGGCTACGCGACGCGCCACTGCGGAACGACGGCGAGACACCTGGAAAAAATGGCGGATAAATATATGTATATATTCCATGTACAGAATTTAAAATGCTTCCCTACATATTATAAATTACATATCAATACCTTGGCAACCGAGTCTCGCTCGGCTCGGCGTTTTATGGGAAAGAAGTAAAAATTGTTTTTTTTTTTTCAGAAAGACAACTATATAGATAAACTTTAAAAGCAAAACCTAATCCAAATACAAAATTTCATTCAAATCGTTAGAGCCGTTTCCGAGATACACCAAATAAATATATAATACTAGCAGAACCCGCGGCATCGCTCGCGCTAAAACTACAAAAATAACTCTAAAAAGGTAGGTTTCATACCAACTTTCATCCCCTATTTTACACCTTTATGGGATGAATTTCGAAAAATACTAAAACACATATTTAATTAATTGTATTGAAGAGTATTAATATTTTTTTGGATTGTATTATAACGTGTATTCCCGCGGGAAAGACATAATCTCCCGCGGTAAAAAGTCAAGCCCATGTCACTCTTCTCCCCTCCAATTATCTCCACACAAAAAATCACGCCAATCCGCCGATCCGTTTCGACGTGAAAGGCAAACAAACAAACACACTTTCACATTTATAATATTAGTGGAGATTTCTTAGAATCTTAAGTAATTTCTTAGAAATTTACCTGGAGGTGTTAGTATGGATATACAAGACTTGCTCATTTAATCCATCCCTTAAGCGATCTACAAGATTTTAAAACACTTCACTATTATATTGTAAATTACAGTCCCCTGTCGCGCTGCACTTGTTCTTGCTAATCTCAAAAACAAGTCAACTGTATGGATATTCCATACAGTTTTCGCTAATAGGACGAGGGATTCTCTAGGAAGGTTGTGTATTGAGCCTTTTTTAAACCTCTCACTGGTGGGAAAATATCAGAAAAAAAGAGTTTTATTTAAATCCTTATGCCATAACTACTAACCTCTTTCCCCTTAGCGATGGGACGTCTACGCTGTGCCCTCTGAGGGCGCGGGGGTCTACGGGACCTCCCCCCTCTCGCGCCCGACCAGGAGGACGAGGAAGAACCGCTGCCGGACACCCGGTGACCGATCTGTTGATATACTTATTATTATGGCAAACTTTAAATAATATTCAGGAATAACTATTGAGAAAGGTTATACGAGCGGAGCAAATCTATACATATAATAAAATTGTAACTAAGTCGAATCCGTACATTACATATTTTTTGGAAAATCTTATTGAAATGAACATTGTTATCGATACAGAGGCCGAATCTATAGTTTTTAGAACTCTTGTCTGTCTGTCTGTTATTGTATCACAGAAAAACCACTGAAGGGATTTTGATGAAATTTGGTATGGTGATAGCTGGTTATCCGGGTCAACATATAGGATACTTTTTACCGCGGGAAAATGTTTCATTTCTGAGAAAAAATACAAAAACTGTAGTGTAACAGTATACTAATATATAAAACCTAAGAATTTGGTTTTTGGTCATCTGAACGCGGACGGAGCCGCGGTCAATGCTAGTCTATATATAAATAGGCAAAGACAAAACAGTTTAGTGCCTTTTTAACCCCCGACGCAAAAACGACGGGGTGTTATAAGTTTGACTTGTCTGTATATGTGTGTGTCTGTCTGTGCCATCGTAGCTCCTGAAACGATGAACCGATTTAGATTTTGTTTTTTTTTTGTTTGAAAGGTGAATTAGTCGGGATGTTCTTAGCTATGTTTGATGAAAGTATGTCCAAGATGGTCGGGGGTTTTTTAAATTTTTAATTTAATCTCGTTCTCTTTTTTTTGTCAATAGTTTGTTTTTTTTTTGTTTAGTGAGTATTGACGAGTTTTAGTGTCATATCAAAAAAAAATATGGTCAAATTTCATCGACTAGTATTGTCAGTACCACTGCTTAGTATTAGTGTTGTGCGCCTTTTGGTCGATAGCTACTAAACAAAACAAAGGTTGACAAAAAGGCACTGAACTGTGTTGTCTTTACCTATTTAGGTATACAATATACATAGATTAAAAATACTAGGTCTTTCATGGAATCTAATGTCAAGTATACCTAAACATCATACAGGCCATAAGTCACACAATGAATTCATCAAAATCGGTCAAGCCGTTTAAGAGGAAAATTATGACAACAAAACACAAGCAGGAATTTTATATATAAATATACATTTTGGACACTGCAATATGCAGACACGAGTTTTAGACTGTCAAGAACTCACAAGCCCGTGAAGTGAATATCCTTCAACAATGGAAAAAAACAAAGAAATTGTAGCTTTTAGCATGCAGTTCTTTCTGCTTACGCTTCAAAAGTTAGACATAAGGTTTTAGTTATTATATATATATATATATATGTATATAATGATAATAATGTCTTCCCGACCGATTTCGGCCACGGCGGTCAATTTCATTGAAACTAGCCAGATGCGCAGGAGACACTCGTAGGTATTATAGTGCAGACATAAGTACACACAATAGACACGACCGGTGAGAGTTAAGACGCAGGACCGATGCGACACGTGCTCTCCGAGCCTCGGGGGTTAAACACCGCCAATTTCCCAACTCCGAGCTATTACTGAATACTGAGGCTTACTATACAGAAAGATTCAATAACTATACTTGCCCGACCCGGGACTTAAACCCAGGATCTCCGGATGTGCAGCCGTACATGCTAGGCACTACACCACCGAGGCAGTTAAATGTATGTATGTAGGATTGGAGAAATTAACTTTTCTAAATGCTTCAGAAATCTCGATGTTGTTTCCGAACAACAACATAATGTTGATAAATCTTTACAGCATTCAAGCCAAAACACTGTTCACACACTTTGAACTTAAGCCAAATTAGAAATGTGGGAATATATATATATATATATATATATATATATATATATATATATATATATATATGACGACACGTTCGGCTCAGTTTGCAATGACCCTACTTGCTGTGCCAGCGGTCGCGGGTTCGAGCCCCGCTGGGGGCATTTATTTGTGTGATGAGCACGAATGTTTGAACTCAAGTCATGGGTGTTTATATTTATAATATGTATGTGTTTAAAATTATATATGTGTAGTGTATCAACTATCTAGTATGCATAACACAAGCCTCGTAGCTTACCATGGAACTAGATGGTGCTGTGTGTTATTGTCACAACATATTTATATTTATTATTTATATGTATATCCTAAGGCAGTAGTAGCCCAGTGGTGACGCGCCCGCAAGGGTAACCGAGTGAAGCGGGTTCAAATCCCGGGTCTCGCACCTCTGATATTTTCATGTGCGAATCATTTTCAACATGATTACCACTTGCTTTACGGTGAAGGAAAACATCGTGAGGAAACCTGCTTATCTGAGAGAACCTAGCAAGTTTTTGAAAGACATGTGAAGTCTGCTAATCCGCACTTGGCCAGCGTGGTGGACTATGGCCTGATCCCCCTCATATTGAAGGGAGGCCCGTGCTCAGCAGTCGGACGTTAAGAAGGGCTGAATACATACAATACAATGTATATCCTCCTAATATTATAAAAAGTGTGAAAGTCTGTGAGAATGTACAGATGGATGGCAATGAATGGATTTCAATGAAACTTTACTGTAATGTAGCTTATACATATATCGGAGTAACATATAGGCTATAATTTATAAAGAACATAATGGAACTGCACAGGCGAAGCCGCGGGAAAACATTAGTACACAATGTCTATGATAGTTTTAGAGTGAAATAAAAACATTCAAGCCAAGATTAATATATAAGAGTCAACAAAATGAATTAATTGAGCCTAAAAACAAAGAATTTACTGGGAGTCATTGAAAAGTCCCACTATCTATAATAGAATTATGAAATTTTCAATCCATTCATTTATTACATCTACACAGGTAAATAAAATTGAAGTGGCTCTAATATAAACTAGAAATTAAAAACTCAGACTCCTCCTCCTTTCTTGTGTCTTAAATGAAAATAGAAAAAAATATAAATAAATATGTTGAGACATTAACATGCAGCAACATATAGTTGCATGGAAAGCTACAAGGCTTATGTTATGGATACCAGATAGTTGATACACTACACATATATAACTTTAAATACATACATAATATAAATATAACACCAATGGCAGGAGTACAAACACTTGTGCTCATGACCCAAATGAATGCCCTCAGCTTGACTCAAACCTGCGACTGCTAACACAGCAAGTACTATTAACTGAGACAAACATGTCTTCAGAATTAAAAGAAATAAAACTAGAAGAAAGTTAACCGAGAAGAGCAAAAGAAAGAAGTTGTTTAAGAAACATTTAAATTATTGATAAATAGTAATATTATAAACTTAACCAATCTGTTGTTGCTTTTTTAAATAATTAATTAAAATTTAATACACATTTGTATACAACTTGAGTCTCACATAACCTAAATTTATTTCCATATTGCGCATGAATAAAATTTGCATATAACTCATTTCAATACCTATTATAAATTATTAAGCTTGACAAGTTCTGAGACTACAATCTACATAAAAAAACCAAAACAACATGTTGTTAAGAGTATGACTTCATTTGAAACTTTATTTTTATTTACATTCAATAACTTTTTTTATTTAATATTTATAAGTAGATTCAATTCTAATATGAACATTTTTTTGGTGTCAAATGAGTTAATGATTTCATGCTACCATTTCTAGAATACACAAATAAAATTTCTATGTTAAATAAATAAAAATAGTTTCACTTTTAAGAGACTGCTATGTCATACCACATTTGAGTATATGTCAAAACAGCAAGTAAAGGTCAACGACACTGATTTAACTGCCAAGGATGGTTACTTACAGCGATTTCGAAGAGAGAGGGAAAATCCTGTTGAGGTTCATCTGCGAGTCCAGCGAGGAGGCCTAACTCAGCACTGAGGTCAGCCAGCTCAGCCCCGATGCGATCCGCCCTATCAGCATCGCCAAGTTCATCCTTCAAGATATCTCCTATCTCGTCAGACACAGCAGCCACCGCTGAAGCTACCTCATCAGAAGGCAAAGAGGTCTTCACCAAGCCGGCCTCCGTCTCCGTACCCGATCGACTACGATCAGAGCATTTCCCCATGGAAAACATCATACAGTAACTGTTCTATACACAAAATGTTGTAATCGAAACATCTAAAGTCACAGCTTTCAATTAGAATATACAGACGGTTCCAATACGCTTTGTGAGAAATGAAAAACCATTTTTTCCTTCACACCGATGGAGCCCGAACTTTTTGACAATACCAATATGGCGACGATATTTTTAGGTATTTGTGACCAGTCGCGGTAATATATTTTTTTAATAGCAACATTGTTAACGTGTATTTTAGAATGTCTAATGTAAAATTAGTTACTGCAAATAAATAATATAATATTAACTTAAAATGAAAAAAAATTTACGAAATATCATATACTCGACATATTAGTTTTCACCTCTCACGCGTCTCTACTCGTGGATCAAATAGATAAAATTTTAACAAAAAGATACCCGGCCCACCATTGAGAGTGCATTTTTTGAAATGTATGTGGAATTATATGGATATTGGATATTACCCTTGAAGTGAACCTATTAATTAAAAACAAGAATAATAAATATCGCCCCACAATCAACAATAATATTGATTAACAAGATCATTAAAAATACAGAAGAATTGAGTTTTCCTTTGAAGTCGGTCAAAAATTTCTTATTGGGTCTGTATTGGATGATTTTTTTTAAAATTACAGTGAAACAGTTTCAAAATTGAAACAATACAAACTATTAAATAATTATTAAATAAAGTAATTAATAAAATTATTTATAATAGTGTAAAACAAAAACACATAAATTCGTAGTGGAACAAGCTTTTTGTTAGTTAGGTACTATTTATGTTAACTTAATTTTTTACAAGAGTTATTTGTACAAGGGTCAGTTTTTTTTCAATATCCAAATGAATTATGACAAGCAATGTTTTTTATTTAAATTTTATTTCAACACTTTTATTAAAGAGTCGTCGTTGATCACTTTAATTAATTATATATCAACTGAATTTCATATATTTCCGACTCATAAGTCATGTTAGGTAATAAAATGGTATACGTATAATATAGATATAAGTTCTACCGTCTATATATACGATGCTTGAATTCGGAATTAAAGTTATTAATTAATAATGTGCAAACTGACAAATACAAAAAATTCTATTATTGAAAGAGGGAACATTAATTGAAAATGAGTTAAAAGCACAGGCATTACTACCTGTTAAAAGTCGTATTAGATAATCAATAAATATAATTTATACACAATATAATAAAACGTAAATAAACGAAATCAATGTGCGTGTTTTACGCTTACTAAGCCGATTTTAACTTTTTATGTAGTGATAACTTATTACTCGGGTCAACATTTAGGATTTCTTTCATTCCTATAGGCAGTGCCGGATTTCACCTTAGCGTCGCCCCTGGGGGCATAGTAAAAAATGCCGCCCTGTAGTCGATATTTTGAATAAAATGTTGAAAGTTTAAATTTTTATTAATTTGTTTATTATTAATTCTTTGAAAATGCAAAAAAAAATTATAAATGATATAAATTTTCGAAAAATATACATACTATAGTGAATCTTTTATTTATTATCATTTTTTGTAAAATAATAAAGCAGTTTCGATAACGTGAAGATTTTTTTTCCCATCCTCCGAATTTTGCCGCTCTGGGCACTAGCCCCGACTGACCCTAGTGTAAATCCAGCGCTGCCTACGGGAAAACACAAAAATTAAATGTGGCACTCGGAGACTGCCGCGGTAAAGCTATTGCATAGCATTTTTTATCAACTTATGCAATTATAATTATTTATTTATTTTATTAATGCAGTATTTTTTTTCCTTGACTTTCTTCATTAATAAATGCACTTTGTTTATTCATATTTAAAACACATTGTACACAAATTATACGTGTACAGATATTCACTGTTGTACATAGATGATAAATACCTATACTCCTACCCTACCCCAGCCTGCAAATTTATGATATTCGCAATGAAAAAAATACTAATCGATAGATTTTTAATAGCTCAATTCAACTACGTAGCCCTTCCAAATTGCTCACCATTAATTATAAAATTAAAAATCAATAAAGTCCTTGAAAAAAAATTCATTTATCCGTATATTCAAATTTCTATATCTTTTGATATATACAATATTTTAAATTGCTCAAAGTTCTAAAATACTGCTCAAGTTGCATTTGTAATTGCTCAAGTAGAGTTCTCACCAGCTCCACTTTCCTTAATTATTAAATAAATATAAATAGTTTGAATAAATTTAACGTATAGATAGGTGAGTGCTGCGCATGCGCGCAAACAGTAACGCGAGTCAAAAGGCAAAAAAATCAAGTTTCAACATTTTACTAATGATCCCTGTCATGGCTATTACCTTAATAGAATAAGCATTTGAACATAAGATTTTGTCTTAATTTATCTGTTGGTATTAATTTTCATTTATTGGTAGATTCCAGATCTGTTCTTTATGTTATAATATCTGAAGTGGAATCACGTAATGTTTAAAGAAATCCACCGAGAAACAGAATTAAGACGTTGAATTGGAACGATTGTCCAAGCCCGCCGAGGCCGACCGACAATGCGCGGTGCGCATGCGCACGCTCACTTAACCTACGTTACATTTATTACAACTATACTTTTAATTATTTAATAATCAGCGAAAGTGGAGCTGGTAAAAACTCTACTTGAGCAATTACAAATGCAACTTGAGCAGTGTTTTAGAACTTTGAGCAATTTAAAATATTGTATATATCAAAAGATATAGAAATTTGAATATACGGATAAATGAATTTTTTTTCAAGGACTTTATTGATTTTTAATTTTATAATTAATGGTGAGCAATTTGGAAGGGCTACGTAGTTGAATTGAGCTATTAAAAATCTATCGATTAGTATTTTTTTCATTGCGAATATCATAAATTTGCAGGCTGGGGTAGGGTAGGTCACCTAAAGGCGGGTTGCCGAACTAAAGAGACAAGCGTGATATTTCAAAAAGTCATTAAAAGTTCTGGTATTTATCGATAGATGGAAAAACTAAAAAGTATCACCGCTGTGCCGGTCGGAGTGGGAGGTGTCAGGTTTTTTCGTTACGGAATTTCTGGATTCGGTCCCCACGCTCAAGGCCCGCGATAGAAGCTATGCAATAGCTTAATATCTGGTTCTATCGAATCGTTCGTAGAAACTTACCTTAGGAGATACATCAAAGCAATGTACTAGAAAATTGTAGGTCTTAGTAAGGCCTACAGAAAATCTGCAATAGCTTAGTCTTTCTTCTAAGGTACACTCACAATAACTATTCTTATCTATTTAAAACGTACCTAATGACGCACCCAGCTAAGTTTAGAATATAAACGTAAAGAGAAACAATAGAAATATTTTGGAATTTTTTATCCAGATGAAGCTAAGGATCCCATACGTAGGTAGGTACGGTAGCTTATGGGTTGTTGGTGTAATCGGGCATAAGTCTTTCTTCTAAGGTACACTGACGCACCCGAGTTAAGCAAGTATACTGGGTAAGTCAGTAGTTTAGAATATAAGCGTAAGGAGAAACATATAGAAATGTTTTGAGATTTTTTATCCAGATGAATTGATTTATTGTGTTTTTGTATTAGCTTACTGCTTAGGTACTAATTTAAAGTATTTGAATAAGCTCAAGTTATTAAACTAAAGTTACATTATATATTGAGAATAGTATATGGATTGTATTTTTATTATAATATTTCTTCTCAACATTATTAAAAGCATAATATTTAGATCGATATTTTAAATGCTTTAAATGCTGAAGGTAGAAATAATAACTTTTATTTGTAATGGCGATACCAAGTTATTGTCAAATGTCAACTACTGACATTATGTTGTTAGTTGTGACAGTGACGTTGACATATTACTGCCCTGCGCGAATCTTCTAAAATGTTTAACATCTAATTATAAATTTTGCATGAAAATGTCTAATGCAGGTAAAATACCGCAGTGCGATGCACGCTTGAACTTACGCGCGTTTATTTAGAAATAGAAACTCGCCAGTTTAATTTAATTATTCATTTAATTAACGATTTGAAAAGCTATGTAAAGTTGGCAGGCTTATTATGATTTTATAGTTCGTGAATAGATACAAATTAGTACTTGAAGTTAAGTTCGACAGGTCAAAACGTGGGTGAGGGCATAGGTTAATCAAATAAAAACACTATGGCAGTTCAAAATAAAGTTTTATATGCCTTCCGAGGGTGGATAGCGTTTGTGGCTTTTATGGACTTGGGAACTGCTGGGCGTTCTTATATCGAGAGGAGATCGTTCTTAAGCCCTAATGGTGATAATGACCAGTTAGATGGTAAGTGGATTCATTCATAAGTTTCACTTTTGTAACTAGTAACTAATTTTTAATGTAGGATAATTTTGAAGAAAATCTGTGTTTTAGTCAATGTAAAGTAACAATTAATTAATACATGCTTGTAGATAAGATAGAAATTTAAGTTTTTTTTTTGAAAATGCAATAGCTACTAAGCAATAAGAAATTAAGTTATTTATTGCCATATATAAAAAAATTAATATACCTTAATTTGAATCTAAATAGTTTTGAACATATTAATTTTAAATTTCAGGTGATTTCACAATATCCCGCATGCTGGGAATGTACTCTGTGTTAAAAGCATTAGCCTTAATTCACTGTACTCTATATATACATTATAGGCCGTAAGTAAATCTTGTTTATTTATCAATATTAGTTATAAGTATTATATGAATGTTTGTTTGAATATGAAATGATTTATCTGAAACAAAAAAAATATTTAATGATTGAATTCAATTTTTAACCGACTTCAAAAAAGGGGGAGGTTCTCAATTTGGATTTTTTTATGTATGTTCGGGCATAACTTCATCTTATAAAGAGGGATTTGCAAAATTCTTTTTTGGTCAAAAGAGGTTTATTGCGAAATGGTCCCATTTAAATTTGAAATAGGAATCTACTATCTATAGTTAATGAAAACTACCTATCAGCTATTTTTTACTTCTAATTTTTTTATTTTTTGGAGTATTTTTTTTTATTAAATTTAACATCTGTTAATATATTTTTGTAAGGTTGTAAACAGAGTAAAAAAGGAGACTACTGTTGGTTTGGACAGCAGTTGCTCCTTTAAGAGTAATTTTCAATATTTTTGTATCATAATAATTTGATACCTAATTACCCTAAGTATTAGTAAGAAAAAATCAAATAAATTCTCTCCAAAAATAAATAAACCCCCAGAATCATAAAATAGTAATACAAGTAATTCTAATTATTATCAAATACTACTTAAGGTCAAATTGAAGCTGAATAAACATGCTATCCAATTCATATATTGGTTTAACAAAAAAAAAACATTTAAAGGCCAGTAATCAAAAAACAAAACCAAAAAAATGTACAAAAAAATTTAAGTACATCCTTTTTCTTACACCATTACAACCGTACCTACATTGGAAAAAAAAATCTAAATACATATGTATCTTAAAAGTAGGAACTTAAAGCAATAAAATGCTTGTTTTCATCTCGATACGGTTATTCTTCGCTGAGAGAGATAATTGTGTGCCTCTCAAAAATCCTTAAAAAATTTAGGATTTTTTTCTATCCAGAATCTATTAAATAATATATATATAAATATATATATATATATATATATGTATATATATATATATGTATATGTAAGAGATCATTGTTTCGGGGGATTTCCCTGATGCTTCGTTTACCGCTCATTCAAGTTAATAATGTTATTGTTCATTAAAGTGTAAAAGTTTAATTAAAATTTAATAATGTCAAAAAGAAAGTCTCGTATATAGATTTTTTTTGAACAATTGGACAATGATTCCCGCAAAGTCAAGTGTAACCAATGCCAAATGATAATTTCTCGTGGCGGGCATGAGAATACAGCTAATACTACAAGTATGAACAACCATATTAAATACTGACATCCAAGCCTGATACTTCAGTTAAGTTCTTCGATAAAATGTTCGACCACAGACGATTTCTCGCAGTCGCAAATCCAATCAGAACTACCTTCAACAGTACCTATTCCGTCAACTTCAATTCAAAATTCAAAATATTTTATTCAGCATTAAATTATTACAATTTTTTACTGAACGTCATGAGTTCACTAGCAGTTCGGAAAGAAGAAGCCCCAGACCTGAGAAGAACTGGCGAAAGAAACGCAGCGGGACTAATATTAACTTGTTATCTTTTTTTAAAGTAAAATTATAATTTAAAATATTTCTATTAAGTTGAAGTGGCCTGGAGGCGATCATTTCATTCCCAAGGTGTGCCATCTTCTATAAAATCATCTATTGTATAATAGCCTTTAGCACACTAATGTTCTTTAACTATTTTTTTTGAATTTGGCGGTAGAAGCCTTTTGAACATTTTCTGGGATCCTGTTGTACAAGCATATACTTTGTCCATAAAAAGAATTATGACTCTTTGTAGAAGAGTCACAGGCATTACAAGTTTGTGTTTGCTCCTAGTATTAATGTTATGCAGGTCACACTTCTTGGAAAATTCGTGTATATTTTTACGGACATACATAAAATTTTCGTACACGTACTGAGAAGCAACAGTCAATATTTTTATTTCTTTAAACTTATCTCTTAATGACACTCTAGGACCTAAACTATAAATTGCACGAATAGCTCTTTTCTGCGGGACAAAAATGGTATTAATAGCAGCTGCATTTCCCCATAGTGAGATACCATAAGACATAATACTATGAAAATAACTAAAATATACTATGCGAGCTGTATCTACATAAGTAATAAGTCTTATTTTTTTACCGCGAACGCTGCAGAGCTTAGTCTACTCGCTAGCCGCTCAATATGGGGGCCCCACTGCAATTTCGAATCTATGATAATACCTAGGAATTTAGTGGACTGTGCAGGTTTTAACACTTCGCCATTTAATGTAACTCCATTATCAACGAGTTTGACATTAGGTGTTGAGAATTTTATTAATTTTGTCTTTTTATTATTTAATAATAAATTATTTGAATCAAACCAATAGACAACCTTTGAGAGACCATCATTTACATCGTCGTACATTAGCGAATTGCGTGTCATCAGCGAACAATACTATCTCATGTTTGTCCTGTACCAAAAATGGCAAATCATTAATATAAATTCCGCGGTCGGGCTTAGCTAGTACCCATTGCTTGTTCAGTGGGTATAGCAGTATAGCTGGTAAAAATTTCAGGTATCGTAAAATATGTGTTGTCAGATTTAAGCTGGCTCTCTAGCTATAGCGACAGTGATAGCCCAGTGACACGCTCGCGTGGATAACCGAGTAATGCGGGTTCAATCTCTGTCTCGCACATCTGATATTTTCATGTGCGAATCATTTCTAACATAAAAAAGGGCTGTAAATACATATATTTTATTAGTTTCCTCACGGACGACACACAGATATATATATATATATATATATATATATATATATATATATATATATTTACTACTAATACTACTAAGTATAGATAATATACTCGTAAAATAGTGTTGTCTTTTTCACTTAGAAATACTGTGATTTTCTGACGAGTTTTAAAATAATAAGGTAATTTTTTGTGGGAAATAATTAGAGTAGTTGCAGGTAAAATTGGTCAATTCAGAAAAGTGTTTTTTTCTCAAATATCACCACAAATTATTTGAACTTGGACAGAACATCTGTTTCTACATAAAAAGCAAAATTTACTCTTTTTTAATGGTCATCTCAGTCATTTTTAACATCCCACTGCTAGGCCCTTACCTTCAATACGAGGTGGATCCGTCCATAGTCCACCACACTGGCCCAGTGAGGGTTGGCAGATTGAACATGTCTTTCAAAAAGTTGCTAGGTTCTCTTAGACATGCAGATTTTCTCACGATATTTTCCTTCACCATATGACAAGCGGTAACCGTGGTCACTCGGTTTCCCAAGCGAGCGAGTTACCACTGAGCTACCACTGTCTAATGGTGTAAAATACATAGTAATACATTTTTATTTTATTTTCAGTGTTGTGTCTATGGGGTACTGGTCTTTAAGCCTAACGATAATATTATATGTCACTGAGGCTTTCTATTTTCATTCAACGGATCTTAACTTTTACGTGGTGTTTCCATGCATATTGAATAGTAAGTACATTTTCCTTTTTTTTTTATAATTACTTGTAAGTTATAATATTTGCTGATTTTATTCTTTTTATGAAACTTTGAAAATGAAATTATTATCAAGTAATAGATTCTTTTTTTTTGTAATTATTCCTTTTTTTTATTTTGTCTGTGATAGTCTAAGATCGGAAATCAGGTCGTTCTTATCCATCTGCTTTAACTGGATAAAAAAGCTTGTATTTAAATAAATAAATAAAAACATATATTGCAAATGGGTTGCCTAATTAATTAAAACATTTAAAAGGTCCATGAACTAAAAATATATATTTTTTTTTATATTTAATTTTCATGTTTATCGTTAACTATTATTCCAAATCTTCCATGTATCAAATCGTATGCGGAATATATATTTTGTATGTTCAATTGTTTTATTACCTTGTTCAAGTTTACGTTGTTGTAGTTTGTTAAGTTACCAAATTTTCGCAATAGACTATGATTAAATTTTTGCAATTCACTTTAAGCAAATCCAACTTAAATGTTATCCATAAATAACTTTGTATTTTTAATATATTTTTATTTTTATTTGTTTTCTAAGGAAAATAATAAAAACACTTTTCATTTGGTAAGCTAAAGTATTAGATAAAGGACGACGTTAAATAGATTTTCTTTTTACGAGTATGATGATAAAAATCAAAGAAATAATAAAAAAACTGTCAAACGAATTCAACGGTAAGCATTTTACTTTTTTAAATGATACTTAGGCATAACAATTTATTTACAGCATTAACATTAATAGGATTAATATATCTCCCATCGAAGTTAAAATTGTGGGGTACAATACCCGGCACGTCAGGCATGGACAGAGACGTGGATGATGAAAATACACAAATATTACGACAAATGGGCAATTTTAGAAGACGAAAAACTGGCAACCCTATCAAAAACAAACATGTCTGATTACTGTGTTGCCATTGTGAAATATTGGCTGTGTTTTTCCATGCACTTGACTTTCAAATAGGGGCCTTATAATGGAAGAATAATTTTAACATCTATTATATGTATACAAGTTTAAGATTAGAAAAATTTAAATGTCTTAAGTTTGGGACCGAGAATCGTTACATATTTTGGAGATATTGATTGTTTTAAATTGAGCGGTTGATTCTAAATTGTTTCTAAAAGTTTTAATTAGATTTGATTTTAGTTGAAAACCAAGATTATTGAAATTGGTCTTAAAGCATAATTTTGAATACTTCCCATTTAACTTTTTATGATTAATTTATTCGTCTTATATTAATTATCGATTATTTAAAAAATCAAAGCATTATTTATAATAAATGTTGATTCGATTAAAAAAAAAGTATGTGTGTATTTATGTACGCACGTAAGAAGTTATACTTCTTTGGTGTAACAGAACAAAAATAGCTAAAGATTTCATCCCGTATGTCAGTCTCTGTTTGTAAAAGAAATACAGATAACTTCCCAAAAGAAGTATAACTTCAAAAAATAACGCTAACAGTCGTATTTATAATATCGTCTCATGTGTTTTGAAAAACTGTGCGCTATCAAATTACTTATATGACCCATACACTAATAAGATAATTGTACCATTGAATTTCTAATCCCTGACCTTTAAAAGGCTAACTTTCTTAACTTGTATATATCTAATAGATGCTTACTACATTTTAAATCAATAATAATGAAATACTCAAGTATCATTTCCTTCATAAATTAAACTATCACAATAGGGAATATGCATGTGATTTAAATAAAGGTGAAATTTTTTCTTTTATAATCTTTATTGCTTCTGAATTAAGCCTATATTAATATTTTTTAATTTTTTTTTTTTATTAAGAAAATTATTATCAAAAAGTACAAATATAGGTGAGAAATTCAAAGTAGTTGAAACGCAATGCCATTGGTCAGACCGAAAATGATGTCAGAGTGTATCATAATAGACCGATTAGCGATTTTTTCGCTACAAATTGCAGCAAATATCATTTTTCTGCGTATGATTTACTTTGACGTCACGCCAAGCGTGCGAAACGGCGGGCGCTTAAAGTATTCGTATCGGTATGATATTTTAAATTTTTTTTATACTAAATTTTAGTTTTTTGGAGCTGGATATTTTTTTACAATTATATAACAATGCAAGCTATTGTATAAATATAAAAAAATCTGGCATTTTCCCTATTACAGATGTAATAGCTGTGTGAAGTACACCGGTAATTACACATAAAAACAGCTGTTATATGTGTGATTACATATAATTACGGCTGTAATCTCATTTATCATTTTAGTTGTTTTTAAATGTTCACACTATAATTGAAAAATGCAATACAACAAATTGTTTGTAGTCGAGGAGTGGACTTATGATTTAAGTTATTTAGTTAGTACTTAAAATCAAAATAAACATTTATCATGTCTAACTATATTTTGGTGCACGGTTTGATAAGAATATTTCGGCAATTATTTTTATTTTGTTGTTATTAATAGAGTATTTTTGGTTTTTATGCTTTCGCGATTAGATTTTCCTAGTGGCTTGTTTTTTGAACTAACAACAACTGTTTATAATACTTAGTGACAGCATGGGCCACCACAGAATTATTCCAGCCGGGTGCATCTACTTCTTCACATTAAACTACTTACTAATCTTTAAATGATTAACTCTATAATTTTAATTCATTAATGTATTATTTTTTTGCGATTTTTTTTGCGATTTTTTTTGCTTAAACAGAGATTTTACTCATATAATTTTATTGGTGTTGCACTCCCTTGCAACCCCCTTCCGGCGCCCATGAGTTCAGCAATAGTTCATAGCGACAGTTTTATTTATTTACTGTCTAGTAATGTAGATATTATTAATTGAAACTGGTTCAGTGACTTGCGGATAGGGAGTCTGGTCACCATCGATAAGATTTCATTCAAGGATTCATTGAACTCCACTAGTCTATTAAGGTCATTGTCTTCATCTTCTTTCTTCTTCTATCTGACTTCTTTACATTTTTTATACTAAAAAATTTCCACACCATATAGCATTTTTGAAAACACGCTTTATTAGGTTATAAAAATGTAATGGCGATTAAAATTTTTAGATAGATGATAAAATCGTAGTTGGCTAGAGGTAGATGTAGCGTGACATTTGATATTATTTTTGTTGGTATTAGTATGAAATTTTAGTAAAAATTTTCATTTATTTTGGTACTGGCTAATTTCAATATATGTAGATAATGAAATAAAATTAGGTAAACAAGTGCTTTGTAGGCAACGAATGCTTTAAAATTTAAATTAATATTTCATATAATAGTCTACAGTTTTAAAGTTTTCAACTATAATAATATAATTAAAAATCTCTCCTCGAAACTCATTTTTTTTGTTATAACAAAAAAAAACAATGTTTTAAAAAACCATCCCCTATTTTTATATAGGATGAAAAAATGAAAAAATATTACACATTAAATTTATATACCTGTACCATTTATTTATGTACCAGTAACTTAATTTACCCATATAAGGACTCCATGTTCCCTAAACTGGCAACATCTTGCCGATCTTATTATGACAAATTAGATATTCCTCACAATTTTGAATAAAACCTTTTTAAATTTAAGATATTTTAAGTATTATTTTAAATTTGAATTCCATTATTTTATCTGTAGATAATTAAGTCCCACTATTATTATAGATTTTATACACTAGCTTTTCCTATCTCAATTTCACTATGACTCAATTTTTAACCAAATGTCCTTTCAATTTTAAATCTTTATACATAAGAATTTTCCTCAAATAGACACTCTGCTAGTTTTACCTCTTATATATACAACTCTAGTACAAGTGGTGCCAATATACAATATAGCCATAAACAGTTTTATATATACATACATACATATAAGCAATAAAGGTTTTCTATTACATAGTATTAGTGTAGTCGTTGATTTTAATAGATATTAGAAGTTTTAAAGTTTGTACTGTGTGATGTTTATGACACGAAATGTCTCATTTACACAATTATCATATATTATGTTATTTTTAAAAATAATAGAATATTAAATATTTACAGCCGTTTCTTGGACTATACTTGAATTTTTATTAATACAAACCAATATTTAGGAATATTGTTATATTATAATACAATGTGAAGTTGTGTAAGTTAGACATTATTCCACCATTTTGTATCGTTTTAATACCGTATTACATTCATACTAGTATTATTATACATATATATATTAATCTTATACAACTAAAGAACAGCGAATCCTTAATCTGTGTTCATATTTTAAATATATGTAATAATATTAAAGATATTCATAAGTTATAAAGCTTTGGTTTAAACGAAACTACCTTCAAAATTGTTAGTAATGTTAGATGATATTATGATGTAAAAATAATATATATTTTATGTCTTGAATTAATTTTCAATTTGTCATTCTTATAGACTGCCGAAACTAGAAGTATTCTAGAAGTAATCGAGTCTGTTAAGTTAAAAATATAATGAATGCCAAAACAGATATGTTATTATTTATTAAATTAATTTAAAAAAATCTTTAATTATGACATATACTGTTAACAGACATAAAGTAAGAAAAATAAATATAAAAGAATAATGTCTGCTCATGCAGAATGCGATAGCAAAAGGGAGGTCTCAGTCTACTAAAAACCGCGAAAGACATAACGAGCCATTGATAATTGATATTTTCAAAAACGAAACTCTTATACTTCGTCTGCTCCAAAGCTTTATTTTAAAATATATCATAACACATACATACATATATGTATATTAAAAACTTTATGTAATACGGCATTCAATGATTTTGCTGCGTGCTTCTTGTAGTGTGCGTAGATTTTTTGATAAAACGTTATTAATAAGTGAGATGTTTGATTAGAGAAAAATATTTTCATACAATTTAATAACCAAGTATTTAGCCAAGTATTTAACTTTTTTATTTATGAGAACCAAAAAAATTATGTATTTTACAATAATTAATAAGAAATAATAATTTGATAATATTACAGTTGTCTCTTAGACTATTCATAGATAATTTATGGGAATAGAGGAATGAACTGAGCTTTAGGGTCTTGTCAGAAACAAAATTTAGTTGAAATAAATGTTAAGAGATGGCGTTTATTTAACATTAATAATAACAAGGAGGAAAATGCAACTTTTTTGTTATAAAATTGTACTGCTAAATCGCAGATGGCAGTAATTGCAATATTTGAGTTGTTCAAAATCATTTTGAAACATTCGAAGTGTCACCGTTTGTTTTGCTTTTTAATTCTGCTATATATTACACATATTATTATTTTTTTATAATCAGAATTCAGAATGAAAGAAAGAGACAACACTTGTTTTGGATGGCTCTGTCTCGCTCTATCTCATACTTGAAAAGCTCAGTTCATTCATCTGTGTCTATGGTATAGAGAAACGCCTATATTTAATAAAATGTGTTTGTATTACATTCGTCTCCCTGACTATAGTTAAGTCAAAATTATATTTTTAGTTTATTATTGTAAACCAAAAAGTATTAATGTTTTTATGTGTACTCTAGTCATTGATTTTTTAATAATATTGAATTATTAATAAAAAAAGATTTTATTTTAGACTTTATTTTATTTTTTAACGAATTGTTTACGTATTATCCTTGTAATTTGTATTTCTGTAATCAAATAGCTATACTTATTGTATATTGTGTTACCTTTACCTTGCTTTGGACTGAGTTTGAATCATGTTTAGGTCAATTTAAAAAAAACCTTTTTAATGGTTATTAAATTTGTCTGGTGGCTGTTTTCGGAACTAATATAGGGGAACCCCAAATGATTTTCAAGAAAAAACAATTACCCATAAAATTTAAATATTATTTTAAAATCGTTTATTTGAGTTTAGAAACAATGTACACAGATAAAATAGAACTTTATTGGTCGAATTTAGTTCTGCAACTTGCTGGTTGGGATTTGGAAACTACTAACTAAAACTAAAAACAATTCAATTTCAATCTATACATATATAATAATATTGTAACTAAGCCGAATCTGTACATTAAATATTTTTTGGAAAAACTTATTGTAATAGCCATTATTATCGATACAGAGGCCGAATCTATAGTTTTTTAGAATTTTTGTCTGTCTGTCTGTTACCGCATCATAGAAAAACCACTGGAGGGATTTTGATGAAATTTGGTATGATGATAGCTGGTTATCCGGGTCAACATATAGGGTAATTTTTACCGCGGGAAAATATCTCACTCCTGAGAAAAACTATAAAAACTGCATTGTAAGAGTATACTAATATGTAAAACCTAAGAATTTGCTTTTTGGTCACCTGAATGCGGGCGGAGCCGCGGGCAATGCTAGTTACTCTTTATAGCGAAATTGAAGGGACCTTATATTTACGTTATAAAGAGCTTTCGTTAAACGGAAAGTAGAGGAAAACAATAAACATAGAATTTAGTACATATTTATTACTTTCGTATTTATAATACTACCGAGTATCGTGTCCGCGCGGCCCCGTTCACTTAGTTTATATAATATCCATACCTATTTTTAATATTATAAATGAGAAAGTGTGTTTGTTTGTCCTTCTTTCACGTCAAAACAGAGTGAAGGATTGGCATGATATTTTGTGTGGAGATAGTTGGGGTCTGGAGAGTGACATAGGCTACTTTTTATTGCGAACTAATTATCATTCCCACGGGGAAAACGTTATAATGCAACCCAAAAAAATATTTATGATCAGAATTACTTGAAACTTGGTCTTCAATAAAATTAAATAAATACGTGTTTTAGCATTTTTCGAAATTCATCCCGTAACCTAAGGGGAGAAAATGGGACGACAGTTTGTATAAACCTAACTTTTTAGGCTTTTTTTATAATTTTAGCGTGAGGGAAGGGTTCTGTTAGTTGAGTGTAAATTAAATTTTTCCGCTCCTAAGCTTCACAGCACATACCCTATTTTTCATCCATAGAGGATCAATTGTCATTTTTAATCACAAATATTATTTCAAATTTTAATCGCTAACAAATCGCTTAAAAATAACGGATTTTATACAAATTTTCAACCCCTTTCTTACAACTTTAGGGATTGAATTTCCAAAAATCCTCTCACCGGATATCTGTATCGGATATCTATATCTATATATATATATCCCTATAAAAATTTAGTATCCCGTGACCATGATTACTGTAAAGCATTCGAAACGTCGGGAACCAAAAATCAAAATGAATCCGCGAAAAAATCCGAAAAGATAGTTTTATTTAAAATATTTTTTCTAAAACTTAGTCCAACGAGGTAAAGGTAACATTAGCCAACGGACCACGACACTAGTGCCATATCATACTACAGGTTTGTTGATATTGAAATAAATAGTTTTGATGATGAAGCAGTTTTATTTTTCTCATTCATATATAAAAACATAGATACACATTTCCTAACAATATATCCCTTCAAAAAGTGGCGTCGACATGTGACGTTAAGTCAAACCAAAGAATAACATTCAAAAATCGAAAGTTCTAATTGTCTAAACACAAACTCGAACTTACGCACACCACATAAATGAAACAACGTGCATTTTAATTTTGTCATTCGAAAAGCAATGAACAAAAGAGATTTGAAAAAGCGCACAATTTCGAATTGTGCGCATTTTCTGAGGATATTTTTTGAGACAATAATTGTGATGATTTTCCTACTAACTCTTGCCTAAGGCTCTTTGTATTGTTTGTTACTCAATCACGCCAGAACGGCTGAACGGATCTGGATGAAATTTGGTACAGAGATAGATTATAGCCTGCAATAACACATAGGCTACTTTTATCCCGGAAAAATGTACGGTTCCCGTGGGATAGGTATGTTTTTGTTTTTCTAGAGGCGAACCAGCGAAGCGAGGGTGAGCCGCTAGTAATGAATGTCTTCTAAATTTCACGGTTCACGAGCCGATTAAAAGTGATATCCCGATAGAAAGAGACAAGAATAACCAAACCCCTCTCTACCTCTGTTTATTTGTAATTCTTTTTAATATAACTTTTAGAGAATTAGAATGTTTTATAATAAATTAACCATTTTCAACCGACTTCAAAAAGGAGGAGGTTCTCAATTCGACTGTATTGTAATTAAAGCCTACCTATTAAATACTTACCTAATCAAATATTTTCGAAATCGGTGCCAGCCCATACAAAGCAAAGCACACCGACTTCGAAAATATTTGATTAGGTATGTATAGTAAATGAAAACGACCAATCAGTTATTTTTTACTTTTTAGTGCTTTTGTTTGAAGTTGGTTTTTATTTTTAGTGGGAGGAGTATTTTATTTATAACGCAAAATTCTTATTATTTTGCGTTATAAATACATAAAAGATTTAAATGTATAAAAAAAGAAATAAAATTCCATAAACTATGATTTTAATTTGTTACAAAAAATAAGATATTTTTCATAAAAAAATAATTTTAAGTTACTTATTGTGCATTTCTTTTATATTGAGTTATGCACCATTTGAAGTCTGCTAATGCGCATGCGTCATGAGACAGAGATAGAAAGAAGGCAGACATTTTCTATCTCTTTTCCTCCACGCATCTCCGCCATTTAGTGCTGAATGGCCTAGTTGCCTAAGTGTATTAGCTCTATAGGTAGCCCTCATTCTCTCGTTAATGGCTTCAAAGCGTGCCAGTTGAGCACAGATTACTTTGCCAATGTCATGTTGAAAGGAGAAGACACGAAGCAGATTGATCGGTAAAGAAAATAAGAAAAATGAATTCTATTAGACAGCACCCCGGACTTTCTGCGCGATAATAGTATTGCTACAGAAATACACCACAATGGATACATGGATAAAAAACAAACAAATGGCAAATATAAAATTTTTATTTATTTCATACAAAAATATTTTAAAACAGACGATAGTTTTTAATAATTAAATCACGTTTATAGGGAATGTAGATATAACATTAGTAAGTACAAAGTCGTGTTTTAGTTAATTTTCTTAAATTAAATATAATAATAAGTAAAACCTGATATTTTAAATAAATTTTAAAAACAATGATAATAAAAATTAAGTACTAACTGGCCAAATAAAAAAAACGACTTTCGAAATTATTATGTGAATCTGTAGAATTGCCTTATTTAGAAGAACAATTCATATTTTTTATAAAAAGTACCTAAATATTTAAAACGATTAGATACCATTTTAAATTTAAAAAAAGGTGGCAATTAAAATATATATATATATATATATATATATATAAATATATATATATATATACATACTGCATTCTTCTTTTGATTGCATATTCCTTCAAGTAAAAATTAAAACAAATCCGCGAAAAAATCAAAGAATATAGTTTAAAATACTATTTTAAACATAAAAATGTGAGTAAGACCATTTTCACGTAGACCGCCTTAACATTTTCACTTATTTCATTTCAATAATAATCAGGCACGGGGGCACAAGATATTTTAACAAAATCTTCATAACGTACAATACCGTTGTTAGATACGTTTGCTTCACGGAATATATTGTCAATCTGAAAAAAAAAATTAAAATCTTTGTTATTGGTGGAATTTTTTGCAATAAAAAATATTTAATATTTCTCAGAGATAACATATTTTCCCGCAGTAAAAAGTATCCTATATGTTGACCCGGATAACCAACTATCATCATACCGAATTTCATCAAAATCTGTCTAGTGGTTTTCTGGTGATGCGTTCCCAAACAGACAGACAGACAAAAATCCTAAATACTACAGATTTGGCCTCTGTATTGATAATAATAACTATTTCGATAAGATTTTCCAAAAAATATTTAATGCACAGATTCGACTCAGTTAGAATTTTATTATATATATAGATCACGCTTGACATATCCAAAACATATATGACATATCACAAAAACCAATCAAGGATGATCATATTTCTAACCGCTGATGGAAAAAGAAGGGAGTTATCAGTTTAACGTGTCTATTTGTCTGTGACATCGTAGCGCCCAAACGGATAAACAGATTTTAATTTGTTTTTTTTTTTGTTTTGCTTGAAAGATGATTTGACCAAGAGCGTTTTTAGCTATAATAAAGAAAACCTGTTCAGCGGTTTGCAGGCGATAAAAGAATATGAACAACTTCTACAGATTTAATTGATTCGAAACTTTGAATGCCGTTATTTCAATGACATTCTAACGATATGGTTATGTGATGCTCTACTAAAATACTGCAGACGTATCGTGTTTAGGCTCATTGAAATGTCTAGATTATTACGTTGGGACTTTAAATTTATGGGTTATTTATATATATACCTCACGAGAAGATAGACCTTCACCCCAATTTTGCAGCAGATTTCGCAACTGCTTCGCTGGGATAACACCTCTTTTATCATTATCGCCGGCTTTGAAGGCATTTACCACCTACAATTTTAAAAATATAATTTAAAACAAATGACAAATATATACATTTTTACAAAATTCTTTAGTTGTAAACTTATTTTTCTATTTCTAAGTTGCGGCTATGGAGAGTCTGTCTAATCTATTGTGATCATCGTATATTAAACTATAGTAACCCCCTAAACCCTGCCGCTGTGATGAGCTGCAGGATTTATTTAGGGGGCCATTCATTAATTACGTAAGAATGATTTTGACGATATCTCGACCTAAAAAAGTCGATTTCTAAACGAGAAGTACGCTTTAGAAAGTACCTCTTTGAGGGCACTAATCGCCTTTACCCGCCATGTTAGATATTTCACATCAAAAGTACCTCACCACATTTGTTGATGATATTGTACTTCCCCACGATGAGTAATGTGCGTTGGCATCATCCAATTAGAAAAGCTAGGCATTGTGTCGGATGGCATACTCTACCACCCTCTCCAAGTCTACCGTCGAATTGGCACTCTCTCCTGGCAGATAGGCAGAGCATATAATTACTCTGGCCCCATCCCACCCTTTGAGGTTGACAAAGGCAGTTCAAGTCGTCATTGCAAACTTCTGGAATCGGCGAGAACTCAACACAATTATTAAATAAAATACAAACCCTAAAGTTCTATCCAGTGTAATTGCTAAGAATCTTACCTACAGTATGAAGTCTGAGCATTAGCTACCCAGGGCTCTTGAATCAAAACGAGGCTTAGCTTGACCGCAGCTGTTGCAGTAGTTGCTGCAGCATGATGGAGGTTTGCTTGTAGGACACACCCCCCCCTGCCCCCTCCCCTGGGTAATCGGCTTATTTAGCAAGCTAGGGACGTGGTCGTCCCTGGCTTGAACGCCAAGCATCGTTGCCTCCCCATATCTCTGCACTTGCCAGGCTCCCCCTGTTCCTACTCAAGGACACCCGAGATCCCCCGACGACGGCATCCCGAGACTCAGCCGGTTCTCTGCCCTGACCGTGAGGGTGCATTAACCCTTTTGATGTGGAGGGATGTGGTTCCACTGACAGTCCAGGGCTCCAAGGCCGTGACTCGTGCGTTCTCCCAGCCACGGCAAACCGCGGATAAGGATTCCCCCTGTCTTGCCTCTCAGAGCCCTTGGACGTCGACGGTTGCGGCTCTTGAGACCGTCCAGCAACATTTGAGGTGGAGGTCCCAACCATTGGGTCGTTTTTGACTCTAAAAGTTAGCTTTTTAAAGCCAAGAGCGACCTCAAAGTTCTTAGCCCGGAGAGCTGCGACGGAAGGATCGTCTAGGAAGAATGACACTACATGTCCATTTCCTTCGGCCCTGCAGTGTGCAACTCTCCAAAACTCAGTGTTAAGCCCCGCATTTTGGATCCCTAGCAGTTTAGTAGCTTCGTCTAGCGACTCTGCCTCGGCGCTAGGTATAAAGACGGTCCCCACTACCGGCTTCGGCAGTTCGCTCTCAGGTATGATTGAGAGCATTGCCCCTCTCCAGGGCTTAATGGTGTGGACTTTTTCGGATAGCCATTTTAGGCTGGCCTGGTCCTCACAGGTGATAACGATAAACCCCGGTCTATGTGTGAAGTTAGTAAATTTTGGTCCATTACCCTTGTCGACGATGTTAAGCATCTCAAGGGTTAGGGATCGGTGCACCATTTTCATCTGGTCTTCGCTCATGGGGATCAGGTTTCTGATTCCCACGCGCGTTTGCTTCACGATTTTACTGAAGTTTGGTGCCTTTTCTTCCACTCGGGGAGCCTTTGTGATTTGCATCCCCGGTAATTCTTCCTCCGACCTAGACCTTTTTTTGGCCTTTGGGTCTGGAGGAATATCTGTAATAGGAATTTCCTTCCAAGGCTTCATGGCCAAAGTGCGAGCCTCATCGACCTGCACGTTTGCCGCCAACAGCCTTCGGAATCTCTTCCGAGCAGCACCGTTCAGTCTTACACGATGCTGAGGAAGCTCGTCCATATTATATATTGTATCTGTATCTAGTTGTAAACTTACTTCATGAGGTAAATTCTCAGCTCTTGAATGGATGTGCATGACTTCCAAAAAATCAGCAAATGACATTTTACCACCTTTGCCTTTAAGGTAACCTGAAATAAAATAAATTGAAATTTTTTTATCATTATATTTTATGATTAATTATAGTCAAGATATTTTAATATTTTTTTCTAGGAATAATTTTGCTGATAGAATATAAATATTTCAGTTTATTACACAATACATATATTTTATTTGAGAGTACTGAAAATAAAAATAATACTAACCAGTTAGCTCTTGTATAGTAGGACTCATGCCGAGTGACCTCATAACAACTGTCAACTCGTCCAGAGAAGTTATTTGGCCAGATCTTGCAAAAAGATAGAAGCATTCCCTGAATTCTAAAATGCAAATATTTTTTCATATCAATTGAAAATGAATGAATTGACAATAATAACAGCATTAGAATAAGTATCTACAATGTATTTTTAAAATATCAGATACTACTAAGTACACAAATAGAAAAAATGTATAGAATCATAGTTTCATTTCCTTTGCCTTATAAGAATTAAGCCACTTTCGATTTACCATTACAAAACTAATATAAATATGTATATATTTAAAACGTACTTTTTAATATTTTTATCACAGCTAATTAAATGTTCGTATCGATTTATTAAAGATCATCACGATTTTGACTATACAGTTATTATCATTGAACTTACCATCAATATCTTGTTCTTTGAAATAGCGAGCCTGGAATACAAAATTTTCGTGTTAAGTACATAATAGAATACTGTTAAATATAAAATTTGCTTTTCATAATTGTAAAATATTATATTTACCATTTTATTTAAAAGAAAATATGAAAATAAAAAGATGGAGAAATCTCAGTATATATAAGTTACTTTATGGAGAAATCTGAGCAGTTGGGTAGAAAATAGAAATCGGACACAGAGTACAGACAACAAAGCGATTTGACTTTGGAGTGACAAGACAGCTGACAACTGTAGTTATGTCAAACATAGATGAATAATGATCACTAAACAAAAGAATAGAATAGAATGAATAATGGTCTCAAATAAAATGTTTTTATTTCATTAGTTTTCTGTAAAAAAAATTGTAAAGTATTCAGTAGTAGTAAATGAAATTAATAAAACATATCATCTGTTATATAGTTTATTTCTTTACATTTCCTTGACATAGTATAAGAAAATGTAGTACGTTTACCTAATTGAATATTGCCTATGTATAAAATATTAAGCTGTTTTAATAATGGAGTTAAGAAATAAATAAAACTTTATCAGTAACTATATAGTAATAATATTACGAATAATATTTGTTATGAACAAAAAAGAAACCAGCAAACATATAAAAGCCTAATTTGTTTACAAAAAAAATACTGATGACTTCAGAACCTCCTTCTTTCCGGAAATCGGTTAAAAAGGTAGCTAGGGTTATATAAAATTTACCTTTGCTTCTTTTTCAGATAAAGAAAACTAGTCTATGAAAATTATACGAGACATAGTGTAGTGTGGAGCGTGTCTAATATTTTTTATCTATAAAATTAATAAGATTATAAACCAGTCTGTGACCCATGATAAGATGAAGAAGACCAATCAGCTGACTGACAGACACGAAGGACTTATTTTTCATGTTGTAATTACTTAAATTGATTAATTATTACATAAAACGTTTTTAAAAGCAGTGCTCAGTGTTTTGGGTGTATTATCTGGTATTACCATGATATAATTTATAATGGATATCGATCGTCATACTCGGTAAGGACCAATTAACAAGACCTTTCTTGGATTTATATATTAATATATTGTTTATAAGATAATATTCTTATAAAATCATATCTTTATTCTTTAAACCGTTCTATATTTTTATTTTGTAAGTATATATCACTATCTATAATTAATATACATATAAGTAATGCGCTTATAAGTAATTACTTACCCTAATTTATATATAGGTTACTTTTTAACAGTTCTTTGTGATGTTTCAAATTGTATTTCTATTATTTTGTAGTTTCAAGCTATATATTTTACAATAATTAATGTCAGTAAACTAGATTTTGACATAATTATTATTTATAGTACAATTATTTTATACACTTCTCAATTATTTATTAATTTTTATATAAAACAATGTCACTTGGAGTTAATCAATAAATATTTTGAACTTTTTTATTACCTATATAATGTAATAAGTAAAAATAAATAAGAACTAAATGATATGGTATATTTTTTTATCAATACAGTTTTATATAATAAAACACATATAATGTAATATATATATATATATATATATATATATATATATATATATATATATATATATATATATAACATAACACCTGTAATATGTTTTTTTTTCTCTAAAAACATAAAAATTAAATTCTATTGTTATAATCTATATTCCAAAGGTATTATGACTATTTTATAGATTCTAGTAGCTGTAATTTCACATGTTTATGTAATTTATTTTTTATGATTTTAAATAAATAATTATAAACATGTTTGTTATAATAATATTATAAAAATATAGATTTTATTTGTAGGTTATCTGATGTCATCATCTATTTTTTTCACAAGTTCAACTTATTACAACTTACATTATCTTTCAAAGTATTAAATTTCTATGTAAATAGAATGGATACACTGATTAATTCAGAATTCTTATTGTCAACATATAATTAAACTAGTGACTCACTCTCGCTTCACTCGGGTTCATCCCTAGGTTGCTTCCCCATACAAACTTTCATCCGCATCTTCACCCCCTTAAAGAATGATTTCCGGGGGATAAAAACTATCCTATGTCCTGCAAACTATCTTCTTACCAAATTTCATCAAAATCAGTTCAGTAGTTTCGGAACTTATTTCGTACAAAGAAACACAAAAAAATCTTTCCTCTTTATAATATTAGTATAGATTTGCAAATAATAGATAGCTCTTCACATAATCATTAAAAAAAAAACTAAAAGGTCATTTAATATTTTTCCATTTAATAATCAAGATTATACTAGGTATATTCTTATTTCAAGATTTTTTTATAGCTAATTTGTATGTACTGTTGGAAAAGTTCTTTTTTTTGTATTATTAGCAGATGATATCAATATTTAAAATAGTAACATAGGTCTCACTCTCTCAAACGAGAAGAAATCTATATCTAGAACTCTTTAAAAAAATATATCAAAAGTAACAAATAACATTCAAAAGTAATCCATCAACAGTGCAAATTTGAGCTTTTCTTTAAGCTGTTTAAATAAGATGTTGATAATCCGCAAACAGTTGAACTATTTTATTTTATAAACATAGGTACCCTAAAATATCTATACAGATAAATAAAATTGAGATGTCTGTTTGTAATGTTGAAATAAAAGCGTTTTTACTAAATGCATATGAAATTATACATAGTTATGCAGGGTTCTCTACCCTCCACATATATGGTACTTATAAGAAAAACACATTTTAAAATTTTTGTCTGTCTGTCCTTTTTTGTTGTTTGTTTGTTCTGGCTAATCTCAGAAACGGCTTGACTGATTTGGACGGAAATTTTACTAGCAGATAGCTGATATTATAAGGAGTAACTTAGGCTACTTTAATTCAAAAAAAACATTAGGGTTTCACGCAAATTATATTACTTAATGTTGCAAAAATCATTCTGATTTTAATTGAACAAATTTCAAAGGCTTTAACAGTTATTAACTATAATGAAAAAACTCATAAAAGGTAAAAGCGTGATCTGTAAATACGATTGCTGAATTTTTAATTATGAGTAAAATTACGCAAACCGGGTGTACTTTATTGGTTAAGAATTTTTTAAAACATTATAACATAACGGGATGTGTCTTTTATCTTTTCATCTTTAATTTTCTAAAATAAAAGTAGCCTAAGTTACTCCTTATAACATCAGTTATCTGCCAGTGAAAGTCCCGTCAAAATCAGTCCAACCGTTTCGGAGATTAGCCGTAACAAACAGACGGACAGCCAAAATTAAAAAAACTGGTTTTTCTTTTAAGTACTGTATATAATTTCATATGCATGTAGTAAAAAGCAGTTTTTTGACATTGTCTGTGTGTACAGACACTTCAATTTTATTTATCTGTACATATAGATTTATTTATTTATTTCTAGTTAGAGCGACGGTGCCCCTTACACTAATTTCAATGACAAATCAATTGAAATAATGCCATCTATTTATTGACATTTATTTGGACTCATTTTTCTTTGTTCCTAGTGAGGCCCCATGCTTTTACTAATCATCACGTATTATAAAATAACGACTTATACTCGCTTTGCTAGGTTGCATCCCTAGGTGCCTAACTGTAGCCTGTGCTACTCCAGGTCATCGATCAAAATAGTACTAGATACACAATCCCATGCAAAAGTTCTCTTAAAACTGCTACCGATTGTGTTTAGGTATTTGTTATACTTGAAATAAATATATTTCAATGTAAATTGAACCTTAAATACAATGCTTTAAGTTGTTTTCACAAAAAAAGGTTTAATTAAAAGCGCGCTCAAACGTTCAAATGAGCGCTCATTCGGTGAGGAAATTTTATTTTCTGAAAAACCCCGAGCGAAACTCGTTCGTCCAGGTGCTAGTTATAAAGACAATAACTTGCTATGAATTAATTATATTTAATTATACACAAATTTTTATCAACATTTTTTTGTTACAGCCATTTTAAAAACAACTTGTGACGTCAGTATAAAAATGGATGAACCGGAAACCATTCGTATATTTACAAAACATATTAATTGTAAAGTATCTTAAACGGTATCAACAACCGCTAGTCTAATTTTGTTATAGAATTATTTATTGTTATTAAAATTATAATTTATATTAAAAAACAAAGTTATTCCATTTGTATAAAATACAATGTTAGTTTAAGCCAAAGAAGGTTATATATTATTTAATGTTATTGAACGTATGGAATACGAGAAAAGACGTATATTTAGAGAGAAAAAACGAGAAAATGGCCGCGACGATGGTGGAGACTCCGCCCCCACAGTTAATTACAACTATTGAATGGAGTATGATGGATAAAAGCAAGTTTTATCCGTTATATACGTTGAGTAGTTTTACGGGTAAGTGTTTTTATTGAAATAAAATAAATAAAAAGTTTGCTTCCCAATACAAACTTTCATCCCCATTTTTACCCCCTTGAGGGATGATTTCCGGGATAAAAAGTATCCTATGACCTTTCCAGGGTCTCAAACTATGTTCTTACCAAATTTCATCTAAATCGGTTCTGTAGATCCAGAGATTACTCCCTACAACGCCACAAACTCACAAACTTTACCTCTTTATAATGTTAGTTTACTTTATATATAAGCATTAAGTGTTCGACTAGTGTTCGAAATTTGACAGTAATCATTATCACCCGACTGCGCCAGAAGGAGGTTTTTTGAGTGTATGTATGCTTGTACATATGAATGTAAGTATGTACATTCATTTGGCACGCTCTGTAGCCTAAACGGCCTAATGGATTTTAGCTTGAGAGGTGTCGATAGATTCTTCTTAATTGTGAGATTGACACTGGGTATATCAAAATTATTAAAATTAAAATGGCCAATTTTTGGCGCCATATTGTCTCAAACAATTTTTCCTTCAAAACCTATCGAGTGGGTTATCAAAATAAATGGTTTACAAAAATATATACATAGTAGCGACTCGCCCTCGCTCCGCTGTGGTTCGTATTTAATGTACACATTCGGCTTAGTTACAATAGTCACCATATAGTCACTATATATATAAATATATAAATGAGAAAATATCTCATTTCTGAGAAAAAATACAAAAACTACATTGTAGGAGTATAATAATAATATGTAAAACCTAAGAATTAGGTTTTTGTTAATCTGAACGCGGGCGAAGCTGCGGGTAAAGCTAGTAAAAAATAAAATAAATTATAAAAAAAATATATTATAATTTGGCAATCATATATGACTATATTTTAACTATTATTTTTCAGTCCGCTGCGCCCTCTATCCTCTAACACTAATAAAGACACAAATTCAAGTGCAGCGAAAGAAAGAAGCGTATAAGGGTGTTTCAGATGCTATATCAAAAATCTATAGGAGCGAGGGTGTTTCTGGACTATACAGAGGATTTTGGCTTTCAAGTGTGAGTATTATAATTTATTACACTTTGTTAGATTTACGCGAATATTTGACATTTTATATAAAACGTATCTTTTCGGTTTTTTTTTGCGAATTTTTGGTTTTTGGTTTCCGATGTTTCGAATGCTTTACAGCGCACATGATCACGGGAGGGACTAAGGTTTTAGAATTTAGATGTCTCAAAGGTTATGTAGTTGTTACAGACAGTGCCTAGCCACAAATTTACAAAATGATTTCAAAAATACAAAAATGGCACCAAAGTACCTTACAATATTTGTTAATTTTATTTTTAAACATATTAGAAAAACGTCCCACTGCTGGGCATGTCCCTTTAATTTCAGGGGATCAGGCCAAGCAAGTTTTCGAAAGACATCTCCTACTCAACTCAACTCCGCAAACCCACGCTATTGGACAGATAATAGGTTTTTTTTATACTTGCTCAAAGTAGCGCAAGTTTGTAACACAGCTACAAAATTTCATACAATTATGTCCTTTAATATTTATTCAAAAATTTTATAAATAGCAGAGTTGTCCAAAAATTACTAATTAGTAATTTTCATTAAAAGTTTGCCACCTCAAATAATTCACTAAAGTACTTGGACAAACAATGTGATTTGGAATAATCAAATATTATAATGAATAAATTAATTGTGATTCAACCATCATAAATGCTTTCAACATATTAATAAAATAGCAAATTAATAGACAGCCCTAAACCCGTCTCCCGAGTGTCAATCAAAAATATGTACGCCAACCGGGAGCGCCTCTTCCGTCTACCCCCGCAATATGTCCTGTCTAGACGCCTTCGTTAGACTAAGATATCATTGATTCTAATAAATATTTATTACTAGCGACCTATCTACGTTTTAATTTTCTTCAGCGGAACCCTAATCGTTTTTCTAAAATAAAAGTAGCCTAGGCTACTTCTTATAACGTCAGCTATCTGCCAGTGACAGTCCCGTCAAAATCAGTCCAGCCGTTTCGGAGATTAACCCGAACAAACAGACAAAATTTTTAAAAAAAGGTGTTAGCTTATAAGTACCGTATATAATTTCATATGCATTTAGAAAAAAGCTGTTATTTTGACATTACACACAGACACTTCAATTTTATTTATGTATAGATTTTATTAAGGTTTTTTTTCTCTATTCAGTTTCAGATAATCTCAGGAGTTTTCTATATATCGACGTACGAAGGTGTTCGACACGAGCTTGGTAAATACGATGTAAATCCGCGAATGAAGGTAAATATGTTATATAATTTAACTACTTTTTACAGACGAAACTTGCTGTGGTTTTAAAACTAATGATATTTAAATGATTTTAAACATTCTAGTATTGCATTCAGCACTTTTTAACGTACCACTGCTGGGGGTGGGCTTCCCTTCAATACTCGGGAGATCAGGCCATAGTCTCCTACGCTGGGTAAGTGCGGGCGGACTGAGCATGTCTTTCGACATCTCGCTACGTTCTCTCAGACATGCAGGGTTCTCCTTCACCATAAGACAAGTGGTCATCATGTTGGAAATGATTCGCAAATGAGAATATCAGAATCGCGGGACCCGGGATTTGAACCCGCTCGCTGGGACAAGCAAGTGAAGCAACTACGTGTTTTAGAAAACCTAACTAATTCTAAAGTCATGTGAAGTCCGCCTGCAAGTCGCCAGCGCGGTTAACTATGGCCCCCCACGTATTGAGGCCCACGCCCAGCAATGGGATGCTAAAATGAGTTAAATATATTATTGTAAATCTTTTCAGTCTTTCATAGGCGGTGGCTGTGCGTCAATAGTGGGCCAAACAGTTATAGTTCCATTCGACGTTCTCAGTCAACACCTGATGGTGCTTGGTCTGGTCAAAGGAAGTAAAAACTCTGTAAGTTTAGTCTATGGCTCTGTAAATGCCCCATATTGTCTATGATTAGGTTTTTGGAGAAACATCCTGTACAAGATTTTTTTTTATATGAAAAACAGAAACAAATCTATACCAAAGGAACCATACATTTTTCCGGTATAAAATATGATCTACAAATATATCCTATGCTACTCCAGACTGTAATCTATCTCTGTGCCAAATTTCATCCAGATCCGTTCAACCGTTCTGGCGTGAAAGAGTAACAAACATCCATACATACTCACAAACTTACACATTTATAATATTAATACGGATTGTCGTCTCAGTGCTTATTTGTCCAAACGACCAATTTATCGAAGGAATTTTTAATACTGAACTATTGACTTTTAAATGTCAATTCAGTTGGTATTAAATACACGTTTTACTTTAATAAAGCCGAAGAGATGTATTTTATGTATATGTGTATATAAATCTTAGAAACAAAGCTTTGTTTTTATGTTTTTTTGTTAAAGTAGAGGAAAAAACTCTACTGTAAATTACAACTAGTATCAATGGTGGTTTGAAGAAATAAGCATTAAGGCAATGAAATATCAACATTTTTGCCTGTAATTTTGCAGAAAATTAATCCACTCGGTCTTGATCTTGAAAAGCGTATGTCAAAAACGGCCCTCGCAAAAGAGGTGGCGGTTCGAGTTTACCGGTTGCATGGTCCTTTGGGCTATTACAGGGGCTATGCCGCCTCCCTAGCCGCTTATGTACCGAATTCTGCGCTATGGTGGGCTTTGTACACCGCGTATCAAGGTATTTTTTTTGGATTTTGATGGATTTTGAATGAATGATTTTTCGGTTGATTATAATATGATGTATTTTTATAAAAAAAACTTCTGCGATTTTATAAAAATATAATCAATTATTTTGAATTTTACAGATGAATTATTAAAAATAAGTCCAGTTTGGGTATCGCATTTACTCATTCAGTGCATAGCGGGTACGCTCGGCGGGTTCACGACCACCATTCTGACGAACCCCTTAGATATTGTTAGGGCGAGGTTACAGGTATGTATAAGAATTTTTGGGTTCCAAACATCTGATCAAAAGATGGACCCCTTTCAGTGTAAGAATTTTTGGGTTCCATACATCAATTAAAAAAGTACTAAAACATCAAATACAGAATCAGTCAAAAAATGTCCTCACCGAATGAGCGCTCATTTGAACATTTGAGCGCGCTTTTATTTATTTTTTTGTAAAAACTACTTTAAGCATTGCATTTAAGGTTCAATTTACATTATCGTATATTTATTTCAACTAGAACAAGTACCTAAACACAATCGGTGACAGTTTTAAGAGAACTTTTGCATGGGATTGTGTATCTAGTACTATTTTGATCGATGGTTCCATACGTAAAGTTAAAAGATAGAAGCCTTATAGTGTTTTGTATCTGTTCGTCTGTCGTAGACTTATTTTTTAAATTTGATAGATCACTTTGTCACAATATCACAATATTTACAGCATTAGGAAAGTCGCTTAAAAACATGAATATTTTTAAAGTCTATCCGGAAATTTCCTCACGCTTATGTGAAGCCATTCCTTTTGACCCACAGTTACATGTATGAAGTGTCCATTTTTTCTTTTGTTATTTTACTACAGAATTGTCTTACCTGAACAACATAAATATACATCCAATAATAATTCAGATTTCATCTAAAATTATTAGGATTTTAGACAATTTTTTTATAATTTAGTTACAAACTTACAGACTTTATCTCTTTATAATATTTGTGTAGACTAGAGACTTAACGTCGCGTCGCTTCGCTCAAGGGCGTCCTTAGGTACGTTTTTTTTGAGCGGAACCCTAATTCTTTTTCTAATATAAAAGTAGCCTAACTTACTCCTTATACCATCAGCTATCTACCAGCGAAAGTCCCGTCAAAATCAGTCCAGCCGTTTCGGAGATTAGACGGAACAGACAGACCAAAATATTTAAAAAAAAACGTGTTTTTGCATTTAGTAAAAAGCTGTTATTTTAACATTACACACATACACTTCAATTTTGTTTATCTGTATAGATAATTCTCGTTTTGTAGGTCGAAGGCGTAGGTACAATGAAGCAAGTGTTCAAAGAGCTTTGGCGAGAAGAGGGCCTCATAGGCCTCTACGCTAAAGGCCTTTCAGCTAGACTAGTCCAGTCCGCCTGCTTCTCTTTCTCCATCATCCTGGGCTATGAGAGCATCAAAAGGGTTTCTCTAAGTGATGAATATAGAACAAGGGTTCGATGGTGATTAAATGTGACGTTATAAAATGGAATTTTATTTTTTGAACCTACTACCTTCCTTATTATAACTAAAGAGAGCTCAGAAATTGTACTGTGCCCAAATGGCACGTCTATAAGCCAAATAAAGAAATTGTAGGTGAAATAAAAAAATATTAGGTATAGATAATTATAGTAACCTTTTTGTAAGCTCGGTGAATAATTTGAATACCACTATACTCGTATAATTTAAATCGGTTTCCGGACAAATCAATGTCTAATCAAATTCTGGATTAAGGATGTTTTTGAATGAATTAAAACACTTCTAAAATTCAAATTGTGTTCATAATGGTATGACGATGTTAGCAAGGAAATAAAATTAAAAAAAAACACCTGCATATATGTTGTAATCGACCTGAATTTTTTGACCATGTGAAAAAAAATAAAAACTTTTTAACAAAAAAATAAAAACCGACTTCAAAAAAGCACGTAACATGAAACATTAAGATATTTTCTTTTGTTATATCTTTATAATATAATTCTTCTGTGAGTGTGTATGCTCACTGAACTTCTCTCAAACGACTGGACCGATTTTGATGAAATTTTTGATGTGTGTATTTAATAGGTAGGCTTCTGGGAATGGTACTTAGCCAAAGCACACCGACTTCGAAAATATTTGATTAGGTATGTATCAAAAAATGAAAACTACCAATCAGTTATTTTTTACTTTTTAGTGCTTTTTTTGAAGTCAACGGTTTTTATTTTTTTGTAATAAAAAAATAGTTTTTATTTTTCCCTTTTTAGTGAAGACAGTAAAAAAGTAAAAAATAACTAACGTGTTAGTTTTGTCAAGTTAAAACAAAGTCTATAAGCCCATACTCAAAGTATTACTAAATGTTGAAAGTTTGTGAGTATCCACCTTATGGATGTTTGTTACTCTTAGATCACGGTCAACAACACCGAACCACTGTACTGGATCAACGAAAATAGAAATACTTGCAAAGTTTCATAGTCAATATGACACATTAGAAGCTAGGTTAAATTCATCATTAGTTGTTCCACCCTTAGGGGTGGTATTTTTTTTTGTTTTCCAATCTGGAAGTATACTCTTTCAAACAAAACAAAAATTGTCCAAATCGGTTAAAAATGACGGATTTTCGTTTAAGAACATTTTAAAAAAAAAAAAAAAAAAGTATATTATTTATTGGTCTGGAACTCAATTTTTTATAAAACACCGAGAAATCAATCTGCATTTAAAAGACGGTAACCAGGGATACCCTACACATTTACGTAGCATGAAACATTAAGATATTCTTTTGTTAATATCTTTATAATATATATATATATATACATATATTGACATATATATTTCTTTAAAAAATTTTTTTTTCATGGAGGTATACTCACACTAAAAAGTAAAAAGGCATAACTTAAATTCGATTTTGTCTTTTCAGATTATCAGTATGGATGAATCTGTTTGTATCATCTGCAATAAGGCAGATGATAAGCAAGTGTATGAAATAAAAAAGGTTTTTTGTTTTTCAATCCCGCATTTTCTCAGAAGATTTACTAGATTATAGTCTGGAACACATATTTTTTTATCACCGTCGAAAAATGTAAAGATTTCAACGTGAACAGAAAGATGTTTTTGTTTTCATACCAACTTTTTGAAAAAAATATTTTGACGGGTGAATTTTCGATTCAAAATTAGAGTGCTTTTTCGATATTAATTCAAAATTAGTCTGGAACTCAATTTTCTATAAAACACCGAGAAATCAATCTGCATTTTAAAGACGGTATCCAGGGATACCCTACACATTTACGTAGACTAAAAAAACATCTTTAGCTAAAAGTATGTAAATATAAAAACCAAAATTTGTTTTTTTGATTTTTCACATAAATTTGATTGCAGGTTATGTGAAAAAGTGTAATCAAACGTTTTAGACACCTATTACCTACAACTTTCAGCCATTTGAATGACTGTTTGTTTCGATAGGACTTTTAGTTTTATAAGGGTTCCGTTTTAGCCTTTTATCTACGGAACCCAAAAAAAACTAAATCCGGCCCTGGCGTCTAATCTTAATATATTTTTCCTTTCATTTTTATATGTGACTGAACTCCTTTTCTAAACGACTGGACCAATTTTGATGAAATTTTTTGTGTGTGTTCAAAAATTATCGACTGGTCTAATTGGTCTAGCGAATCAGATGAGACACCTATCTTCTAAATTTCAGCATTGTAACGATTAGTTAAAAAAAGTTTGAAATTTTCAAATTAAAGACGTTTTAGACGGAACAAAAAAACTAAATCCGGCCCTGGCGTCTAATATTATTATATAACTCGGTGCAATGGCCTAACCTACACTTTCAAAACTGTTTGTAAATTGATAATTTTTTATATAAACATCAGAGTATTCATATTAAGATAGCGCTAACGTGAACGTAACGTTTTTTAGCCGACTTCAAAAAAAAGGAGGTTATCAATTCGACATGTATGTATGTAATATTATTGGAACTGTAAAATATTCATTGATAATCTATTACGCTTTCCAAACAAATATATAATATTTTATAGGTGTATACTACGAGTATGTATGTATGTATGCTTGTCCACGCATTTCTCCTTGAACTAATAATCGGATCGTGATCATTCTTTTTTTATTTCAACTTAGGGAATAGTAAAGATTTCATCAAAATCGGTTCAGTAGTTTTTATGATATGGACTATAACTTGTAACTAAAACTTAAATATTTTAAATAAAGCTATCTCTTCGGATTATTTTGCGGATTTATTTTGATTTTTGGTACCCGACGTTTCGAATGCTTTACAGCATCCATGGTCACGGGAGAGACTGAGGTGTTCGATGTCTCGAAGGTATAGTTGTTACAGACAATAATAAAACTACAAAGGTTTCAAACAAACTTTCATACCCTATTTTACCCCCTTATGGGATGAATTTCGAAAAATGCTAAAATACGTATTTTTTTAATTGTATTGAAGAGTATTGTACTATGTCACTCTCCAGCACTCCAACTATCTCCACACAAAAAATCACATCAATCCGACGCTCCGTTTTGACGTTAAAGAAAGACAAACAAATAAATAAACAAACAAACAAACACGCTTTCACATTTATAATATTAGTATGGATGCTTGGGTAGAAGCATAATACAATAATTATAATAAAAACAATGTGATTCATAAATGACGGTTTCCTCTTAAATTACTTCATATCAAAAGCAATGAATCAACATCGGTTTTTTAAAGAATATATGGCATGGTGTTAGACGTCTATACAGATAAATAAAATTGAAGTGTCCGTTTGTAAAAAACAGCAGCTTTTTACTAAATGCTTATGAAAATATATTACGATACTAAATAAGAAGAACACAATTTTTAAAATTGTCTATCTGTCTGTTCCGGCCAATCACTGCGACGGCTAGACCGATTTTGAGGGGACTATCACAGGCAGATAGCTGATGTTATAAGGAGTAACTTAGGATATTTTTAGTTTGGAAAAAGAATTAGGGTTCCGCTCAAAAAAATTAAAACGTAGGTACCTAGAAACGCACCTAATCTATCCCACGGGAACCGTTCATTATTCCGGAATAAAAAGTAGCCTATGTGCTATTCCAGACTGTAATTTATCTATGTGACTTTAATCCAGATCCGTTCAGCTGTTCTGGCGTGAAAGAGTAACAAACATCCATACTTACAAATTTTCACATCTATACTAATATTATAAAGAGGAAAGATTTATATTTTGTTTGTTTGTACCAAATAGGCTCCGAAACTACTGAGCCGATTTAGATGAAATTTATTAAATTGTTTGGGACCCTGGAAAGGACATAGGATAGTTTTTATCCAGGAAATCATCACATCATTAAGCGGGTGAAAATGGGGATGAAGTTTGTATGGGGAAGCAACCTAGGGACGAACCCGAGAGAAGCGAGGGTGAGTCGCTAGTTTAGTATATGAGATACACTGTACCTAATAATGGAGGTAAATTGTGTTTGCCCACACTCACGCACTTATATCTCCCGTGTAAGATGGCTAGTCTCTGAAAGATAAGCCGTCGTGACCTAAATCGGTTAGGACAATATTTTTATCTATACATAATATAGTAAAATTCTGACTGAGTCAAATATGTATATTAATTTTTTTTTGGAAAATCTTATTAAAATAGTCATTATTATCAATGCAGAGGTCGAATCTATAATCTTTAGAATTTTTGTCTGTCTGTCTGGGAGCGCATCACGATGAAATTTGGTAAGAAGATAGCTGGTTATCCGGGTCAACATGTAGGATACTTTTTACTGCGGGAAAATATCCCACCTCTGAGAAATCTATACTAAACGTTCAAAAGTAACTAACTAGTCTTGATCTTGATATATGTATAAAGCTATGTAATAAAAAAAATAAACCTATACAATTAATAAAATGTATGCACATACTAATATAAAAAATGAAATTTGCTTGAACGCTCAAATCTCTGGTTTGATTTGAAAAAATCTTTGTTTTATAGCCTATTTACGTTTTACTACGATCTACGAGAGCTGAGTAATTCTAAAAAATAAACGTTGCGGACGGAGTCGTAAGAAAAAGCTAGTGCTATGATAAAATATCAATAAATAACACCTTACCATAACTCTTGCCATAGACATTGTATTTATAATTATTACGAAAGTTATAAGCAGCCTTCAAACTGCAGTCATTATCTAAGGACACAAGTGCTTAGCGAGATAAGCGGCCTCAGACTGGACTTTCTAGTTTCTTTAATCTACATCGATTAATAAAAAATATTTTAAAAATTATTACCACTTGCCTTACGTTGCAGAAAAAACATCGTGAGTCGTAGAATTAATAAATAAATATGTTGGTACATTAACACAAAGCACCATCTAGTTCCATGGTAAGCTACGAGGCCTGTGTTATGGATACAACATAGTCGATACATATTATAAATATAAACACCCGTGACTGGAGTACAAACAATTGTGTTTACCACACAAATGAATCCTTCCAGCGG